GGATGGCGAGGAGAGCTAACTGTGATACAGAGAACTGAACCTGTTTTTAACCATCTTAGTTTCATGGAAACCATGACTTTTGAATAAAAAAGTGTGCCTCTAAAGATAAGATAAGATAATCTTTATTGTCATTTTTATACTGTGAGCACAATGGCACACATCAAAAATGAAATTTAGTTGCCCGCTCTCAAAGTGAAACACATACATGCCACACACCTAAACATACAATGAACAACATGTATAGACCCACATCCCTACATATACGTAGCAAATAAATATTAAATATTGTCCATCTTGAATATATAACAGGAAGGAGGAGGGTTTTCACTTTTGATGTAGAAAGTGCCTTTCACAGTGTTTTGTGGTGTAGTTTATTGCAAATAATACATGGGCCCCTTGCATTGGCTGGGCATTAAACTATTGTCCAGCTGTGAAGATCTCAAGCAGGGATGGGTAATTATGCCCTCTTCATGGCCTCTGGAGTTCAACTCCCAGAATTTCTCAGCCAGCCATGCTCCCAGTTCTGGGAGTTGAATTCCCCACCCCTCATCTCAAGTGATCAGAGATGGAAGTAGCTAAGCCTCCAATTGCTTGCTGGCCTTATGTTGTTTGCAATGGTTTCCTTAGCTTAGGCAGAGTGACAGAAGAGGTCACAGTCATCTAATGAAGAAATGGAAGATAGCTGATGGCATTTCCTGCAATAGAGGACTGAAATAGAAAAGAACATAGTCCATCTGTTCTGCATGCACATATCTCTGTGCAGAGATTGCGGAAGTGAAGTCCTGTGTTTATAAGTTACTGTGCTATGGGAAGGTAGTTGGAGATATCTCCCTAACTGTTCATCTGATCTTGCCATGTTTTCCTAACAAGTTTATAGAAGATGGTTTCTGTATCTGCAAAGGAAGAGAAAGGATAAAAAGTCGCTTGCATCATTCAGAAACCTTCCATTCTAGAAATGAAAAGGCACTTTCTACATCAAAAGTGAAAACCCTCCTCCTTCCTGTTATATATTCAAGATGGACAATATTTAATATTTATTTGCTACGTATATGTAGGGATGTGGGTCTATACATGTTGTTCATTGTATGTTTAGGTGTGTGGCATGTATGTGTTTCACTTTGAGAGCGGGCAACTAAATTTCATTTTTGATGTGTGCCATTGTGCTCACAGTATAAAAATGACAATAAAGATTATCTTATCTTATCTTTAGAGAGACTAGTTGCTTTTTCTCCATCAAGGGGTGAATTCATAATCAGGAAGAAGTAATTTGATTGACCATGAATCACAGAGGCCCCAAAGAAAGAGGCTTAACATGCTTTTGGATAATGTATAAACATTTATTCCTGTAAATAATTCTGGAGGTTTAGATTCATTTATACTACCTGAGTAACATTAAAAAAAAATGGTTGTAGAAAGTTAGCTGCTGCCCTCAAATAACTGTAGCATCTTAGTGCAACCCTTAATTTCATGTGACTTTTAGAAGGATCTAAATGAGCATTTTGGGCTCTTTGTTGGATTGTGGGATCATAACAATTCATTTAACAGCTTTATAATATTCCCAGCATGTTTATAAGTACATTGGTATCCAAAGGTTTCAAGTTGTCCAAAATACTGCCTCCAATTCTCCAGATTTCGAAACTGATTTTAAATTATTTCTAAATTATGTTATAATTTTTATTAAAAAATAGAACAGGGAAGTCACAAAAAAGGACATATTACATTAGCTCTTTGCCACAGACATGGAGTTAATGTTACATCTCTGTGTGATCTCATACCTCTGCCCATGTTTGGCAGCCAAGCCTTTTGAAATACTGCAGTTCTGTGGAGGTTGTATACTCTCTTTCCCTATTTGCAGGAATTATTTCTTCACCCTGCCTCTGAGCAATTAGACTTATTTCAGATGATTAAAATGGTCTTTTAAGGGGAAAGATGGCTTGATGGCTTTTCAGCTCTCCCTTGTAACTTCTTAGACCCTGTTTGCATGAGGCAAATACACACAGCATAACAAAAGGATAAGAATGTGAAGGATTTGTTATTTAAATCCTGTGGCTACTTAGAACAGGGATGTGTTCATTAACATTATTTGCTCCTTGTTCTCTGTATTTCAAAGTCGGCAGAGGACAACTGTGGATCATTTTCATGGTCTTTTGAGGTATTGGAAATTGTGGCAGTCTGTAAGTGCCCAAAATAACCTCTAATGCTAATGCTTAAGGATGGTTTTGGACCATTCTTAAAGATATTATAGATATCCCTAGAAAATAAATATGACACAGGACTGCAGTCTTGTGCCTTGTTTAGAACAGCGTCTGATTACCCGAAGGGAAAAAAAAGTGAACAAGCAGGAGTCCAAGGAAAAGGGATGGTGCATTCTAGCAAATTGGTGTTCTGTGACTGGCCATAACAACCCTCACATCCATCATGGGTATGCTTGCAAAATTCCAGATGTGCCACTGCTCCGCCAAAGTTTGCATGCCCTGATTCTTCGTTGTGGGATATGCATCCACAGATTTGTTCCTAGGTGTCTCTGTATTTGTACATGCATATACAGTACTGAGGGAGAGGGATTCTAAATTGTTCTGCCTCTGCCTACCCAATAACTGTGAAATGGCTGTATTCTTCAGGTTTTACTGTCCTGTCCAAATAAGTAGTGCAAGCCCAGGTACAGTATCTAATTAATTCAGAAGTTAAACCATTCCATGGCAGAGAAGCCACCATCCATTTCCCCAATAGTACCTTGAACTGAGCAGCACTATTGCTGATGTGTGACAGACTGTTAAAGTGTTGTTTCCTGCCTAGGCTTTTTTTTCCTGCCTCACGAATGGAAGGTAAGCCCATTGTCATGGGCATGAAGAAGTGTACTCTAACACTACTAATGCATTTAAGGTGAACCCAGATGCAGTTCAAACCTCAACTGATGTTTTGTTAGGAATATTCTGTTCCTTTGAGCCAAAATATTGATTAGGTGTTTGACCAGGTTAAACAGTCCTAGATACAATGTAAAGAGCTCGGGTTTAACTCTTCGGGATGTATGAACACACATATATATTATTTTCAGTACCAATACAACAGTGGCTTGTTGTTGCTTTCTTTGTGACTTTTTTTCTTCATTGTTCCATTAAATTTACAGCCCTGGAAGGCCATGTTGGTTCACAAATTCTAACCAAATCCAACCTTCTAAAATCAGGTAGGAGGTATGGATGGCCAGAGTCCAAATAAATCAAGCGTTGAAATAGCACGAGGGACTTCATGAACATAAGGAACATTTGAAAAGAAACGAAAACTAGAAAGATGCAGTACTGTGGAAACAAGGAAATGTAATGAGGGCACTGTGAGCAACATGTGTTTGAAAATGCAATAGGGGTCAGCGTATACGTGGCAAAACCTCTGTTCAGGTAAAGAGAAAAACAATATTTTGACACAGTAAAACTAAGAATGGCTTGAGGCCACCTTAGGTGTGAAGTGGGAATCGGATGAAGGGAATGTTATGAGGACACAGAAGGAAAAAGATACTGCATGTTTGTATCAGGTGTTATGTGAGAAAAGCCTTCGATCCTGCTGTTATGACAACATGTACTGTAGTTCTTTGAGAAAATACTGCTTCAATACAATTCCGTGTTTGCTTGATGGTTACTAGGCAGACAGACCACTTTGAGTCAAGCTTAACGTGTTTGTCTGTTTCCTAACAGAATTGTGGCATTTTCACTCTAGATGTACTTATAATACAAGCTCCCCAATGTTGCTAGTTTTATCATTCTAATGGATGAATCTTGCACAAATTAAGAGTTTGACTGTGTTATTTGAAAAGATCTTAAATGTTTACCTCACAAGCAGGTGGAAGGAGAATAATGATCTCTGTAAGAAGGATGTCCCCCTCTTTTCTTGTATCTTCAGCAACTGGTTGTTGATTCTTCTAAATTTGCCCCTGCTTATAAAGCTGTTTAAGCTAACCAGTATTATGCATGCATTAGCAGCTTTCATTATCTTCTTAAATTATGAGTTTTTTCTTTGTTGTGTTAACCTATAAATATCAAACTCTGGAACCCATTTCATCACAGATGTAAAACCAAGCCAACCTCTCCCCCTTCCCCCATTTTTTTCAGAATTATGTTGGTATTGGAGGATGGCATACATACATTTTAATGGGGAATGGGAATCTGAATGAAATTGTGATTATAAAATAAATTCCTCAAGGTTTCCTATATTATCCAAAACATAGTTGGAGAAATGAAATGAGAATGATAATTAATAATTATGCATGCATCTGAGCATACATTAGTGGTATTACAGATATCGATTTATGACCTTAATTTGGAGCAGATTTTCCATTCTAAGTGCAGTTGAAAAGTGAGTCATCACATGGTTGGATCTGATTTTACAACCATATATGCTGCAGTTGCTAAGTGAATTGTCGTGGGTTGTTAAGCAAATCACATGGATGTTAAACAAATCCAGCTTCCCCATCTGATAGTTTTTATCAGAAACCAGCTGGAAAGATCAAAAATTATGGTTGTGATCATGGGAGCTGCAACTGGTCATAAATACGAGCCAGTTGCCAAATGCTCTGACTGGGGGATGGCACAACGGTTGTAAGCGCAAGGATAGATCTAAATCAATTTTTCCAAGGCTGTTCCAACTTTGAATTGTTATTAAATGAATGTTCATAAGTCAAGGACTACCTATATTACATTCAGCAAGTGGAATGTAATATAGACGCTTGGAAGGTCTGTGGGAAAAGAATTATCTTTAGGAGGGAAATAAAAATGGGGGAATAAGCTATGGCATACAGTAAAAGCTATTACTTGCACCTCCTCCCCATATAAAATACCGGTACTCTCCACAAAAAAGCCTTTGATCTTTTTAGATTTTTCTAGAGCAATGAAGGGGAGGCATGCTAGCTTCTAAAAAATTGAGAACAACCTGTGAGAAATTCAGAAAATCCCTGAAAAAGGTAAGTAGGAGGAACTCTAGTTGACTGTGTGTCACGGAAACAAAGGCTGGAGTCTACTACACAAGTTTTACTGAGCATTTTGCAGGGCCACAAATGCAAACACAACAGGGGCAGCAGCCATCTACAGTAGAGATTCTCAGGGCAGAGGGTCAATTGACATTCAACAATACTTCAATTTAAAACAACAAATCCGATGGTATTCTTCTGTAGACTCCGCTTACACCCACAGAGGAACCCAGGCATGGTGGGCAATGACAGAAGGGCAGCTGGAAGTGAGCTGTACTGTAGCTTGTACTGACCAAGGTTAAGTGGTAGAATGCAGCAGAAACACACAAATGTTTTGTGGCTAATTACCCAGATTCTTGCAATCCAAATCTGGTAGCCTCTATATTAAGAAAACACCCCTAGTTGTTCATCTCTTGATGGTTCAACCCTGCACAAGCAGAAGTCTGCTCCTTCCAATGTAGCCATTAGCTTTTTGATGATTAATACTCAAAGGAGATCTATCTAAGACACCTTCCTTGGGTCCAAGAGACCACTTCTTCTGCCTCTGGCATTTTGCAAAGATGGTAGCAATGTTGGCAGAGAAGCTCCACTGCTGGTCCGTGAGCCCTGGCACAGCCTGATAACTGCTAGTCTTTGCATGGTATTAGTGAAAAGCAGAGCAGCCACCTAAATTACATGATGAAATTTTTGAAAGGAAGTGCTCATTCTCATCCCTACAAACTATTTGGCTGAGGTTCTCAAGTTCAAGAACAATAGCTTCTCTGCATGTTTTTAAAAAAATGCAATGAAGTTTTTCTGTTGCAGGATGAGAGACTGCGATATTTGTGTAGTCTGGCTAAATTCTGTATTATGTAACTAGGCACTGAAAGATCCACAGCCATACTGGGAAACCAAATGTTCTTTTCCACCAAAGTCTTGTTTGGTTTGGAAAGCTTTCTAAATTCTAAAGCGGTGATTTAAGATTCACTAGGGAACTAAATGTGTTGGCCACGGAGAAGCGGAATTAGTTGCTTGCCCAACTGAAACAGTGTGATTACTTCAAATGTATGCTTGAGATCAAGGGAATAATTGTTTGTCTTGTGAAGTCTAGAAATATTTTTGTTGGGTTCATTCTGCTACCTAAATTGTGACTGTTAAAGTGTCTATTTCACTTACAGAGTCACCCTGTCATACAGGCAACTACAGCTAACCAACTGGCACATTAAATGCTTTTAAAGGTGATGCAGCTTACCAGCCAGTCAAGGACATGTCATTGTTTCATCCTGCATGTAATGCAGGCACACTAATTCAATGGGACTCAGGCAGGCGGATATTTTTAAGTGCTTGGCTATTTTGCATTTTGTAGTGGAAAATAAAAATAGTTTTTGCTTTATATAAAAGCAATTACCAACAAGCAATTATCAATATACCTCAGATTTGGGATTAGATGAAAGTTTGCCAAAAGAAACTCTAATTAATAAGGCAAGGCTGAAGCAGCATAAGATACTAATTTGGTGGTGTTTGGTATGTGCTTGTACATGTGTATATTCATATGTACAGACCTGCACAATCATTAACAATACATAAAGCCTATCTTACTCACCTCCCACCCCTAAAATCTCAGTGTAGCACAAGTGTGAACAAGTTTAAAGACTCCTCACCCTCCCTCTCCATACTGATTTATTGTAATAGCTGCTACCCATTGTCTAGAAGTTACTATTTCTGCATAATTCACTGACCACAGAGATTGCTCAGTCCAGGAATTAGACGCAGTGTTTCTCAACCTTGACAATGCTGGCTGTGGAATTCTGGGAGTTGAAGTCCACATGCCTTAAAATTGTCAAGGTTGAGAAACACTGAATTAGAGCATCACTTGCTATAATTTCTGCACTAAGAAGAGTTTTCTCAAGAATTTCTGAGCTTTCCAGAAAATCACCAATGGTTGCAAAATCTGTAAACATGTAGATCATACTGATATTATGTCACCTGTCAGAGGCCAGAAGACAGCCCACTTCTGAGATAAAAATAGAGATACATCCAATCTCTCTTTCTTTTCATATAGCAGAGAGAAATTTCTTGGACTACAAAACCAGCTTTCTTTTTACATGGCCATTTTTATATTTGAACGTGGACCCAAAGCAACAAATAGAAAAGGGGGACAAGCCGATACTTAAAACCAGCTATCTTTAGCCAATTTACATAGAGGATTTTGTACTGAACTAATTGTGGATAAAATGAATGACCTGTAGACTCAGTGGAACAATGCAGAAGAAAGGCCCACCCCGCCCTACCACCTTCTACACCTACCCTGCCCCACCCACCGGCAGATTCCTCCAGGAACATCACTATATGATCACCACTATAGGAAGAAGAGAGACTGCAAACACTGTGGGCACAGCCAGAGGGCCACGGCTCCATGGCAGCAGAAGATCTGTACCCTTCTCCTTTAGAACATTCTTTATTGTCTGGCGTCATCAGTGAAAACCATGTTCTATGTGAGTCCAAAATTGGACTTCTCTTGGCTTAGGTAGACTGCTCATCAGACCGTTGTCTCGAGGGAATCGTCATTCGGACCTCAAAAGTTTCTCTCTCCAAATTTCCAGACTCTTCAGAGTTCCTTAACTGAGACTTGTCTGTTATTGATTTAGCTGAAACACACAAAACAGCCACATCCAATTTTACTGTTGGGCTTATAAGCAATGGTCGAGCCAATCAGCAGAGTCCATTTGCCCTGCATAAACTTCTTTCCTTCCCCTGATTTCTATGCACAAAACCACCTCAATTTGACATTTTCCGATCCCTGCCCTTAAACGATGAAAGAAGAGACTTCAGTCTGGCGTCTCTAGCTGAACCTGGCAAAGCCCCCTGTCTGAAATCCTGGAAAGCTTTTGCTAGTCAGAGGAACTATACAGGGTGAGAAGAAGCCTTGCATTTTGAAAAGAAAATTTCCCGGGATCCCAGACCTGCTACGATGTCATTCTGCTTGCAAGCCATTTTAACTCCTCTGCCGGACTTGAAGCTTGCCTGTCGTCTCTAATTCCTCTGATGACCGGTGATTGACCATCTATTGTGGTTCGAAAGACATATTTGAAGGTTTAACATACAGGTAGTCCTCGACTTACAGAAATTCATTCAGTGAGCATTCAAACTTACAACAGCACTGAAAAAAAATGGCTTATGACCATTTTTCAGTTATCACCTTTGAAACAGCATCCCCGTGATCAGGGGATCAAAATTCATATGCTTGGCAACGGGTGCAGTTTCTGTCACCTCTTGCAACACATCTTTTGGAGGATGCCATTTAAACGATGCACCAAAGTTGAAAGCCTTATGACATTCATGCCCAATATAGTTCTCAGAAAGAGCTAAGATGTTCTGTGATGAAGCTGCATTCTCTCCTTTCTAGCATGACCAAACCAAGTAATGTGAATGAGCCCAAATGATAGTCAAATCGTGTTTCGTCTGCTCTGTGACAGTCCTATTTTCTAAGTGCTGTATTTATAAAAACAACATCTACTTATATAGTAAGATTTGTACAACCTGTTTTACACTATAATGTAATGTTTTATATGAGGTAACATCTGAGAAGTAAGCTTGTGTTGGATTTTTAACCTCTGAGTACACACTATAGAAATCCAGGTTCCTCAACTAGCATGCTTATTTTCTCTCTTTCTATTCAAGATAACACGTACGTGCTTCATGTGTTCCAGAAGCATTGCCAATCTGCTCCTCCAGATGAGTTGGATGACTGCTGCCATATTGGGAGAGTAATCTAAACATCTGGAGGACATCATATTGGAAAAGACTATATCAGAGATCTATTAATCTACAGATGTGTTTATGTGTGAATCAGCCCACGCTTAACCTGTACTCTGCTACCAGACCTTTCTTGAATTCAGTTAATAATAATAAGGGAGCATGAATGGTGCCATGCTTGAAACTTAGTGCAGGGAATAAATTTTCCGAGTCAGTCCCTGGGTCGCTCTCTACTGGAACATTCCCTATTCCATTAGAGAGAAGTTCCCTGAGGATGGGCTCCAGCACGCGTCTGAAAGCTCGGAAGAGTAAACCTCTGGTCCCAGTGATTGACCCAGATTGGAACCTGCAACATTACCCAGAGACACATATATTTGCCTTCATTTGTAATAATTTTTCCCTTCCTTGTCTGGGCAAGGTAAACACATTTCACTGGTAGGTTCTGTACTTTTCCTACATTAGCCACTGGGTAAGTAAGCTTCATTTTGGAATGATGCAAAGCAGCACCATAAATTCTGGAAAGATCCTTCAACCAGGCTGCTGCAGTGTGATTCTTTATAACTGAGTTTGCATTTGCATCTCAGATGTGACCACTCAGCACCTCAGTGCTCCAAGGAGAATTCTCTATAATGGACAGATGGATTAATGGCCATGAAGACTGCAAAGAAAGCTAGAATCACCCAGCTGGGAAGAGTTTTCCCACAAAAACAATAAAAGGCCTACCAGGCATGGATCTGCACATCAGTTCTTAATTACCAGTTTCATTCCTATTTTTTTAAAAAAACATTTTTTAAAACAGCAACCTTTCACAAAATCATATCCTCTACCAGTACTGGATTACAGCTCCTATTATCTTCAGTTTTGAAGCTTTAGAACAAAGCAGTTATTGCAGTCCAACAGAGTTGGAAGGTCAGAGCAAGATTGGGAAAGTATGTTTTGTGTCTGTCCAGCCCATAAATGGCTCTTTACTAAAAAGATGATGTCCTGAAGGCTTTCATGCCTTGGAGATCCACCGCCTATAACAGTGGTTCTCAACCTGTGGGTCGGGACCCCATTTGGGGTCGAATGACCATTTCACGGGGATCGCCAAACCACGCTGTCCGCCATTTTTTCCCTTTTCCCTAGCTGTCCTACTCCCTCTTATTGGTGGCCACACCCACTTGGGGGTCACCACAACATGGGGAACTGTATTATGGGGTCACGGCATTAGAAAGGTTGAGAACTACTGGCCTATAAGAATCACAGACAGAAAGAGGGGTTCCTGTTACTGGGTGTCTGCAGAAAGGCAGAGACTCAATTCTTAAGCAGGATCTGGCAGTTTCCTGGGAAACTAACCTCATCTCTCATGGGAAATAGAACAACATAAACATACCAGTGAAAGCTGCAAAAGAGAAAGTTGCAGTTTGGCTAATATATTACTAGGCTAAGTGAAGCTCTAACAACAAAAAAAAAGTACCAGATTTCAGCACTTCAAGCATCACAACTTACTTTTTTTTTTTTTAAAGGACTGAAAGGGAGATTTCACAAATGCCCAGTTTTACCTGGCTATTACCACTGCCTCATTGTTCAAAACTTTTAACTTTATGAAAGGTCACTAATTCAATAGCTCTTTGCTTTGCTCAAGGAAATCTTGTGAAGTGGAGTTCGGTCAAGAAGGGAACAGGTGGTTTGGAATCCTCGGCAAGTGTTATCTGCACAATGCTCATCCTACAGTGATAAAATTGAATACAGACCACCTCTCAGAAACTTCATTTGAGCATCATCGCTGCTCTGTTTTCCTCAGCAATTATTTCATAGAAAGTTGAAGGAAATATTCTCCAAGCGTTCCCCGGTGGGCTTCAGGCATCACTTCCATTTCTAATCAAGCTTGATTCAGGATTGTAACGTACCTGAGGTGCCGCCCACCGACACTTTTGCAGTCTGTGGGCGAGCTGGGAGGGTGGCCACGTCACTGAGCATGGGGTGATGCCTTTGTGAGGAAGACCGAATGAGCTTGCTTCTTGTTCTCGGGACAGCTGATAAGAGAAGCATGAGGAGACGCATCAATGTTTTGGACACATATGAAGGTAAAGTCCCATAGCAATTCCAAGAAGTCAAACAGGCCCACCTCGGAAATTGCTGTATGTTTCTCGGGGTCAATTCCCCACCAGAACAAACAAAGAGGTCTGTCTATTCCAAGAGTAGGCAACCTTGGCTCTTTTATGACTCGTGGACTTCAACTCCCAGAATTCCTGAGCCAGCATAGCTGGCTCAGGAATTCTGGGAATTGAAGTCCACAAGTCCTAAAAGAGCCAAGGTTGCCTACCCCTGGTCTATTCTATAGGTTGGCCTTCTTCCACCTGGATCCCTCCTAATTTAATTACAACTTCTATAATTTCTCACTTGAGGTGATGCTGTCTACAAAGTTTGGGAACCAAAGGGGTCCAAGTTGGGGATACTGCCATAGACAATAGCTTGACAAAAAGGTACAGTGTCGAAATACTTCAAAATGGAATTATAAAGGATAAAGAGAAAGAATTGATTAGGTCTATTCAGAGCATCTGCAAACAGAACACAAAACTCACATTCCTTTCCGGTTATTGATGGAAGATGTGTGTCCATACGTCCTTTGTAAATATGACCATCAAGACCCAGTATATCTACTTCTTCATGCTGGAAGTAAATGCAAACATAGAAGAAATTTCAGCTGAACCTTGCTAAAGGTTAACAACTTTTTACAAGGGTTTTATTCGTAAAGCTGAAGAATGAGCTTGAAAACCCCACTGTGGTAACTGGACAAACCATTGGAGCTTAGAAATTGGATCTTTTCCTTTTTAAAAATTCACAGGCAGCTATACCTGTCTTGTCCCTAATAGTTGTCGCCTCCCATCTGCTGCACAATGCCTCATTTCCAGTGCTGGAAAATTGGAAAAGGCATGTCAGGACTCTCAACTGCCATTCAGAAATCCAATTCTATTGAACTATACAGAGTGAAACAAGTGAGGATTTCTGCCCCGCGCAGTAAAAAGATACATGCTACTATTGGGGACCCTTCTTGTGTGGGAGCAGGGCAGGAGCAAACATAGAAATTAAAGAAATGTGGCTTAGAAACTATTTGAACGTATTGAAACTTTCAGCTCATTGCAGTCCAATTTTGTTTCTGAGCATAATTAAGCAGGCTGATCCCCTGTTGTCTTATTAACCTGAGGATCCTATTGCGTGATTAGCTCCTTCCACACACAAAGGATGTGCCAGTCACAATCTTGGGATGTCCCAGACAACCCTGGGAGCTTCTGCCAAACTGATCAAATTCAGAACTCTCTCCAAAGGAGATATTGCAGTTCCAATTGTAGGAACAATAACTTTGCCCCAAGTGGTGCTGCTGAAATTTCCATCTCCGCAATCCTAAAGTGCCTTAGCACTTCGTCTCCTTTCTTCCCATCCTTTCTCACCCAACAGAGTCCTCCCCAGACAATAGCTGACTTAACTTTCCCCACTTTCACTTGGGAGTAAAAACGTAATACCCCACAATGGGATGCTGCCTGGTATGTAAGGTAAGTGGGTGTTGCGTAGGGTCACAAAAATACGGGGGGAGGGGGGCTATAATCAGGAAACCACCCAGTATATTCAATTTGGGCTTTTTTGCAATCTGCAACCTCCCTCAGAATTGTTAAATTATATTTCCCTTCATCTCTAGCTGACACAATCATGGGGGAATGGTTATAGCAGTCGTAGTCGTATTGCACACGTGCACATACACGCCTGAGTTATACCAGATGGGAAGGTTTTCAGTTGCCTCTAGCATTATTGGAGTCAGAACAATGGACTTGTATTAGCATGGGTGAGTCTAGCAAAAATGGCCAAATTGTGTTATCGCATCTCTGCTAACGGAGGAGAATAAAAAGACATTAGAGAGGGACATGTGGTCAAAAAAGACTTTTGTTCTTTAGTTGCTTTTATATTATGGAAATCTCAGAAAGAGTAACAAAATATATCCATTATCTCAAAGACAATACTAAGCCACCAATCTTGAAGTTAAGAGCATGAAAGGGGAGACTCTTTAAAAAAAGGGTGATGTTATCGCTGTTATTCAGAAAAGCATTATACTCTTCCTTCTCCAAGTGCTTAAATAAAGTCAGAGATTGTTGTGAAGGACTGACAAGTGTGCCTGATCAAAAATTTGGCTGACCCTGGATTGCATTTCTCACTGCTGCCCAAATATTAAGCCTTGGTAATTTCCTGTTCATGTATTCATCTACTTTAAGTGCTGCAGACTGGGGTTGTTCACGTTCAGTTTTTCTAAAAAGAATATTATCCTGTTCTGCCCCTTCCTCTTCTCCCACTAACATAGAAACAAACAAACAAAAAAAGGTGAAGCATCTTGAAATAAACTCCTGAAATATTCTGATTTTGCCAAAAGAAGCTAGCAAAATCTTTTAGCAAAGTATCTGTTAATGAGGCCCCAATTCTCAAGAAAAAGAAAATGTCTCCAATCGTAAGGAAGGCTAAAACAAGAGTCAGAGATTTCTGTTTCAGATCATTTGCAGCAGACTTTGGATTTCTTCAACCTGCAGAGAGCATCTGCTGCCATTACAATATAAAACTGCCCACTTTAAGATCCTTTAGGAAGACTTTGTCATATTTAAAGCAAACTTTGTCATATTTAAAGCAGAGGCATTAATATCGACTAGCTAAATTATATTGCTTTTAATGGGGTTAGCATAAATATGACTAGGTCTCCATTCAACCATTGGTAAAAACGGAAAATGACAAAGTAGCCTATACACAATGCAGCACAGTTCACAATATCCTATATACCCTACTGCAGTTGATCCAGACCGTATCTACATAGGAATGAGGTCTTGAGGGAGATGCTGGTGGAACCAGGGTACAATTGTTACAAAAGAGGCAAATTCCATACTTAATAAAGATAAGATTCATATGACTCCCATCCTGAAGCACTGTAAGAACATTAACAATGGACAAATAACAACCTGTGGTCTAACCTTGCCGGGTTTTTCTTACATTAGGCAAGGACTGGGAAGCCTACTACCTTCTCTATATTGCTGAATTACAACTCTCAACATCTGTCTCCATTGACAAGCCAGACTAATATTGTTAGGAACTGTACTTCAGCAACATCTGGAAAACTACCAGTTGCCTGGATGAATACCAGACTCTTCCTCAGGAGCATCAAAACTTTACAAATAACTGCAAACAGGTAGCCTCCTGTTCACGGAATGAGCACCTCAGGAAGGAAAACCTCTCAGGCACTAAATGACAAAATGTCAAACCTGTACAGTACTACTTACAACAGTTCGTTTAGTGACTGCTCAATGTCACAGCAGAACTGACTGAAAAAAACGACTTAGGGCCATTTTTCACACTTACAATCATTGCAACGTCCTCATGGTCACATGATCAACATTCAGGCTCTTGGCAACCGACTCATATTTACAACGGTTGTAGTGTCCCGGGGTCATGTGATCACCTTCTGACAAGCAAAGTCAATGGGGAAGCCAGATTCACTTAACAATCGCATTATTAACTTAACAAACGCAACGATTCACTTCACAACTGTGGGCAGAAAAATCGTAAAATGGGGCAAAACTCACATAACAAATTTTGGGCTCGATTGTGGTCATAAGTCAAGGACTACCCGTATTTACATCTCCTCTTTAGGCAGAGTTCCTTGCCCTTGCCCTTTTGGAGGGCAGATCATGCAAAGCAGTGAAAGGTAGTGTCGAGATTTTAGGCTTCAAATGCGGTTGTCCCGCTCTAGGCCCCTTGGGAATGTCCATCTACCCTCTCCTACTCCCTCTCCACCTGACTCCTCGTTACCTTCATCATTGCCAGCATGGTGTTTTCATCTGGCTGGGCAGAGGGCATCCCCTGGTTGAACTGTTGCAGTTTCACGTAGCGTCTGAATGGATGGGTGAGGGTATGGCTGCCTCCACAATGTCGAGGTACGCTCATGTAGCTGAAGTCAGCCATCTCTGGAAGTCTCTCCCTGTAAAGAGGCAAGGGCCCATAATCCACACGAGGCGAAGTCCAGCGGCCCTGTGATCCCAGAAAATCCATAAGAACAACCACTTTGTTTCTGAAGGATTAGATTCATTTCGGGACATCAGCAGCCGAAGGGAGGGCAAGGGAAGCATTGCAATTAAGAATTGGGACTCAACCAAGTTCAAGATCTGGCATGACTTTTCTGTGGTGGCATGGGTTAAAGTGTGATCTGGGCTCAGTATCAGTATGAATGTTTAATTTTGGGGGTTCATTGTATTGTAAACCAAGCAACTGGATTAATCTGGTGAACCAGACGGTATAAAAGGGCAGCACACTTACATCCTGCCATGTGGACATCCACTACATCTTAGCTTAGGAAAGCAAAATGACTGACTTTCAGCAAAGCAATTTTTCAGGCTCATAGCAAGGGTTAGAATGAAAGCAGGGTCTCTGGGTGGCAATCTGCTCCTATTTCCAACTTTCAAACCTCCCTCATTCCCCACAACAGCTGAACATTGTGGCTAAAATTCAAACATTATCAGATAAAATTTACACCTTTTCTGGAGGAATAGGGGTAAGGATAAATTAGCAATAGAAAAAAAGAATAGCATATCTGAGGCCTTCTAGCCTCATTCCTACTTTTCGTATCCCCAAAAGGGAGAAAGTGATTTTAAAAACAGCCCTGGCTTCAGGTGATATCATAAGAGAATTCCTGGTCCAAAGTGGCTTCCTTAAAAGATATTTAGTGGGCAATGAGATAGTAATCACTCTTTCTTAATGTTGATAAAATGATCACCAATGTCCTAGGGAGGGAGGACCTCATTGGGCAGGATTAATAGCTCAAGTGTTCTGTTGGGAGAAAGTCACAATTGTCTGCAACTCAACCTTCCAGGATGGGACCAGATATTAGAAGTGTCCTCCTTCAACAGGAAAAGGAAGGAAGGTCAGCTGACAAGTTGTGAAGGGTTGGTCTGAGCATCATTTACAATGATGTTCTATATAGGGTCCAAACGCTGGACTCCACAAAGGCACTCTTAGGAAATAATAACAATGAGTGGTTACTTTCCACTGCTATGCTGAAAGTATGCCCACATGCCCAGAAGAGATGAAGAAGAAGAACCGAGCATTGGGGGGGGGAGCGGATAGGCGGGGGGGGGAGAGAGAATGTGTGTCTCTGTGTGAGGAAATGGCAGAAATCACCTCACCAGTTTATTTTTGGGTAAATGGCATTTGGGAGAATAGCTTTGCTCAAGCAGTCTTTTTTAAATGCACCTCGCACAGCAGCCATATTTTAAGCCTGTCCTTGTTAACTCTGAAAATTCCAAATCTGCCTTCCAGCCTGAAAAGTTAGCAAGCTACTTTGCTTCTTCAATATCTCAAATCTGAAGCTCAGATCGTGTTCACTCTGCCCTTGAGTTAAGGCAAGCCTCCATGGCAAGAAAGATCCTGAGGATTATGTCAAGGACAGGAAGTCAGGAGTCAAGGCGATTCAAATGAATACAGGTTTATTGCATCCCAATACTCTACAAAAATCTGAATTACTAACAGCCAAAGCAAATTGGCGGTAGATAGGAGTCAACGGAATTCAAGGTGAGCTGGACTTAGATCTCTTGTGAGCACAAAGGGACTCTAGACTGATGACGTGCTCAATCCCTCCCTCGGATTCAGCCTGGTCATCTCCTACAGATTATATGGTCAATTCTCTCAGCCATGCAGTTCTAGCGTAAGATTTGAGGCCTATTTGGTCTATGAGTGATGTGATGAGAGGTCCTGCCCCAGGCCTGGGACATGTAGAAGTCTCAAACTGATCCTATATGACCATGAGAAACAATCCTAACAAAGCTGGTGGTAATGAAACAATAAACTGTATTTTGTGGTCCTAAGAAGTAAGACCAGATCAGCAGAAAAAGGAAATAAGACACAAAGTTTAGGTTAGTGTTGTTTCTGAGCAGGCTCTGCTCTGCTTGTCAACAAAGCATAATCCATGTTTGCCCTTTATAGAAGTGAAAAGGAAAGTCTTTGTGGGGGGAAAAAATGGATCATGGGAGGCTCCCAACTTGGAGTCTGTTAAAAAGATGGGGATTAGAGAATCAGACTTTTAGACCTTCATTCTTCACAGCAAGAACATTATCCAAATGTCTCCATAGGTCATCTTTTTCATATCCTCCCTTTATGGCATCAGAGGTGCCACAGTGTCTAGAATGCTGCTAGATCTTCCAAAATGCAAAAATGAATAGTAAAACCCAAATAATATTTAAAAAAAAACGGCCTCATTTTTGCGACATGGTATTTTTGTCCTCACATAAGAAAATGTGGAATAGTAGCTAATTTAATTATAAGGTCTGTGAGGTTTTGCAGAGGAGCCCGTTGCTGGAAAAATGGATGGATGGATGGATGGATGGATGGATGGATGGATGGATGGATGGATGACCCCATTTGCTTTCTTCAAGTCACAAGTCGGCTGTTTCAGAGCTTGGCCCTCTCAACAGAGACACAGTCCCAGTCTCTACCACCTCAGTCTTTCTCTCCTGGCCCAGTCCACCCATTTACTGCTTGCTAATCAGATTATATAGGATTCTCTTTCGGCCCAGCCCTTTTCCTAAAGACACATTAAGCTTCTCTACAGAAACCCTGGGAACAGATTCACTGAAACACTTGGTACAGAACACAGCAGCAGCCTGCTTGAGCATCATGTTCCTCGCCTCTGCCTTGGAGGACAGGAAAGTAACAAGGCACATAAAACATATGGAACAAAGAGAAAGTTATTCTCACAAAGCCACTTCTGGAAAGCAGTTTCCTAAACAGAGAGTAGAATTTCAAGTAGGGAAACAAGACAGGCAGCTGTAGCAGGGTTAAACTAATATTAAGGCAAAGCAGAAATGCAAGCTAAATTGCAAAGTTGGATAATAAGAAATTGGATTACAAAATTCTTGTATCTCACTATAGACAAGAAGTCTAGTCTGAACCCGACTTAATCCTAAACTACTTTGGACATTATTTTCAGATTTGGATTTGCATGTATAGGAGCCACTTTATAGACATCCCTGAATATATTGTAAAATGATAACAATCAAGTCTGACTTGTTTAGCAAATCTGCGAAGTTCTGAGCCTGTTTTGGGATTGCAAATGATTACCCAAGCAGCAAGCCCAATCACTAAAATTCTTCACTGTCTGATTACAAACCTACAAAAATTTAAAAGAAGCACATGGAAAGATTGCTTTAGGGTATGGCAAAATTCCTACATGGAAGCAATTTATGTAAATATTTCCTGCTAATTTCATGATCCAAGCCTACATAAGGAATATATATATAAACTGAGATGATGTACATACAAGTAGAGATACATTTGCTAATGGAAGTTCCTTCACTGTATAGCAGTGTACAAGATGTAAAAGGGAGTAGAGAATCTTCTCAGCAAATAAATCCTTCCCTTCAAATTCCGGAAATTGTAATTGCTTATAGCTTCCTTTTGCACACCATTCCTCACTCGAACAATTTTACACAGTTACCTGAATACAAATTTAAATAGGGGCCTGATTCCAAGGTCTGAGTAAAAAGTCACTATTTCTTGGATACAGTAATCAATTCAGCTTTAAGCTAAAGCCAAGGAATTACTGTCCCCTCCTTCTAAATCAGGGGTCCCCAACCCCTTGTCGGTACCAGGCCATGGCCCATTGGGAACCGGGCCGCACAAATGGCAGACAAGCATGCAAAACTCTATTTGTGCAAGTGGCAGGCGCGTGCACAAAACCATCCCCTCCCCCTCACACCACCACCGCTGCCGCTACTGCCGGTCCTCAGAGCTGGAAAGGTTGGGGACTGCTGTTTAAATCATTCTAAAAATGCAAATATTTGCATTGCAGGAGGTGGCACCGTCAGTTCATGGGACCTGAGTTATCATATACTCTTTAGCCAGCATTACAGTTAATAGATATATTAAGGCAGACGAGCGTTGCACAATACTTCTAAATTCATTCAGAAGAAATCTTCTGGAATACATGAATGCTGCATAGTAATTCATTAAAGCATCTATTTTTTTTTAAGGACTGGATAACTACTGGAAAAGGACATAGCTGCTTTAATGAGTCACAAACATTCATATATTCCAAAATACCTCATATGAATCTGATTAAATGCATTGGTTAGCTCTAGATTGAAGGTGGTCTTTTGTTGTGTCCAGGTCTTGGCCTATAATTTGATTTGTTCCAGACCTGGTGTCAATACCCAGGTTGATAGGACAAATGCTGTGTCCATTGGGATATGCACAGCTCGCTGAGAGAAACATCCTCCTCTCCTCCTTTTAATTCTTTTTAGTTATTATTCCCTTTCCAAAGTGCTGCTTCCATTATTTTCTGCCCTCTCTGCTTTCCTGGTAAGTTTGGGATGGGAGTAAGGCATGACTGGCTATAAGTAGGCAGAAATGAGCAGTAATGCTCAATCTATTGTTTGCCATAACAGTGCTAAGGAAAGGCAGTGCAGAACCCCTCTGATCTCATGTTTTCCTGAATGAAGCACCAGGATGAGAGATTGATCAGAGCCCGGCTTTGCTCTCTATATTTCTGTCTGGCAAGATGAACAGTTTGCTTTATCCCACAAGCCCTACCGTTTGCCAAAAGGGCTTGAGCCAAGATACTGGGACTGCAGGGCTTCTCTGATCATCTGAGCGTTGACCCTGGCACCTCCGCCATAATGACTCTGCACCTTCTGTATGTCCATGAGCATCTTGGAGTGGATGCGGCGTAACTTGTTCAGACTAGCACTCTTCTCCAGGGCATCATAACGAACACCCGGTCCTAATTTCAAATTGCTATGACAAGGAAGAGGTGGGAAGAGGAGAATTGGATGCAGCCCAATGCCAGAGCAAGGAGACAGCAACAGCCAAAGAAGGGGAATGGGGAGGGAGGAAACATGCTGTTAAGCCAGGCACTTGCACCCAACATCTTTTGCTAGCATTCACACAACAGGCAGTGCTGAAAGAACCTACTCAGTGGTGCAGAATGCATTTGCCATAAGTAACTTTCTGGGGACCACATACCTCCCCATTCATATACCCGCTTTGAATTCTCACACATACCATGTGGCCCCTCGCCCCGCCTCCCATGTGCACACAAGTCACAACAAGTAAATAAGCGCCAATGGGAAGATGTATTCCCTAATTCTCAGGGAAGGGGAATCAAGAGGGCTAAGGCACTGGGACACTCTGAGACACAGATACATCACTGGGTTTTTAAAAAAATTCCATAGCTACTGATCGAAACAAAATTAAAAAATACAGTAGTGGCCAAAATTGTGGAAGCCTTTTGGGAAAAGTGTATTTTTGAGGTTTGATGGCTAATAACACCACTTTTGAGGGGGAGTAGTACCATAAAATTATATATCAAAGGAAAGATAATTTAATCAAGAATGCAATGCAACATAGTTTGTTCAATTATCTGTACTGTATTCTATGAAAAGTTATAGCCAAATAACCAGAAAAAGGAAGCATAACTTGCTTAGGTTGATATCAGGTAGCTTTCCTTCATCTGATTGTAGCCAATGAGCATGAGTGTTTAGAGAGCCAATCAGGCATCATCTTGTTTTGGCAATGAGCCAATCAGATCACAGTAGGATTCAGTTTTGGATGTCATGTATTGAAGCTGAGAGGAGGACATTTGTCAATGTGTTATGTGATCGCTATCAAGTTGGTTGGTTTTTTTGTGTTCTTTCATTTAGTGAGCTTGTAAAACGTAATAAAATTAAAGTAATGGTGCAAAGAGTTGACTGGTTGCTAAGAAAGCAATGTAAAATAGTATTATTAAGTGAACAAGGCTACAGTTATAAAGAAATTAGAAGAAAAATTGGTGGAAACTTAACCAAAGGTGGCATTTCTACTGTACACTTTTCCCAAAAGCCACTACTGTAGAGATAGATAGATGGTGTGTGTGTGTATAAGGTTTTTGGAAGGGTCCTAGAGGCCATTTCCATCTAGGAGTTCCCTGCCTTTTGTTAACATAGAATTCTGCAAGTAGCAAGAGTGAGTTACTGTACCTGTACACAACTATGAAAAGATTCTAAAGTAAAAGAATATTCTTCTATAGATTTATTTAACTAAGATGTACTTTAGCATGCTATATGATCCAGCCATAGGTTTTTGGAAGGGAATTTTACAGATATAAGAAATGAAGAGACATTTTGAAACAAGATGTTCACTTCCCATCTCCGCTGCCGTTGAACGTTTTACAGCAATAACAGAAAACTTTCCAATTTTCACCACAGGTGGTCCTAGACTTACAATTATTTGTTTCACAATTGTTTGAAGTTACGATGGTGCTGAAAAGGGTGACTTGTGACCGGTCCTACTCTTACAGCCATCACAGCATCCTGATATTGCAATTTGGGTGCTTGGCAACTGGCTTGTATTTGTGATGGTTATAGTACACTGGGGACACACGAACACATTTGCAACCTCCCCAGCCAGTTTCCAACAAGCCAAATCAATGGGGGAAGCCAGATTTGCTTAATGACTGTTTAAGCAATCTAGCAAACATGATGGCTCGGTGGTTAAACTTGTTGACTTTTGTCAGCTGCAGAGCTGACAGGCCGAGTTTGAGACCCGAGCACTACGCAACGGAATACACTCCCATTTCTTGCCGCAGCTTCTGCCCACCTAGTGGTTTCAAAAGCATGCAAATGTGAGTAGATTAATGGGTACCACTTTGGTGGGAAGGTAACAGTGTTCCTTTGGCATATAGCCATGCCGGCCACATGGCAACAGAAATTGTATTCGGATGACGCTGGCGCCCTTGGCTAAGAAACAGAGATGAGCACCGCTCTCTGGAGTTGGATACGACTGAATAGGGGAAGCCTTTATCTTTAAGCAATCAGTCCTAAAATTGGGTATGGGCATGTGAGGACTCACTCAATGATTGTATCGCTTAGCAACAGACGTTCTGGCCTCAACTATGAGGACTACCTGTACATAACGAAGGTTGCATCCCAAGAATAACATTCAAACTAGATGGATACTTTGCACTTTATATATTCATTCCTCCCTATGGATTCCTACTCCAGGTCTCTATCTCACTCAGCTCCTGAATACAGAAAAGTCAGATAAAGAAACGGCAAGAGAAGAAAACACAGAAGCTCCTATCTGCATTTTACTTGCGGTTCAGTTGCCTGATTTGTTCCATCTCATAAACCATATACGGCCGGAGGGATTGATGAGCAGGTAAACCTGGAACAGCTGGGAGAGTCGTAATTCGCCTGTCAAGATAATATGCAGACAGGATAAAAAAGGGAGGATGCGGAACAAGTGAAAGAGGAGAGGGCAGCTGCTCCTGGCCTAACACCTTACCAGCATTTTATTAATGAAGGAAAAAGCCAGCTTCTCAGCAGATAGATGGACATAGGCAGCAACTCGCTGAATAGCTGATGGCTGAATCTACAGCCTAGTAGAGGTGTTCCTATACCTGCATCTAAGCAGATCGATTACTGATCTGATTTGAAAACTTCAAGCAAAGACTTACGGGCCAGGCACCACCATCTCCAAAGGTCGGTCACAAGAAATGCAGTGAAAGTGAGCCAGGAGTCTCCTGTTTGAGAAGACAAAAGAAACAACAAATCAGAGGGGAGAATGCTGTAGTAGGGGTTAAAAGATATATTTGGCAACAACAGGACCATGCTTCTTTTTTTAAACTAGAGGCCACAGAGCGGGGGATAAACGCAACCTGGCATGCTTATATCATGCAGAGGCATTTTTAACATACCCATTAAACTGAGTATTTATTTCCACAACAAACAATTCAACGTTAAAGAAGCCAAGAAAAACAAAACATTCATTGGGCAAGGATTCAGAGTTCAGTGGATGGAAATTCATGAAAGCATAGTGGAAATTCTCACCAACTATATGTTAAAAATGCCCCTGGGGAGTGTCAAACTCTGAATTTACTGCAGTATCAGGAATTGCAGCAGATTCAAAGAGGAGAGGGCAAGACAAAGTAATAGGCAGGACTGGAACAAGAGCTACATTAGACTTAAATTATATTTTATAAAATTAGTTAGATGCAGTTAATGAGATTACTCTCTATGCATTTAATAATTTCCCCCTTGCCATCTTAAAAATCGCAATAGTAATTTTTGAAAAGGGTCGGGGGGGCACAACAAGACTTTAGAGGGAGGATATATGGTACTAGACTAGAGGCTCAGGCTATGTACCATGGGTAAATACAGTTACTATGAGGGAGAATAAAAGATGTCCCAGAAAGGAGGGAAAAATCTAGACCAGGGCTTTTCAACCTTTTCACCCATTGTACCACTTTTAGGATATGGCAATATCTGAGTATACCAGTCGCCTAGCAAGGTGTCAAAAACTTGATGACCAAAAAAAAAAAAGGGGGGGGGGAATGATGCAGTACAGGTAGTCCTTGACTTACAACAGTTCGCTTAGTGACTGTTTGAAGTTACAATGGCACTGAAAAAGTGCCCCCCAAATCACAGCCGAGCAAGACACCTGCCTGCCCACCCGCCGCGCTCTTCCTCCTGACCGAGGTTTTTATTGTTGTGAGCATTTCTGTTGAGGATTGGCAGCGGGGGTGGGGTGGGGTGGGTGCTTGGTTTTTATTCCCCCCGTCTGCTGGGTGGTTCCAGCAGGTTTTGGTCACTTCACATGACCCTGGGAACTGTGACCGTCATAAATATGAATCAGTTGCCAAGCATCTGAATGTAAATCACAAGACCCTGGAGATGCTGCAACATTCCAGCTGATCGGCGCTTCTTCTGGGCTCAGCAGAAGTGCCAGGATCAGCGCCAAGCTCCAGCCGGAACCTGGCGCTGATCCTGGCGCTTCTGCTGAGCCCTGACAGCCCTGAAGAAGCGCCGATCAGCTGGAAAGCGACACTGATCCTGGTGATTCCGCTGACCCCTGACAGCCCTGCAGCTCCAGCCATCTCTCACTGAGGCTTGTGAGGTGCTGCCACCAGTTCAGCTCATTCCCCTCCCCCGCTACCACTTTTCTAGGATGGTCGCGTACCACCTGCCAGGTGCCAATGTACCACAGGTGGTACCTGTACCACTGGTTGAAAAGCCCTGATCTAGACATTGTATAGGAAGTCCTTCACTTATGACCCTAACTGACAATAATGTTCACAAGTCATGATGGCTGTAAAGTGGGACACTATGTGACTGGACCCATTTTTATGGCCTTTTTGACAGTGGTTGTTAAGCAAATGCGGCAGTTGTAAAGCCAACCCATTGTTTGTCAAAGTTCAGTTTTTGCTGGCAACTGGAAGCAAACACCGGTTTCTGGGGAAAAAAATATTGTAAATCGTGGTCATGTGACTGTAGGGTGCTGCAAATGGCTGTAAATGAGGGCAGGTTGCCAAGTGCCCAAAAAGCAATCTTGTGACCACAAGGGGGAGCAATGTCAGAATTTCAAAATCAGGTCGTAGGTTCTTTTTGGGGGGGAGGGAGGGGGTGTCTGTTGTAACTTCAAATGTTTGCTAAGCAACAAGTTGAGGGCTATCTTATCTCCACAGCCAGTGAACTGCAGATAAAATAGTATCCTCCAATTACATTTGACTAAGGCAGATTGCAAAAGTGTTTCATGAATGGAAAGAGGATCTGAAGTATGGTGTTTTGTTTGTGCCCAGAAAAGGGAAAAGGGAAAGAGAGAATTTGCCTCTCCAAAACAAGGAGGTTTTTTTTTTTTTCCCAGTTTGGAGAACTCCAGACAGATCCTTTATGAGAGAGCTGTGCGTGGTGTTTTCTCCTTCCTGCCCCAAAGGCAGTGAACGAGATCACTAGCTTTCTTCCACCTCCCTTTCTACATAATGTATGATCTACTCCAAAGAAATTAGTACTAACAATACATGGCATTACTAGCTATTAAAACTGATAGGGGCACCACATGTTAAACTGATCATCTCCTCTAGATTTGGGGAAATTGTAGCTGCCCAGATGCTACTGGTCAGATGCTACTGACCAACTTCCAGGTGCTCTCCCAGCATGGTTACTTGGGAAGGATGCGGGAGTTCCAGTTTAATAACCTCGGAGAGGCTACAGGTTGCCTATCCTGGACCTAGCTCTAAGATCTTACTCTTTGGGAGCAAAGAGATTTCCAAAATAGCCAAACTACATCACCCATCACCCCCCCCCCCCTCAGATTGGATTTCAGCTTCCATCATTCCTTCGGGCTGGCAGTCTAATAATAGACTTCTCACAACTTCGTGTGAAAGCAACTGTTCTTGTGGACTTTCAAAGTTTGCTTTGACAAAACAAAGAGTGGTCTTTCCCTCCACACTGCACTGGGTGCCCTTAGTCCGTATCCATTTTCTTTCCAGGATCCAATCTGGGTGGGTCACCGGGACCAGAGGTTTCGTCTTCTGAGCTTTCGGACTCGTGCTGACACAGAGAGGTTCCCTGAGAGGATGGGGGCTCCGGCACGAGTCCGAAAGCTTGGAAGACAACACCTGCGGTCCCAATGACCGACCCAGATTGGATCCTGCAGCGTTATGCCTTCATTTGTGTTTTTCTTCCTTTTCTCCCTCCCTTTCACTGAAGGCCAGTGTATCCAACACACTTGTGCCCTGCAGGTTCCTTCTGAAGAAATAAGATCACTCTGGGGACCTTCCTATTCCAAACATGACACACCTTCACCTAATCCCTCATGATGTGCTCAGGACTGGGATGCGGGACCCTGAATCAGGAACTGCCACCGTCCCCGATGCTGCATGAGGCAAATCTGAGCAGAAGACTTGCCAACCCCCTTTTCTCTGGAAAGTGTCCTCAAGAGAAACACACCCACACACACCAAAAATCTAGGGGAAACATGCTTCTTGGCAGCCAGCGCCTCCCCCAATGTCTGCATCTTATTTCTTCATGCCTTCACACCTATAATCTCTCTCTGATTTAATTAAAGGATTTTCAAAGCAAGACACAGGGACAGGCAGGGCAACTCCTGGGAAGCCAACACAGCTAGACAAAGAGATTCTGCTGCATCTTATACAATGGACCCTTAGCTAAGGAGTGCTTAGTGTATCATCACCTAACAGTATGAAGCAGGAATTGCTGATTTGCACTGCTAAAGTAATCACATTCAGAGAAGCTTTCCCCCTCCTCTCTTCCTGTCAGTAAGTTGTGCCAGTGGGTCCACACACAAAGCGCAAGTGCCCTCTGGTGGTGCAACAGAGTGGTTGTAGCTTGCCATTCTAAAAGAAAAGACTGCAGGTAATCCTCGGCTTACGATCGCAATTGGGACCAGAACTTTAGTTGCTAAGCAATGCGGTTGTTAAATGAGTCATGCTCCATTTTGCAACCTTTTTGTGGTGGGCATTAAGCAAATTTGGTTTTCCCTCATTGACTTTGCTTGACCGAAACCCACCGGGATGATCGCAAACGGCCGTCACGTGAGCCGGGGATGCTGCAACCATCATAAATTTATAAATACATTGTGGCTGCCGAGCAACTGAATTTCGGTCAAGTGACCAAAGGCACAGTGTGAAAGTCACTAAGTGCAAGGACCTCAACTGTAAGTTGCTTTTTTCAGTGTCTTCATAACTCTGAATGGTTGTTAAAAGAATGGTCGTAAGTCAAGGACTACCTGTATTGACAAGGTGAAGGTCTGAGAAAGCAAGTAAAGGTTCAGGCAAGTGTTCAGTAGCTCCAGGTTTGAGGGTAACATCTGTCTGGCGGTCATTCTTGTTAGTAAAGAAAAATACATTCTCTTTCAAATCAAGCTCAATTCCTGATTATATGAATGCATCTGTGCAGTTTTTCTTGACCGCCGAATGGAAGATGGTTGCCTCTATTTTATTCTGGGATGGTTCTTCCACTTCCAAACCTTACCTATAACCTGAGGTTGACTACTGACATCAATTCCAAACACTAACTCCCAAACTGGTGATTTTTTTCAGAGGAGGGGAAGCATAAATACTGTTATGCTCATGGCAGTGGCTTGGAAACATTTACATTTTCTGTAAAAGCTCTATTTTTGTTGTTGTTGTTGGCGGGGGGCGGAGAGTGGGAGATGGGAAGCTTCCTTTAATTTTCTCAAAATATGCCAGGTACTTGGGAGATGCTGAAGGGAAATGTAAATGATGACTCAGCATACTGACGTTCTCCTTAAGTAAAGCACATTTTGGCTCAATGTATGTGTAGCACCCAGCCTTGGGGATTACAAGCCTTGTGTGCAAAGACCCACATACATGCATTTTTCTCTTCTTATTTTTAACCATACCCCAAGTGCAGGATAGGAAGTCAAGGCTGACAGCTGTTGCCACTGAACATCTGCCTGTCCTTCTACTGGGTTTTCTTAATGCCACAGCTGTCCTTCTCCAGCCTCTCTTACCTTCTGATCCCTGCAGCCTCATCGCCTTCGTCTTGTGGAACCCTTTGCTTCAACTGTTTCCGAATATCTTTCCAACGATCCTCCAGCTGCTGCCTGAATGGATCCAGTTCCAAGCGGTCCAGCTGTTCAGAAAAAAAAATTCAGGGATTCTGGGGCTCAAGGCACTGAGATCAAGGCTGGATTAACTGTCACACCATATGCAGTACAGACTCATAGGGACCTGTTAACCTCACTTCAGGAGATTCCATACAGCCACGTGGGTCATTTCTCTTTCCCGATCAACTCATCACATAGCAACAATATTTTTGCTTGCAAGGAATTAACGGTACTGGATACTTGTTTGACATGAGAAGGAAGAGTTTTACGTGCAATGCAGGAGCAAAGTTCAAGCACAGAGTAGAAGGTCTGAAAAAATATACAGTTGAGTTGGAAAAAGAATAAAACAATAATGAGACTCGATCTCCATCCTCATGAGAAAAGGCTGTAATATTTGAAATTACCCAGCCTTGGGAAAAGGGCAGCTGTAAAGAAACATGGCTGAGACATAATCAAGCAGGGCTAACAGAAAATGGAGAAAGAAAGATTTTTCTCATCTTACTCTTTTTCTGCTCTTTGCTTAAGAATTTTCCTTATTCTGAAAGTGAATACATAAAGAGCATGTGTGTACTACAGGTAGTCCTTGACTTACAACAGTACATTTAATGACTGTTCAAACTTACAAAGGCACTGAAAAAAAGTGACATGACCATTTTTCACGTTTACAATTGTTGCATCATCCCCACGGTCACGTGCTCAAAATTCAGACACTTGGCAACTGAGTCATATTTATGACGGTTGCAATGTCCTGGGGTCACGTCCTCACCTTTTGCGATCTTCTGACAAGCAAAGTCAATGGGGAAAGCCAGATTCACTTGACAACTGTGTTGGTAACTGAACAACTGCAGTGACTCACTTAACAACTGTGATAGAAAGACCATAAAATGGGGCAAAACTCACTAACAATTGTCTCAGTGAGCAACAGAAATTTGGGGATCAATTGCAGTCGTAAGTCCAGGGCCACCTGCATCTGAATGCAAAACATTGGGACTAGAAATCACTCAATGAAACTGACTAGATGGAGAATAGAGGTAGTTCTTGGGTTACAACCAAATTTTTAAGTGACCATTCAAAGTTATGATGACGTTGAACAAGGGAGACTTACAACAACTCCTTAGAGTTCCAGACATTGCAGCAAGCTGAGGTCACATGACTGCATTTCCTGCCAGCTTCCCACAAGGAAAGTCAATTGGGAAGCTGGCAGGAAGTCAGAAGTTGCGATCACATATGAGATCCTCACTTAATGAGCCATGTGATCCTTGTTTAACAACAGCAACCAGAATTGCTGCAACTGCTGTGATTAAGTGTCATGGCTACATTTACAACGCCATGCGTAGCAACAGTCCCAGCTCCAATTACCGTTATAATCTAGGACTACTTGTAGACAGAAGGTAACTCTTCACACAGAACATAATTAACCAATGGAATTCATGACCATTAACTTCTTCTCATTGAGACCACTAGCATATATTTTGCACATGTTAGGAAGAACAGGGAAAGGAAATAAAGCAAAGTATTCCATTCCTTTTTTGCATGTAGGACAGGTTACCACAAGGCCGGCGGCTTAAGGCAGAGATTCTGATTTTTATTTCAACATTGCCAAGCCGGTGGAACGGAAGACGGTTGTAGAACATCTTTAAATCTCTCTTCAGGGACTGGGCAGTGGAAACAACAGTGATGTCAAAAAGCCCACAGGCAAATATAAGAGGTCTGGAAGCTAATGTAGGCATTAGGTCTTGGCAATCACTATTCCCTAATAGAGGACAGGCCAGCAATAGATCCTGGGCTGTAGAATCTGGCATTTGGGGAAAATGAAGCACTTATGGAGTGGGCTAAAATCAAAAGCAGGAAGACTTCAAACACATTCAGCAAACAGAAAGGGGGACATCTGCTGTTCTGCTGGCACCCTGTTCTTTGTGTGGCAATACAAATCTGGTGCTGTTCTCTCTGTAGGCTTGGTTCTTTAAAGAACACTCCCTCGGCATGGGGATAAAGCAATTTAACATGGATTTCTTTTCCTATCATAAAAGTCAGCAGGCAGCCATTGCCATGTATATTTTATATGCTTGAGGACTTATGCATGATTTAAAAGGGGAAAAGGCGATGAATGAATAACCAAAAGCAAAGACGTTTCGCAAATATAGAAAAGTACAGGAAGATATAATGAATGCTGTTGGTATAAAATGCCTTTAAGTAGTCTATTTTTACTTTTCTCTTATTTCCTATTTTTAATAACATTGCCTAACTCCAAACACAATAGCATAATTGATATGCGTATATCCATTTGATGACCAGGACATGGAATATTAGCTCAGAAGCAGTTATCTGGGCTTCTATTTAGAGCCTGCGCACAAACATAAAAGTGTCAGCCTAAGCCTTTGTGCCTGTGATCAGCAAAGGGTTATGGGAAGGATTTATCTAATAAGTTAAATAGGCTTTCTTGAACTGGGAGAATCTTTAATTAAAGTTCTGCTATTATCTGCTCTTTTCTTGTGATCATATATGGGAAGCTGATTCCTTCACATCAGTTATGTCAGATCTTTAAATTTATCAAATCTGGATCTCATTCCTTTTCTTACTTTTCTGCTGTGTCAATGATGGACTTCTGATCCTTTTCAGGAAAACTTTCTTAGGAGTGGACCATATATATTTCTTCCTTGAGGCTTGTTTACATAAAACTGTGAACAAGTTAACTGTTGGGCTTTGTCTGGGTTCTTAGTTTGATTTGCATAAATGGAGATTTATCATTGGTATGATTCTTCACCCCATATTCAAGTAATGCTTTCACTGCTACACATGCTGAAGCTTGTCTCGTTTATTTTAAGAAAAGAATGCAGCACTGTCCACAAGAAGACACCTAGACTGACATTAAACATCACTACACCATAGTTTAGCTAGGTATAAAGGCTAGGTTCATAGACTCATAAACCATAAAACATTACTACAATGAAGTCTTTGCATAATATATTAAGTTAGAACCAAAGAAACCAGTTTATGTATCAGTATGATAAGCCAAGCCAACCCCAGACTGCTAAAATGCATTTGGTTAATACTGACATTATGTTGTGTTAGAACTGTATTTACCTAACAGAGACATTCAAATGCTTTGTTATTCACTATTCATATTGTTCATTGGCCGATAATCCTATATTGTTGCTATATGCTCATTTGCCACTATAGGTATAGCATTTGAATGAAAACTAGCTAGTTAATAGGGAATGGAGATTAGAAATGTAAGAGTATTCCTCTCTCCAACGGTCTTGTCATTTTTCAAGTCTTAAGGAGGTTCCATCTCCACAAAGAACCAGTTCTTTTGTAAGAACAAGTCAACTTGAAATGAAATGGAGATCACGCACAATTGTGGGTGGTGGGTGAAGTAGTCCATTTGGCTTGTGTAAAATGAAACACAGCTGTGGGAGACAGGTGAGCATGTATAGGTGCTGTGGCTCCCATCAAAATATTCTACAAAACTGAGAAAACTGCTTTATACTAAAATGTGCATAATTCAGTCTTGGTACGCAGGTTAGGCTAGAGATTTTGTGAATGAACTGCCTCTTCTACCACTTAATGAAATCCAAACAGAGCTTCTAGAATTGGTCTCGGACTTGTTCAGAGTCCCACGGGCTTACAATGCTGAGGGAGCCCAATATCCATTTGGGAACCAGTTTGTCTTGAGCAGCTGAGGAGATTGTTCCAATCAGTCAACATATGATGGAGGTCACATTCTCAGTTTGATCTGTTCTGATGGAGATATGCCATGATTGGGAAGATTCCAAATCCCACTGTCATGAAGGACAATCATTTGGTTAGGGCTGGATTAGTGGCTACATCTTGATTCTGTAAAGTAGATCTATTGGCATAATCTGAAAAGGCTACTAGATTTCAAGAAGCTTTGGAAGGGTTTGTAGTTGATCTCACCAGTGGTTCTGTTGATGCCAGTTTGTATTTGAAATAAAGTATTTCCTTATCATCAAAATGTCTCCTAAATTCATTTTCCAACTTGCTTCAGAGATGGCCCCATGATATTGGGAGGGGGGGGGGAGGAGGGCAGACTGAAATGGCCAGACAGTCTTTTACAGTGTAGATGGAGAAAGACTCAACATGTATCCAATAAGGTGTAGACTAAATCCTGTTTGAACACATGTCAACACATTTTTTCTGCATGCGTTGCATCTGCAAGCTTATGAACAATTAAAAGCAATTATTAAATTGTTTTGAATTATGAGGGGACTGATTCTTACCATACAGTCTTCCTCCCAGAGTTATGTTAGAGAGCCTTGTGCTGCTGTTAACTTTTTTATAGATAATATCTTTCACTTTGGGGCCAGTCCATCTGCCTCTTCTGATGCAGCACTAATTATGGAACTTTCTAGTATTTTCTATAGCTTGTGACACCTAAGGATATGGGCAGGCTACTGGGAATGGCATGTTCCATCATCTGATTTCTAGATTCCTGTGCGTCCTGACTGGTAATTTCTACCTGAAAAGTTACTATAAACACTTTAGTTAGCATCATAATGCATCTCTGTGGTAGCCAGGATGCTCCTTTGTTGAAAAGAGACAATTATTACTCCACTTTTAAAGTAGTTTGCATTGGATCACTTGTAGGCCAGTTTTTAGCTTTCCATGGTTGGTAACATAAGAAGATGGTGACTTCTTAGCTGCAAGCAAACCCAGGGATAGATTTTCTTTAAACTGTTTTAAATTGGCCTCCAAGTAGATTGTGTGTGAGATTGCCTTGTTTCTGTAGATCAGTGGTTCTCAACCTTTCTAATGCCGCGACCCCATAATACAGTTCCCCATGTTTTGGTGACCCCCAACCACTTATACATCACCGGGTGCCAGGGGCGTGGCCAAAGAAAAGGGGAAAAAAATGGCGGACAGCCTTGTTTGGTGACCCCCGTGAAATGGTCGTTCGACCCCAAATGGGGTCCCGACCCACAGGTTGAGAACCACTGCTGTAGATGGATGGAATATGAATCTGTTGATTCTCTTTGCCCTCCCAGCAGCTTCTGATATCATCAGTAACGGTATTCTTCTAGATCATCTGAGAAATAAGGAAATAGGAACTATTGCGATCCTGTTGGTAGATTTCAGATTATGTCACCTAGAAACAGTTGCTCGACATGAGTGTCTCTCAGGACTCCATTCCGCCTACAGTGCTCTTCTGTATCAACATGAATTTGCCAGGGGAGATAAACAGGAAATTTGGAGCCGGGTGTTACAACTATATTGATGATGACCTTTTTCTCTGTAACATCTTCAGGCAATAGTCTGGCTTCCCTGTGTCCATGCCTGTAGTTAATGGCTGGATAATGGATAATAATAAACTGCAACTGGATCCAGTGTTACGGTTTCAGAGAGGTAGTTGTTCTAAGCTCCTAAGAAAAAGAGGTATGGAATTTGCAGTTGCCTCTGATGCAACTCTCTCTTTAGTTTTCTAGACTGAGGCAATGGCCAATACAGTAGCACCTTTCATTAGCTTTGGCTGATGTACCAATTTTGGTTGATACACCAAATTCATCCTTAAAATGATGCGTATTAATAACATTCAGGTTTGACCCCTGTGACATACTCTATGTGAGGCTGCTTTTGTATCTATCCTAGAAACGTCAACTGGTTCAGAACTCACCAATCAAACCTCTCGGGAAGAACTCAAAAGAACCACATTATATCTGAGTTAAAGACATTGTGCTGCCTACCTATTTGCCCTTGGGTAAAGCGTGAAGGGATATTATCTTATTATCTGTAAACCGGTATATGATTCAGTTCCAGCCTCTCTGAGGAAACACCTCTACAAGATTCCCCAGCCCCATCCACACCTAGAGATTATTTTGGAAGTTCATCTACAATTGCTGCAGCTTAGGTCAAGTCTTCTCTCTAGCCCCTCCATTCTCTGGAACACATTCCCTGTTGGGTTATGGGACCTAACAGCTTTGCTTTCTTTCAAAAAACGTTCTAAATAAACCGTGTAAATTGTTTTTAATTGTTATTGCTAGTTTTTCCTACTATCTTGAATTTTAATGTCTATGTTACGTCTTGCTATAAACTACCAAGGGGCCTTGGTAGTTTGCAGTACAATAAGTTTAATTAATTAATACATGAATAATAAATACATGGTTGATTTGTTTCTATATAGTTTTTCCTTAGTGTTCATACCACAAGGGGTTCTTAATTCTTTTATTTTTTTTCTAGATTGTGATTTTATTAAATTTTTGCTCCTGTGCTTTGCATTTCTTTATATTACTTATTTACTCTGGGATCGTTATTTTCTGCAAGAGAGCCTTCTCCTACAAGCAAGTAAAGGCTGACAGAATTAGTTCCAGAAACATTCCACACAAAGAGGCATGGAAAAGAGTAGAGGAATTGTTCCTATAAAGCTATTCTTTTTAGTTTAATGTTCCTGCCTTTCTACTATCCAAGCTCCAGGTAGTTTATGGTAGAAACATTTTCAATGAAGCCTCATAAATAGTAATAAAATTAACACTTTCTTCTTATTATTTTTGTAGAAACAGGACCAGCAATAGGAGCCGAAGAAAGAAAGAAAAAATAACGATGCAAATGAAGCAAAAGACAGGAAAATAATGGTCTTGATTTGTTGCCTATACAATAAAAGCACAGGCACTGAGGACATCTCCCTGCAGAGGCTTCTTTGCCACCAGAGAAAAAGGATCTATTTCCCCCCTTTCTTGTCATAGCTTATACAGCAAGAGTAGCTGAATAATTGGAGAGAACAAGAGAGCTCATAATTTTCATCTCAGTCTGTTTACAACCTCTTTCAGTCTCCTACTCTCTAGAGGCAGTGGAGCCAAATCCTCGAATTGCCAGCCAGAGATGTTAATTCCCAGTGCATCTGGGAAATACTGGGGAAGAGGCATGTGTGTTAGTGTTCATTAGATCAAAAACAGAATTTTCACTGCGTCCAGAAACAAGCTAGAAATCAGAATGCATACATAATGTGCTTCAGGTCCACGTGGCTGTTAAGGAAAACACAAGCTATGTATTCTACCATCCATCCATGTTCCTGGCCAAGGAGAAAAGGATCAACATTTCTGTAAGGAGCTTAGCAGTCTCACTGCAATCACAATATGGACCACTAGCACAAGTAGTTTTCCTGCTGACGGGATTGCAAATGGCTAAGAAGGGTGCATCTTGCTTACCTTGGAGTCCATTTCAATCAAGAGTTTGTCAAGCATTTTCTGCCAGTCTTGTTCTTGCCCCACCATCTTATTTAGCAGTTCCTGCATCATCTTATGTAGCTGTTCTGTGGTGGCATCAAACTGGCTGCGACTGACCTTTGCTGCAAGAGCAGTCTTATCTGCTTTCTGAAAATGAAGAAAAAAAGGACAGAGATAGATCTTTGGTCTCATTGATATCTGAGGATCTCTCCCTCCTCTGCCCTCAAAAGCCACAAATTACACAAAAGTCCAAAATAGCACTAGTCCCACTTAACCCAAGCTCAAAGGATGGTAAATACAAGTAGTCCGCCTTTAATAACCACTCATTCAAGAATCATTCAAAGTTATGGATAGTGCTGGATGAGAGGTGGTTACAGCTAGGCTCTCCCAGCAACCCCATGGACAGGTGAACACAATCTGGATACTTGGCAGCCAGCTCACACTTATGACAGTTACAGCATGATTTGTGATCTTCCCTGCCAGCTTCCCATAAGCAAAGTCAATGGGGACGCCAGCAGAGAAGGTCACAGGGTGCTTGGGCAAATCTTCCTCACTTGGACACCTTTCCTGCTCCTTGCTGCACCCACACACCTCCCCAGCCACTCATACCCCCTTGTATATCCTCTCCCACCCAGCAGTAGTCACTCCAGCTCTGATGTATCTGTGCTGCACCTCTTTGGCCACCCGTGCACCCCTCCCACCCAGCAGCCACACCAAGCCCGCTATGCTCATGCTTCTCCTCCCCACTATTCGCATGCCTTTGTGCATCTCTACTCAGCCACAGCCATCCCAAGCTCTGCCATGTTCATGTCACGCCACCCCATTAGCGTATCCTCACACACCCTCTCTCACCCAGCAGCAATCACCCCAAGCCCCACTGCACTTGTGCTGCACCTCCTTGGCTCTTTCTTTCTAACCCTAACCCTAACCTGCCTGCCAGCCTGCTTGCAAGCCATCTAAAACTTGCAGCCTCCTGCCGGCTTCCCCACTGACTTTGGTTATTGGAAGCCGGAAGAAAGTTGTGAGGAGATGCTTGCTTAATGATTCACAATCCTTGCTTAACAGCGGCAATTGGGACTTCAGGGATTACCATCACTAAATGGTGCAGTCACACAACACTGCACTATACATCCGCATCACTTAGGAAGGGAAATACCAGTCCCAGTTGCCCTCCTAACTCAAGGACTACCAGTATCAGGATGGCCATTCAAAACAGAGTGGAAGCTTGCTATTCCTGACTGCCCCACAGGCTCCATTTGTACATAAAACTTTCTCAGGAGTATCTATTCATGATTCCCCAAGTATGCTTATATCCATCGTATGTCAGTAAGTCAAACTGCTTACCACGTGGATTTCCATCTCTAGGGAATCCTTATCAACTTTTTCATTTTCCAGTTTCTCCAGTGATTTGTACAATGCCTTTAGAGAACAGAAAGCAAAGCGAAGGGACATTGTTATCAAAACAAAAACTCCAGTTCCTGTAAGTTTATCATCATCACCGCTATCTTTATAAACAATCCATAAGCAGATCTTCCCTATTTCCATTGGCCTGGATGTTGCCTATATTTTACCACATAAAAGAGATAGTAATATCCCATGGTTGATGTAAGGGACACATCAGGAAGTGGGCTTGCCATTTCCTTCTTCCAGGATGTTTTTTCGACTTGCTAGTCTTGTCTTTTAGTTTGTGCTACCCCGCTCCCCACCCACCCACATACAGCAAGAGTCTAGTTGTTTATTCAACCCCTCCTCCCCAAACAGTTCCTTGGAAAGCACCCCATTGCACTGGTCCAGATTCTGAATTCAGCACGGCAAGAGTTACTGGGCAACACAAAGTCCAGGAAAGCAGTCCACAAGTTGAATGGGAGCACAAGCACACAAGGCACATTGCTCCAGCAACGCTCAAGTCCTTAGGATAGGATTAAATAGGCAACACCAGTTCAGCCCTTCATGAGGTGAGGTTGCCTCCTCACAAGTAGCTGACTGGTGTTGTGCCTGTCTCCTCTCTGCTCTATATGTCCTTGAATCAGAAGGTGTGGACCCTTCCTCCTCCTGATTGCTAATTGGTGGCAGCTGATCCCAGTCCTCACCCGGAGCCTCCTGGCCAACTTACTACAGCAGTGTTTCTCAATCTTGACAATTTTAAGGCATGTGGACTTCAACTCCCAGAATTCTACAGCCAGCATTGCTGGCTGTGGAATTCTGGGAGTTGAAGTCCACATGCCTTAAAATTGTCAAGGTTGAGAAACACTGTGCTACAGTGTGGCTCACCTCACTCAGCCTCAGTCTGTCATTCTTCTGATCGACCCAGCTGAGGCTGCTCCATCAGGCCAGCATTCTCTAAGCCCCGATCCTGACCAATATTCGGCTCCGTGCTTTTCTTTGTCGACTCAAACTCACCCTCCTCCTCTGAACTTGCGGCCGGAGTGGGGTCCAGGGGCAGATCCATAACATAGTTTTAAAATCTCCTAGTGGTTCTCTGTTCAAGTAGTAAGCAGGTTCTACTTTTCTCAAGATGGAGCCAAAATGGTTTTAGGATGCCCCAACAGTTTATTTCTTTCATATCCTATTAGTGGTTATAGTGTGTACTAATTTTAAAAAGACTATGTTTAACCAGTAATATCACTGAAGCAAACAAAATTCATGTGATTCTGATGTCATCAGGTCATGACCCTTACTGGGTATGACATATTTAATCTAATCCCATGAAAAAGAGGGGGAAAAAAAGCTGCTAGTCAAGCCTAAAGTGAATGATTAACTTAACCTTAGCTCTAATCCTATACGGATTCAAATCAAAACTACCTTCTATTATGTTGTGTCTAATACTATTAAACAAGATATTCTCTCTGTCCTTCTGTCCTCTCAGTCATGAAATAATTTCACTGAACCATTTCACTCACAGATTTAAGCAGATCAATCCATTAAGTTGGTACTGACATGGGTTATCTGTTATTGCTGGTAGCAAAGCAACATCAGTATTTGTCCTGGCAGTTTTATCTGTGGCATTTGATACTTTTTATCACAAAAGTTTAATAAATTACTTTGACTTGACTGGACCTGAATTGAGCACTTACAGTCTTATATTTCCCATCACATTTTTTTTGTTATTTCTGTCTTGGTTTTCTATCCTTTCCTTTATCACAGAGTGTCCCTCAGAGTGTGGTCCTACGTCCAATTTTGTTCATTTCTGATACTTTGTTTTCATTTTTTCTTTACAGTTTAGCTAACCTATCTCTGCTGATGACATCCAAGTGTATTCCTTAACCCTCGTCTTGGTGTTGACACTCTAAGAGCCTGAAATATCCAACTGGATATTTTCTCACCGATCTAAATTAAATTTGGACAAGGCTGAGCTTACTGTTTTTTTTACCCTGACCATCCTTTCTTCTGCCTTTCACTTTTTAAGATTGCTGGTACTGATATCTCTGATGGCATAAGATCTGGATTTCTTAGTGATGTTTCATCAATACAATGACAAAATCTTGTCAGTTTCACCTTAGGAGTATCCAGAATTCCATCCATTTTTTTTTTTTTTAAGTATTTGCATCATGCCTTGGTGGTGTCTCATTTGAATAACTGCAACAGCTTTTTGGCTGATCTTCCCGAATCTACTCTCTGCCCTTTGGTTCAGGTCCAGAATAATGCAGCCCATGTGGTCCTGGTCACCCTTATTTCTTCCTTCCACCAATATTTACATTGGCTTGGTCTTCAGAAGCATTAAAAGTTTAAACAGCTGGTGCTGATCTTCCAGGCTGTGTGTATAGGAACACCTACTTATTTGAACAACTTGGTAACAATTCTTGCTTCTGTGTGCTTAGTTCAATTGTGCAATCAGGGGCACTAAGTTTTCCCTCAAGTCAGAGGAGTTGACTCACATCTAGCTCTTACTCTTTGGATTTGACTGCCCCTTAAATTATGTTTGGCTTTCAGTCTCCTCAGATTTAAAATGCTTCTATTCTTTCAGTGTCAATACTCAGTACTGATTTTAATTATAGTAGCCTTGGGATTAGATGTTTTAATAAACGTTGTATTTTGATTTTAGTTTATACCATGTTGTAACTTTCACTGTCTACTTATACTGCACCTAGGTATACTATATGCCTTTAAGTACTAGCCACATATATATAAGAATCTTACTTTTCTGCAACAAAAACAAAGCTATAAAGAGACAACTTCATGCCTTAATATTTACATCTATTTATATACTATTAAAACTCTCATTCCCATGATCTTTAACTGGGTGAAACAGTGCATCATAGGGCAACAATTTTTGAACCAAGATACCTCAAATGGGCTAATTTACAGAATGAGTTAAATCTGTGGCTCATGATTCCCATGAATTGAAATTTGACAAATTCTTATAAAACATTTCCTGACATAAAACATAAAACAGCGTGTGACATACTACAAAATTTCATAGAACATTTCCTTTCCTGATGTTTGACTATGTTATATAGTGCAACATGGATTATTTTCAAAGCATTTTGAATGTATCCCAACTTTTCCAGTGAAGGCAGTACATTAGTTCTGTCGTTGTTGAAGGCATTGAGGAATATGGTAAGGAAATGTTTCTGAAAGGATGACCCAATGGGTCACAGGTTGTCTAGAATACAACTGAAACTCTCATGTCTGATTGTTTATAAACTTCAATTGGGCAAAATTATATGTCTGAGGCAACAGTTTTTGAATCATTGTATCTTAAATGGGCTAAATTAAAAAAATGCATCCAAAATCCAGAACCCATGATTCCCATGGGACTGAAATTTGGCAAATGTGTAGTCACTTCAGTGCTCGCATACTGCTATGCATCCACGGTCAACTGTGGTCACGTGATCATCCTTTCCAACGTTGTCTAACAGCTTCCTACAAGGAAAGTTAACTGCTTGTGGTTACAGGTTGTTCTTGACTTACAATAGTTCAATGGTGACCATTCAGTGTGACTTATGAACATTTTTCACACTTACGACCATTGCAATATCCCCATGGTCAGGTGATCAAAATTCAGACTTTTGGCAATTGACTCATATTTATGATACTTGCAAAGTCCCGGGGTCAAGTGATCACCTTTTGTGATCTTCTGACAAGCAAGGTCAAGGGGAAAATCCAACTCATTTAAAAACTGTGTTACTAACTTAATAACTGCAGTGATTCACTTAAAAAAGTGTGGCAAGAAAAGTTGTAAAATGGGGCAAAATTCACTGAACAAATGCCTCATTTAGCAACAGAAATTTTGGGCTCAATTGTGGTCATAAACCAAGGATTACTTACATTCAATATCTTTGTTTAAGTAAGGAAATATCTCTGAAACAATAGGCCATGGGTTATCCAGTATTCCTTCTTTCTGGGCCATTCTGGCTAATAGCTACTTTAAGCCTCATTATGCAATCTTCAGCAAGGACAACAATCCTGATCAAAAACAGAACTGATATCCACTGCATTCAGAACAATCTCCAAGACCTTCTTCCCATTTTTTGATCCCACCTGCTAACTTTGACACAAAGTTACGTACACTGATCTCTTTCTGTTTCTGGTGATGATCTTCAACCAGAGTGCCAGTAGTGGCATTCAGCTTCTCACAGTCTTCTTGGACTTGCAGGATAGTACTCTGGATTTGGTTGAGCACCTCTTCTTCCTGATTGGAACAAGCATGAATGCCAAAGTCAACAAGAAAAAAGTGACGGTCTTATTAACATTCTTGTTCTCTTTTTCAAAGTTCAAGCTGCTGCCTTTGGACAACCTGGAGTAAATAATGAAAGGTCGATCCATCTCTTCATGACAAATAGGAAATCCTGCAAAGAAAGTCTGCTCCAAAAGTTGGCAGGAGGATATTTTATTTGAATGTAATAAAATAAATTCCAGATATATGTGAAATAATATAAATGTATCTTTATTATATAACAGGCACATCTAGGTTGTGGCCCCAGTTTATTATTATTCATGATGGTCAGCTGTTATATACATTCTGATTTCCCATTAAAAGGTTGGAAGAAACAAAATGAGAACATCCTTGACATAGTAATGGAAGATGGATTCATATCTAGGACATTGACATGTTCTTTGGGTGTTCTTCTCACAACTTTTAGGCTTAGATTCATATGTGACAACTTAAAAATCAGATTAGTCGAAACTGAGGGAAACTCCATTGTTAAATGCTCTGCCAACATCCAAGTTCAAGAAGCACATGATACTAAAAGTAATTATGTCAGACTGGGGTCCCTGCATTCAACCTTCAAAGCCCTCTTGGAAGAGTATCTAAGAATAAGAGAGTAAAATAAAAGTTCACAAAAAAATCAAACCAAACCAAGCCCCCATGACCTTGGAAATTGGCCAGTTGAATAGACGTGTCTGTACACAGTTCTAAAAGACCGAAACTCTTTTAGAACAAAACCAGAAATCTTGCATAAGATTGAACTGTGTGCCATAATTGCTGCCATAATTTCTTCAGCTATTTTAAATTAAAGATAAAATAGCAGACAAATCAATGGAACAAAAGCAAAGCAACGCATAACAGGCTTACTAATGGAGTGTTGTAGGAGATAAGCTGCAATTCCGAATATCAACAATCTTACTGAACTTCATGATGTAACACAAGGTTTATGATAAGGTTTAAGATAAGCCTGGCCAAGGACATTGGGACTGCATGAAGCAAAGTTTGAATTATTAAAAAAAAATGAAATTGTGTAAAAGTGTTAAGTTTAATCAGGAATGAAACAATATACTTGAATCCTAGAAATGACTCTTAGAAAGCAGTTTTGGGAAGTTGGGAACCTGCTAGTTTCATGGCTAAAATACTAAAACCTCCTGAAACAGGAAGACAATCATTAAGCAGGGTATGATATTTATAGTTCCTCTTTCAAAACTATCAAAAGTAATTTCTATATTAAAAGTATTCCAGTTGTGCTGTTATCGTGAAATATGAAGTATGTTAAAACAGATCTGCTTCCATTTCCCCACACAAGATCTATGGCAAAAATGGTGCCTTCCTACATCATCGGTCTCTACATCCAATCAACCAGTGGAATGGCTTGTCTTCAGAAGTTGTGGTTGCTCCATCACTAGAGGCTCTCAAAAAGAGACTGGACAACCAAATGGTATAAGGTCTCTTGCATGACCAGGGGATTGGATTAGAAGACCTCCAAAGTCCCTTCCAACTCTATTATTCTACTGGTATGTTCTATGTTCCTGAGCAACTCTATTAGAAAACATGCGATGTGTTGAACTTGTGACTGCTTAAAAAATCCTCAAAGGGAGAAAGTACTTAGAAAGCCTCACTAATACTGCCATAGCTGAGATTAAGAAATTGTTGTTTAAAAAAGATAGCATAGCATGATGTATGGACCAAGTCAGTAAAGAATATGACCTGAAAGGTGAATGAATCTGCAAAGCATTTCTCTCCCCACTAGCAAGCAGGCAGCCACTATCGTTGGGGTAAAAGGTTGCGATAAAGCTCAGAGGCAAAAACTATGTTCTGCACACAAAAGCTCCCACATTCAGTTCCTGGCTTCTCCAGGAACAGCTGGCAAATACCTATATCTGACACTCTTAGAAAACACTACCAGGCAATACTGAGCTAGACAGATCATCCACACCTCCACAGTTCCAATAAATTAGGCCTCCCTATCCAAACTGTGGCTCAAAGCACATCCATTGTTGTCCATCTTGGAGAGGATTACCATGGCCTTAGCTATTTATTTATTAAATTTCCACACCACCCATCTCACCTGAGTTTGCAGTTTACAAAGCTATCCAGTTGAAAACTGAAAAGAAGTGCAGACTGAGCCATCTTCTTTCTGGCCTTACCTGGCGTTGCCTGGGTTTCTTCGTCTTGCTTTCTGCCTGCCTCAACATGAAGTTGTTGACTGAGTCCTGCAGCTGCTCGTAGCGCTTGAACAACTGGCTAACCTTCTCACTGACATCTAAGCTGCAGGCTGCGCACGTGCTTTGGACTTGAGCTGCACCAGACTCTGGGATGGGTGGCATGCTCATGGACAGCAAGGTTGACGAGGAGGACATCATGTTCTCTATGACAGATCTAAGCTTGTCTAACTGTGAGCAAGTGAGAAAAGCAGGGGTTTGGTTTCTTGAAAAGGAAATCTTGGTTTTCATCTCTAACATATAGTGGCAGAAACCAGCTGTTTTAATTTGTTGGACTGAATCAGTTTTCCTCAGCTTTGTAAGCTTATTTTAGAGGGAGTTCCAACACTGTTAGTTCCAGGACACTAGACTGGAGGATACCATATATCAGTGATGGCAAACCTTTTAGAGATCGAGTGCCCAAACTGCAACCCAAAACCCACATGCATCGTTGGATGCCGGGTCAGTGTGGCCCATTGGCTGGGTGTGGCCAATTGGGGTGTATGGCCCATTGGGTGGGCGTGGCTGCGATGGTAATGGCAGACTGGGTAGGACTAAAAAGTTCAATCAATCAATTCCAACTTTGCAAGATCTTTTTTTTTCCCATGAGAAGTTGAAATTGATTGATTGAACCTTTTTTTTTTTTTTTTGCACACAGCAGCAGAGGCCTATAACGAAAAGGTTTTATAAAACCCAGCTGAAGGCCTAGGACTGGGGTGATGGCGCATGTGCCCACAGAGAGGGCTTTGAGTGCTGCCTCTAGCACCCGTGCCATAGGTTCGCTACCACTGCCATATATGGATCTGGATTGGCCCGTTAAGGCAAAGCTGAGATAAACCTAAAAATACATAAAGCTAGAATAACCTTGTAATGGTAGAATTTGGCTTCATTATAATAATGTTAAATACATCAATAATCATTTAAATAGTTTCTAGAACTTCCCTGAAACTAAATCCCAACTCCAAAAGGCAGCTTCCACTGATATTAGCAAGAGTTTCCCACACATATTTTGTCCATGGGAATAATAGAGAATAATTGAAAGAGCTTTGGGAAGTGATTTACGACTTAGTGCAAGGAAGAAAAAGTCTGCTCCTGCTGAAAATCCCACCCCTCTTCCACTGCAACAATGTGGAACCTGAGCAAAAAGAGTTTTGAGGGCAGCTAGATAGACCTCCCAGTGGGCAAGCTTTGACTCTGTTTAATGGGAGTTCTCCCATAGGCATCTGCAGCTAGCCACGATTACATTCAAAATGATGAAACATGTTATTATGGTGTTATAAAGGAAACAAATTTTCCACTATATTAATGGGAAAAATGGGGGTTGCCCATCAGATTGATCTGAACACCTAAAGGATAGCCTCAAAATGGCACTCTCCAGATAGGCTGGACAACAATCTCCACTTCCCTTGAAGGCTAAGGATAATAGGAGTCATAGCCTACATCAGTGGTTCTCAACCTGTGGTCCGTGGACCCCTGAGGGGCTGCAATGTCATCACAGGGGATCCACAAAGGCTTGAAGAAATGTTGTGTTTAGTGGTCTGTGGCCACAAAAAAGTATTTAAAGGGGGTCCATGGTAAAGAAAAGGTTGGGAACCATTGGTTTACACCATTTTGAGAGTGCTAAATTGGAGGCACTTGCTATAACAAATCAATATGTTTTGCCAAGTAGCCAGGAACAAAAGGCTTGGCTTCTTCTTCTTCTTGATATGCAGAAATTAGCAAATGAAGCATTTAATGGGGGCTAAAGATTATCCTCCTGCTAATAGCTGCAGATAAAAAGCTCATTCAAGGAATAACTCCATGGGTATGGTTCTAAATCAAGAAATAAAGGCTCTGCAAGGCAACAAAGGGCAGATTAGATGGGAAGGAACAACCAGAACACTCTATAGCCAGGTGTTTCTTTCTGAAGCAGAAAGAGGCAAGGACCCATATAATAAACTTTGTTTTCTGCATGATTGTAATCCTGTAAACTTAAATGCCAGCCCAGAGATTAAAGGAGGGAAAGCTGTGCCAATTTCTTTAATTATAGAAATAAAATTGCCCCTTTGCTGAGCCCTCCCACAACTTGCCTATTTCCACCAGATGTCCTTTTCAACTTCTTGATAGTACAAGTTACAAACTCATGACTGGGAGGACTCCAGATTCCAGAAGCTGATTCTGACCCACATCTCTCAATACAAGAAAGTTAAAAGCTACCCACAATGTAATGAGGCTTTGGGCATGTTGAAGACAAGCTGAAAAAAAGTAAATCTAGTGAGCTAATCACCAGGAAGGCATCGTTATTCCTGTACCTTGTTACTACTAGTTCATTGTTAATTGCAAGACGAATGCAGAGCTGAAAATCATTGCTCCTGAAATAGAGGCAGCTTTGCTTTATTCAGATCTTATTTAGAATTGCTTGAACCTGTGCCATCCATTCGTTTTCCATTGGAAAACCATCTCTGCAAACCCCATCAAATTAGGAAAAATTCCAGGGGCTGTTCAAGGTCAAAAGAAATTAGGGGTCTCATTCTTGCTGGCCAGGAATAAACAGCACTGTGATGCTTTTTTCAAACTTTGTAGTTACTTCTAGACATTTCAGACACTTAACAACCCAAAGAAAACTTGATTTAAATTTCTGAGTATGGCCAAGAAGTACATATAAGTCAATTACTATGCTAGGTATTCAGGAAGCCAGTAATTCTGAAAACTGACCATGGTGCCTACATAAAGGTAAAGCGAGAGATGAAACATCAAACTTGGTAAAGTCTTGGTTTTCAAATCTTGGATTGGCTCTCAAGCCTGATTTTTTGTGTGATCCTTCATCTCCTGCTTATATTTCAAGCTTCTCACTGTGAATGTGTGGACAACATTGTGAGTTTTGTCCACACTCCTGACTCATTTATTAGCTTGCAAGTTCAACATTCTGGTCACTAGCTATAGAAACAACATCAACCAATTCAACACATTTCATAACAAAGGATTTGTCCATAATACATAGGAATAAATATAAATTCTAGAAAGGACACAGCAGTCTTACACACACACACACACACACACACACACACACACATACACACACACAGTGCTTTTCCCAGTTACTTGGGTTCTTTGTTGTTGTTGCTGTTTAGATTAGCTAAAGACATTCTGATCTCAACACATTCTGAGTTCATTTGCTGACCTGCTCCTGGAGGTAATAGGCATTGTCCGTCATTGATTGCTCCAATGTGGCTTTCCCCGTATCTTGTTTCTGTCTCAGCTCCTTTAGCTCTTTCTCTATATCCTGCACTGTTGCTCTGAATTACAAAACCAACAAAAAAGAAGTGTCACTCAGCAAATAAAACAATTTTTTTGGAGCATATGACATATATATGTCTACTTTGTCCACCATAGAAACTAATATATGGTTTCAAATATAATCCTGAAGCAAGGGTAGATCAGCAAATTTGCCTTGTTTGTTCCCTTCTCTTGAATTTTCCTGCAAATAGGATGGAGGTGTCCTTAAGTGTTTAATGATGTCACCTGGAAATGCAAAATGCTTCAAACATTTCTGCTTTCTATAAAACTGCAAGGGCAAATGAGTAGGACAGATCATCTGCAGGTGATAAACTGGATTAAATACCTACACAGGCTTTGAGCCAGAAACCCTTCTTGATTTTTTTTAAAGTCTTTTGCTTCTACAACTATATCACAGGAATCAATTCCCCATAGCAAAACACCCCAATACTGTGATAAGCACCTGGCCACAAGAGCCATGTGGTATGAGCCGATCACCACAATTCTTTCCATTTGGGGGCCAAAAGAGAGGGAGTTATTACTCATGCCCTAACTCAGGGGTAGGCAAGCTTGGCTCTTTTATGACTTATGGACTTCAACTCCCAGAATTCCTGAGTGATAGCAGATGCTATGTAACCAGATCTTTATGCTGAATCTCCTTGGTAAAATGCACGATTTTTAATAAAAGCATTTTTGTCATGTACCTGCATATATGCCACCCAGTGAAGTCAAAATTACATAATGACATGTCACTTTTTTGCTCAGTTACATGTTGCTCTGATAATGGAAGTAAGCAACATCCATAAATTTCATAATCTAGGTTTGGGGCTTCAGTTCAGGAAAGGTATCAACCAAGGAAACCAGCTACTTGCTATAACTAGAAGAAAAACTCCCTTGCTGATCTCAGCTAACTCCCAGACATGACACCACTTCCCCTCTCCCCAACAAATAACTTTTCATTTTTTTCAGGTGGAAGCCCTTACAAAATGTGTCTTTAAATGAGAAAGAGCTCAGTTAGAATGGTTAGTTTCTCATAACAGAATAGACCAGTGTGCTTGTCTGTCGTTAACATCTATCAACCAAACCAACTACAGTTTATTCAGTAGGCCATGGTTATTTATTTATTAGATTTACGTACCACTGTTATTTTGTAGAAATAAAATAAAGTTTCCTCCTACTATTTTTCCTCATCACCCAGTTAGTTTCCATGCCTAAGCAGGGACTAGAACTCCTGATCTTCCATTTTCTAATACAACACTTTAATCGGAAAACCCATTTGTGTAGTGGTTAAACAAATTACAATGAAGCACAGGCCAGTAACATATTTAAATGCATTTTCACATTCTGCAAGCTACACTAACAGTTTTGTTATATTGCTATATTTAGTCTATTTTCAAATATGAGCAATGCTGAATGCTTATAATGAAGGATGGCATGGAAATGTTTAAAATGCTGCTTTGATATCATCAATCGATTATGCTAAAATTACATTACAAAATCTTTGCTTATGCATCACCTTCCTGTAAGGCATCTGCAGAGAATGTGTCAAAAAAATCATAATAGTAATTGTGCCTATACAACCAAAACTCTTGGTGGAGAATCAATTGAGTGATCGCCATTTTGATTATTTTGACCCCGTGGGTACCTTAGCAACCAGCATCATGAGGTATTGACCAAGGGTTTTAGTTTGGCTGTTTTTGAAAAGGCAACTGAATGGAAGACCATATCCAATATCTTTCTGAGGAAAAATTATAGATTTTTTTTAAAAAAATCATCAATATATGTTTTCTAATGAATGCAATTGAAATCTCTGCTAGACAGGGCTTTTCTGTTTATATCTGTCAGAAAAGCCATAGCAAAAACAATGACATTTGCAAAAAATGAGCAGTCAAAGAAATTTGACATCAGAATATTTGGTAATTGAGAGAGCCAGATGGTATAGTGGTTTACAGGTTAGAAGCCAGGAGACTCTTAGTTCTAGTCCTGCCTGAAACACAAAGCTAGCTGAGTGATCTTGGGCCAGTCACTCTCTCTCAGCCCTAGGAAAGAGGCAATGGCAAACCACTTCTGAAATCTTGCCAAGAAAACTTCAAGGATTTGTCCAGAGTCAAGACTAACGCAAAGCATCTCTGCCCCAAATTGGCAACAAAGCATCAAATTAAGTTTGTGCATTTTACTTTAAAAAGTCATTCATTTCCTTGAAAATAATAATTAGGTTGAGGTTTGCCATGTACCTTTGTAACCTTTTAATACTTTCTTACACAGTTTTTCAGAATAAAGATCTCTTTTCCTTTTCTTCCTATAGCAAGCAGAACATGCACACGATAGATTGTCTGCCATTTACTATATTTAGCAAGATCTTAAGAATATCAGTGAAATAAACATGCTTGGCCCACCAGCAATATCATCTCTTCTAGTGCTTTCTAGTCTTTTACCTGAGATAACCTATTTGCAAGGTGATCTGACTAGCTCCCTCTATTTTCTCTGCCTCTTCTCCCGGCGATTCTCCTTCAATTGCATTCTGAATCCTCCTCAACTAGAATCACAATTGGAGGGAAAAGTAATGTTTAGAAGTCAGGTTTGCCACAAACAACTCAAATTACAAAACTCCTGTATAGAATAAAACATCCTGCGGGAGAAAAGGGGCAGCACAGATCTTTGTTGCAGCAAAGAAGTCTTGAGGTAGATAAATGGATGAGACCCCCCATAGACTCTGTTTGCCTATGTAGAAATAAATGAAATATTATAAATACCTGGGGTTGGGCAAAGCTTTGGATTTGATCTGAAAGAGATGCTTTCAGATCCCAGCATCTGTCTATGATTTATTAAAGGAGCTGTACACGATTGCTGGATTGTGAGTGCAGTTTCTCTGTAGCAGCAACAGCATGAACCTGGAAGAATCACATAGCTCCTTTAATAAATTTCTGACTGATGCTGTGTTCATGCTCAATTGCATTCCAAAATACTACCAAAGCACAGCACAGCTCCAAAGACTGCAGCTGTTCTACAGTCTGACAGCCTATAGATATATTGGATTATAATTCTTACAACTGCTAGCCAAAAAGGGAAGTTATTCCTAGCCATCTGGCAGCATATCCAATGAGTAAAGGATGATGGTAACCTGTTCTAGAATGGCCTATAGTTCAAATAAATGCAAAATGCCTAACTACAAATTAGAACCACATGCTTCCAACTGTGCTAGACAGAAGATACAACGTTTACATAAAAGTAGTTTTTTGCAGCTCCTCAAAGTTTGAAACCAATCTGCAATCATCTGCAAACACAAGAGTCAGCCCTTATTCATTCTCTTTTCCTTGAGGTGACTGACCGACCAGAAGAAATGCATAATCCCATTCCATAATCCAATCAATGTCCATCCCAGCCCTTGAAGTATTGCCTTCATTTTACACAAAAAGAAAATAAACTGCTAGCATTTCTTCCCCGGAGTGGGAACAAGATGCTGAAACTCTATAATAGATATTATGATCAGCTTATTTATTTAAGTCTAGGAAGTGGAATCAGGCAAAAATCTCTTGCCAAAGGGACAATGGATTATCTGCAGAGGTTCAATGGAAAATGCCAGAGTTGCTGTGATATCTAATAAATCTATAATGGTAATTGAGAATGACCTTGGGAGACAGGAGGAAGAGCTATGGCCTAAACCGGGGGGGGGGGCAGTTGCATCATGCAGAGGCCGCACTCACCCCACCTCCGGCAATGCAAAAAAAGTTGCAATACATCACAACACATCATGTGACGCTGCAAGTTTGACACCCGTGGCCTAAACAATGGTCTGATAAACAAAATTTGAGACCGAAATAGGAGGGGTGGCGAAAGCATTTCAGAAGGGACTTCCTCAGTTTTTGAAAGAGTACAGTGAAGGAAGGGAGGGGTACTTTCAAGGCTTAGAAAATTCTGTTAATACAACCTTACAAGTAAGGCAGAATTAATAATTATAGCCATGCTTCATATCTGGATTATCTTGGAATGCTAACAAATTCAGGCAGTTAAAAGCAAAGAAGAATTGACTCAGCTCTCCAAAACAGACAACATAAACAGATCAATCAGGTTTTAGAATGATTATTCTCAAAAAATTTCATTAGGAATAAAATTGAATCTTTATATAGCCCAATGGAAAATCAGAGAGTGGAAAATTGGACATGGCAAGCCCAGCTGCTGTCTGTCCTCACAGCCCTACTCTTGATGCACAACAAGGGCAACGGCAGAAGCCAGAAAAGGAAGGCGAAAATCAGATCTGTTGCTAGAAGACAACCTATGTAGGAGATTCCAGCTTCAGTTTTTGGCATCTCCAGGCAGAGCTGGTAAAACTGAGAGTTGCTGCCAAAGTGGAGCAGACAATATTAAACTAGGTGAATTTATGATCTTGCTCAATATAAGGTCTTATTAAAAACACGTAGTCACTTAACATGCAATTTCTACCAGGCCAATATTTCTGTCTCAATCTGCCCAGACTGAAATGCTGTTTGAGCATTGCAAACTTGGAAGAAACTGTCCGGTACAAGATTAATAATGAAAAAGGCTCATTTTTAAAAGAAGGAACTGTAATCAAAAGCAGCATCGGGCTGCATAGAATGACAACACATTACAGGGCACACATAGGAACTGCAAAGGGGGTAGGATATCTTCCACAAAATGCCTGCCTCCACAGAAACAAGTAGCTTTCTCTGACATGCTGTAATTGAGGCCCATATTTTTAGAGACCCAAAGCCAGAACTGGTGATCCCTGCAATGTCTTCAAGTAGTAATCAGGATGTGACTTGATATATTCAGCAAAATGCTGTCTGTTCTTGGTCTCAAAACCAAACACTTAAGCGTAAAAACATCTCGCTTTCCATTAAAAGGGATCACAGTACAAGACTGGATAATAAAGCCAAAAATGATGACAAGGAGCTTTGTAATATATTTAGGACAGAAAGCTATTGATTACGGACACAACCTCCTTTTAAAAAAATGTCTCCTTAGTTTTAAAATAAAATTCAATGCATTAGGATTACGACCACAATTGAGCCCCAAATTTCTGTTGTTAAGTGAGACATTTGTTGAGTTTTGGCCCATTTAACGACCTTTCTTGCCACAGTTGTTAAGTTAATCACTGCAGTTGTTAAGTCAGTAACACGGTTGTTAAGTGAATTTGGTTTCCCCATTGACTCTGCTTGCCAAAAGATTACAAAAGTGATCACATGACCCTGGGCCACTGCAACCGTCATAAGTAGGAACCAGTTGCCAAGCATCTGAATTTTGATCACATGATCATGGGGATGCTACAAAGGTTGCAACTGTGAAAAATGGTCATAAGTCACTTTTTTCAGTGTCGTCGTGACTTTGAATGGTCATTAAATGAACTGTTGTAAGTCAAGGACTACCTGTACTTAATAAATAAACAATGAGTCATTCAGCTGCAGCCCATGTTCTAGATCGCCTTCTAAAGCACCATTTCCCTGGAAAATCTGAAAGCAGCCATTCTCACAGCCTGATTCCCCTTCTTCACTCACCACCTCTTTCTCAGATTTGAAGTCTTCTTCCAAGGAACGCATAGCATTAAGTTGTTCTGACAGATTAGGTGGAATGGTAGCAAAGGTCTTGTAAACTATTGAGAAACAAGGAGGAAAAAAAGCTATGAATATGGTCAGGTAGATCTTGCAACAAAATAATATATAATCACCCATGCCCTCCCTTGCCCATTGTCCCATTCCCCATTTTTTCAAAGTTCTGCTCCTTTCCCCACCTCTGTTCTAAAGTAGTAGCATTCTTCATGACCTGAGAACAGGTTAAATCTTTCTCATCTATGTAGCCCTAGAAATGTAATTTCCTCCCATCCTTGAGAATGGGAATAAGGCTGGCAGTGACCTTAGATTACTTCAGCGGTGGGCTGGCAACAACACAAAGGCTACACTGTGAGGCCCCATCTTAGAGAAAATGTTAATGCAGTGTTCCCACGAAAAGCGGAACATGTGGATGAGCTTTTTCTTGGGCTCTTTCCTTTTTATCAATACTACGAGATTCATCCCTTCAAAAGGATCCTGGCCTCTTCTGATTAAAAAATGCAGACCTCACCCCCCTCTGCTCCCACAAAATATATGGAATGGTGATGAAGAGCGCAATTTTGCTTTTCAAAAATACTTCAGCAATCTCTAGGTCAGTGATGGCGAACCTATGACATGTGTGCCCAAGGTGACATGCCACAACACTTTTGAGGACATACTAGCGTTCACCAGCACCCGGCAGTTCTCAAAAACATAGCCCATTCTTGTGTGATTTGTGGAGGGCGTGGGAGAACGGGGTGTGCTCTTGTACAGGCTCCAGAAATTGCCCATGCTCTTGCACAGCCTCCAGGGCAGTCCAAAATTGTGTGAACGGGAAGTGCTTTTGTGTGGCTTCTGGAGGCTGCAGAAGTCATGGAAGAGAATTGTCCAATGCCGCTTCAAGAATGAAGGCCTTGTGCAATCAGGAACAACCTCACACAGGCTGCAGGGCCTGTCAGCAGAAAGAGAACAGGTAAAGTAAACAGAGCATGGTAGCTCCCAGGAAGTGCTGTGCTGCAGGGGCAATCACGTCCATTTTGAATGGTGATGGTGGCGCTAGGACTGAAGTCAAGGCCCAGACCTTTATTTCAGGGCCAGCCTCAGCACTACCACTGAATGCTGCAGTTCAGGATGGCTAGATGGGGGGAGGGGAAGATAATTTTTTTTCTTTAGTTGTGGGGGAATAGGAAGGGATGACATGCCAGCAGTCAAATTGGGCATTTTCTGAAATTTTGACATGCCAAGCCCAAAGGGTTCACCAACACTGCACTAGTTTTATTGATACCTCTGTCTTCTTCACATTGTGTTCTCAGGGTATCAGATAAGTTTCAATGAAGGAATTATTATATAACGTGGGGTGAAGGGGGTTACATGCACATGCAATCCGTACGTGCATCAGTGAGGAAGTCCTGTAGCCTGCGGAGATCAGAATGGCCACACTTGTAGTAGTCCAGCATGGCGATCTGGTCTCTGAGAGTTTGGTAGAGGTCATTCAGCTGGGAAAGGGAGCGCAGGGCATCCAGGGTCTCCGCATAGCGAACTGGAGCCAAATTGGTCGAAGAGGAAGGCGTCTCAGAATACCCCATAGGAGTGGTCGAGGGGAGGAAAGGAGATGATGGGGGTGTAGCTCCAACACCTGGCACAGGTTGCACAGTCAACTGATCTGCTGGAGCAGCAAGTAAGGCAGGGTGTTGAAATCCAGGTGGAAAGAGCCCGGGCACTCCAGGCTGGCCAGGATATCCAGTTGGGACTCCAGGGGCACCAGGATATCCGGGTTGTGTCCCAGTTAAAGCTTCAGGGTAGACTGGTTGAACCCCAGGAGCACCAGGATACTCTGCCTCAATCCTAGGAACACCAGGCTGGGTCCCAGGAGCACCAGGTTGAACATCACGAGCACCAGATTGGGCACCAGGAGCACCAGGTTGGGCACCAAGAGCATCTGGTTGGGCCCCTGGAACACCGGGATATGGAGCTTGAGCCCCAGGTGCCCCAGGATAGACCCCCGATATTTCAGGATAAGATGACTGGACTCCAGGAACTCCAGGCTTGGCCCCAGGAACACCAGGCTGAGCTCCAGGAGCCACAGGTTGGACCCCTGAATCCCCCAAATATGGAGCTTGAGCACCAGGTGCTCCAGGATAGGGTGGTTGGCCTTCAGAAACTCCAGGTTGGGCTCCAGGATATGAAACTTGGGCCCCAGAAGCCCCAGGTTGGGCCCCTGAAACCTCAGCATATGGGGCTTGAGCTCCAGGTGCATCAGGATATGGAGTCTGGGCTCCAGGACTTCCAGACTGGGCCTCAGGTGCTCCAGAATAGGGTGCTTGGGTTCCAGGATCTCCAGGCTGGGTCCCAGGTGCTCCAGGATAGGGCACTTGGGCTCCAGGACCTCCAGGCTGGGCCCCAATTGCTCCAGGATAGGGCACTTGAGCTCCAGGATCACCAGGCTGAGCCCCAGGTGCCCCAGGATAGGGTGCTTGGGCTCCAGGATCTCCAGGCTGGGCTCCTGGTGCTCCGGGATATGGTGCTTGGGCTCCAGGATCTCCAGGCTGAGCCCCAGGTGCCCTAGGATATAGTGCTTGGGCTCCAGGACCTCCAAGCTGGGCTCCTGGTGCTCCGGGATATGGTGCTTGGGCTACAGGACCTCCAGGCTGAGCCCCAGGTGCCCCAGGATATGGTGCTTGGGCTTCAGGACCTCCAGGCTGGGCCCCAGGTGCCCCAGGATATGGTGCTTGGGCTTCAGGACCTCCAGGCTGGGCCCCAGGTGCCCCAGGATATTGTGCTTGGGCTCCAGGACCTCCAGGCTGGGTCCCAGGTGCCCCAGGATAGGGGGATCCAGGACCTCCAGGCTGGGTCCCAGGTGCCCCAGGATATGGAGCTCCAGGACCTCCAGGCTGGGTCCCAGGTGCTCCAGGATAGGGGGATCCAGGACCTCCAGGTTGGGCCCCAGGTGCCCCAGGATAGGGGGATCCAGGACCTCCGGGCTGGGCCCCAGGTGCCCCAGGATATGGTGCTTGAGCTCCAGGACCTCCAGGCTGGGCCCCAGGTGCTCCAGGATAGGGGGATCCAGGACCTCTAGGCTGGGCCCCAGGTGCCCCAGGATAGGGGGCTCCAGGACCTCCAGGCTGGGCCCCAGGTGCCCCAGAATAGGGGGCTCCAGGACCTCCAGGCTGGGCCTCTGGAACCCAAGGATGTGCAGGTTGAACCCCAGGTATACCAGGATAGGGACCCTGGGACCCAGGATAAGTCCCAGGTGCTGTAGGAAAGGGGGCCTGGGCTCCAGGTGCCCCAGGATAGGTCCCAGGTGCTCCAGGAAAGGGAGCCTGGGCTCCAGGTGCCCCAGGATAGGTCCCAGGTGCTCCAGGAAAGGGAACCTGGGCTCCAGGTGCCCCAGGATAGGTCCCAGGTGCTCCAGGAAAGGGAGCCTGGGCTCCAGGTGCCCCAGGATAGGTCCCAGGTACTCCAGGAAAGGGGGCCTGGGCTCCAGGTGCCCCAGGATAAGTCCCAGGTGCTCCAGGAAAGGGAGCCTGGGTTCCAGGTGCCCCAGGATAGGTCCCAGGTGCTCCAGGAAAGGGAGCCTGGGCTCCAGGTGCCCCAGGATAGGTCCCAGGTGCTCCAGGAAAGGGAGCCTGGGCTCCAGGTGCCCCAGGATATGCCCCAACTGCTCCAAACTGAGGTGCAAATGGTCCTGGAACCCCAGCAATGCCTGGCAGTGCTCCAGGGACAGCTGCTCCACTTGGAGCCCCTGGTGCTCTGGCCTGAGCTCCTGGTAGTCTAGTTGGTGGGCTCTGGCCTCCTTCTGTTCTCTGGGCAGCAGTGCCAGGCTGAGATCCCACAGTTTTGCCTTCTGGTGAGGTTGAATCAGTTGGAGAGTGTTGGACTGGACTTGTCTCCTTAAAAGGAAAATGGAAAGGGGACAGATTTAATAACAGGCGAAAGAGAACAAAAATTTGATTACTTAAAAACACAATATGGGACAAGATTAGTTGTATTTTTAAAAAAATGCAATTTTCTATCCTTGACACAAATATTATAGCCCGAAGTGATTAAACAATGCTGGTGCATAATTAGAGAATGTGAAAAATTTCAGATAGAATTTGGCATGGCTTTTTTTTTTATTAAAAAGTTTTTATTTTCCATTTATTCATACAAAATACAATTAAATTCCTAACCATTGGTACCGCCTGCCCATTCCCCCCAGGCTTCGTCCACCCTCTCTAATCCTTCCCCACTTCCCTCCTCTTTCTCTCCTCCCCTCCTACTCTCTTCCCCTCCCCTTCTCCTCTAACCATCCTACTTCCTCCCTACTCCTTCCTCCCCTCCCATTCCTCTCACACACATGAACGCAGCATAGGGGAAATGCCCAAGCGTTTACCATGTCTATATTATCATTGCCCACCCACCCACTCACCCACCCACCCACCCTCAACCCTCCCCCCCTCGCTTCCCAGAGCAGAATACAGGGTTATTATTAAGAAAGTTAACAATAATAAAAAAGAAAAAAGAAAAAAAGAAAACAGAAAATAAAAGAGAAAAAAAAACATCATACTTAACCTTTAACTCCCCTTAAATTAAGTCATATAAACAAATCTCTACAACAGTTACTATAAAATTTACTCATAAAATAAATGAAACTTTATAGTCCCATATTTTTTCTGAATATAATCTATCCATCTTCTCCATACAATAATATATCTTTCTTGTGTATGATCCTTCAAATAAGCAGAAATTTTTGCCATTTCTGCAAAGTTAGAAACTTTAAATATCCATTCTTCTAAAGTGGGCAACGAGTCCTTCTTCCAATACGAGCCTACTAATAACCTTGCTGCAGTTAATAAATTCAACAGTAAAGTAGTTTCTTTGTCATTTAAATCCACAAAGATACCCAATAGGAATAATTGAGGGGTGAACTTTATCTTCCTTTTAAAAATCTTTTGAATGTTTCACCAAATCATAATCCAAAAAGCCTTTACCTTTTTACAATTCCACCAAACGTGAAAATATGTCGCATCCATATTACCACATCTCCAACATTTGGGTTGTAAATTTGGATACATACAAGATAATTTTTTAGGATCTAAATGCCATCTGTAAAACATTTTATAAAAATTTTCCCTCAAATTTTGAGCTTGTGTAAATCTAACCTTTCTAATCCAAATTGTCTCCCATGAGTCCAATAGAATCGGATCCTGGATATTCTGAGCCCATTTAATCATACAGTCTTTAACCAATTCTGTTTCAGAGTCTAATTCTATTAAAGCATTGTAAATTCTTTTTATATGGGCCTGACTCTGATCTTTAATCTGAATAACCAGATTTCCATCTTCTAGTGTTATTCCTTCTTTTTTATCTACAATCCACCTGTCCACTATTTGTAAATATTGAAACCATGACTGTAGAATATTTTCTTGCCTTAATACATCTAGAGCAGGGGTAGGCAACCCAAAACACTCAAAGAGCCACTTGGACCGGTTTCCCACCAAAAACAAAACACCGGGAGCCGCAAAACACCGGGAGCCGCAAAATTTTGATATCTAAAATGAAGATAACACTGCATATATCCTTTTTTACTATTATAGGTGTGTGTGTGTGTGTGTGTGTGTGTGTGTGTATGTGTATACACACACACACACACACACACACACACACACACACACACATTAAAAATAAAAGTAAAAATATGACTCTTGGGAATATCCATACTATTAAAACAATGATCACCAAGAGAATGCTTTAAGAGAATAAAATTACATACACACACAGGTAAAAAAAGGATATATGCAGTGTTATCTTCATTTTAGATGTCAAAAGGGTCTCTCTCTCTCTGTCTCTCTCCCTCTCTATCTGCCCTTGGTCTGCCACTCCTCTTCCCCCACTCTTTCTTTCTCTCTCTCTCTCTCTCCCCCTCTCTCTCTCTTTCTCTCTCTCTCTTTCTCCCCCCCCCTCCTATCTGCTGCTCACCTGGCAAGCTTCAAGTTGTTCTCCAACAATCTCAGGGGTAGGCAACCTTGTCTCTTTTATGACTCATGGACTTCAACTCCCAGAATTCCTGAGTCAGCCTAGCTGGGCTAGCTAGCTCTCTCCTGCCCTTCTTGCTTCCTGCTTCCTGCAGAGACGCAGCAAAGGGAGGAGCTCCGCCCAGTAAGCTTTTCAGCTCCTCGGAGAACACTGTGAGTGCACTCTCTTTTACACATACACACACACACAAAACACACACAGACACACACACATACAGAGACAGAGAGAGAGAGGGGGGGGGCAGGGAAGCGCAATTGCCTCTCTCTGTCTCTTTCTCTCTCTGCAAAGGCAGAGGAGGCTGGGAGCCACAGGGGAAGGCTCAAAGAGCCGCATGTGGCTCCGGAGCCGCAGGTTGCCGACCTGTGATCTAGAGATTTTAAATGCCAATCCGAACCAAGTTAATAATTCTTTATACGAAATTTTATCAAAATTCATCCCCTTAGAAATCCCCTCAATTGCATGTCTAGGAATCCCCCAGATAGGTATTTTATAGTTTAACCTATAATAATACTTTTTCCAAACTCGAAATAAGGCACTCCTCAAAATATGTGATTTGAAAGCCCGGTCCACTTTCTTATTAAAAATTAAATATGCATGCCAACCATACATTAAATCCCACCCTTCAAGAACAAGAATATGCTTATTTGTTAAATTAAGCCAATCACTTATCCAAGTTAAGGCGGCTGCATCATAATATAATTTCAAGTTAGATGCTTTAAGTCCTCCTCTTTCTCGGGCATCTTGCAAAATCTTAAACTTAACCCTTGGTTTTTTCCCAGCCCCAATGAATTTATTGATACCCTTCTGCCATTCCTCCAAATTTACATCTTTTTTAAAATAGGTATCATCTGAAACAAGAAAAGAAACTTTGGTAGAACATTCATTTTTACAGCTGAAATTCTCCCCAACAATGACAATTGCAGTTTTTTCCAGTCATTTAAATCCTTTTGCACTTTTGCCCATAGTAATTCATAATTATTTTTATACAATTTTCCATTTGAGGCAGTTAAATATACTCCCAGATATTTAACCTTTTTCACCATCTGAAAACATGTGGCTTTAACCAAACTTTCCTTGTCATTGGCTAACATATTCTTAGATAATATCTTAGTCTTATGGTTATTGACTTTAAAACCAGAAACTTTTCCATACTGTGTTATAAGTTCTAATAGACAATCAACCGCTCTAATCGGTTGTTCCAAAATCAAAACCAAATCATCCGCAAAAGCCCGTAATTTATAGTCATTTTTTCTTATCTTTATGCCCTTGATTACCGTTGATTCTCAAATCTGGATCAACAAAATCTCCAATGTCAAAACAAATAACAATGGAGATAATGGGCATCCTTGTCTTGTCCCTTTTTCAATATTAAAAGTCTCAGTCAATCCCCCATTAACAACAATTTGAGCAGATTGTTGCTGATATATAGCTTTAAGTGCATGTAAAAAGTTATCCCCAAAATTCATTTTCTCTACCAGTGAGAATAAGAATTGCCAATCTAATTGATCAAAGGCTTTTTCAGCATCCAAAAATATAAAAGCCACAGGAATCTGATTGTTCTTATCCAAATACTCAATTAAGTTAATAATTTGTCTAACATTATATTTCATGTATCACCCTGTTATGAATCCTGATTGATCACTATGAATCAAATCCTTCATAACCTGCATTAATCTATTTGCCAAAATTTTTGTAAAAATCTTGTAATCTACATTTAATAATGATATCGGCCTATAATTCTTAGGCTCTGTAAGATCTTGATCCTTCTTCGGAATCAATGATATAAACGCTCTTTTCCAAGAAAGAGGAACTTGTGCTCCCAGCAAGATACTATTAAAAAGCTCCTTTAATGGCTCCAACATTTCTTCATATAAATTTTTTATAATACGTCGACGTCAATCCATCTGTTCCTGGAGACTTTCCCACCTTTAACTGCTTGATAGCTAAGCCAATTTTCTCCACAGTAATTAAACAATTCATCCCATTTTGCTGTTCCTCAGAAAGTTTAGGAAAATGTACTGATTGTAAATATTTATCTATATCCATTCCCTTTATATTATCACTTGAGTGTAGTTTTGTGTAAAAATCTAAAAAACTCTTTTTAATCAAATTTTGCTGAAAAACTTCAGTACCTTTATATTTTACTTTCTCTATAATCCTAGCCTTCTGTTTCTTTCGTAACTGATAAGCTAACCACCTCCCAGGTTTATTCGCATTACAAAAAGTATTATGTCTCATATAACGCAAATTGGTAGCTACCTGATCTGCCATCAACATATTAAATTGTTCCCTAAGCATCTTTATAGAAAGCTTTAAGTTATTATCAGTTGGATTAAGAGCAAGCGCTTCTTCTTTTATTTTAATCTCATCTTCTATTTCTCTACATCTTTGTATCCTTTTATCCCTAGAAACTTTATTTAAATGAATTAAAATTCCCCTCATATACGTCTTACTGGCGTCCCAGACCATGGGCATCGATGTACCCTTATTCATATTTAAAGCAAAAAACTCCTTTAAATACTCTTTACATTTTTGTACAAACTCTCCCCGTGTAAACAAATTCTCATTCAGTCTCCAAGGCCTTCTGTTCCCATCTTCCAAGTATAGCTCCATCCACACAGGACTATGGTCTGATAGGGTCCTGGGAAAGATTTTTACCTTTCTCACCCTAGAAAGAAAATCACTAGTAATCAAAAAGAAGTCAATCCTTGAAAATGACTGATGTCTATCCGAATAGAAGGTAAAATCTCTATCACTTGTGTTCCTTTCTCGCCAAATGTCAATAAGTTCCAACTCTTCTTTCAAATCAAAAAAAGTTTTGGGTAATTTAGTTTGAGTAAAATTTTTTGAAGAGCTCTTTTTATCTATAGTTATATCCAAAACTCCATTCCAGTCACCCATCAAAATTACGGATTTATAATCCAACTGGGATATCTTCCCATGCAAAAGCTTATAAAATTGCTTCTGTTGTTGATTAGGGGCATATAGTCCAACAATAAGAACTTTCTTGCCTTGTAACAGTAGTTCCACAAAGACATATCTTCCTTCAAGATCAACCTCAATTAATTTAACCGATAAATTTTTCTTCACATAAATTACAACACCCCCTTTTTTCCCTGGAGCTGGAGCTATAAAATGTGATCCCAAATGAGAATTTGTCAAATATTTTAAGTCCTTTGAAGTTATATGAGTCTCTTGCAAACATATCAAGTCATTATTATGTTGTTTCAAATAGCAGAAGACCTTTCTCCGTTTCTGAGGTGAATTTAAGCCATTAACATTCTAGGTCATGAACTTGGCCATCTACACCGGCCTGAAGCCTTTGAAGCATGGCCTGAAGATCAACTGTCGAAGATCTTTTAGGTCTTGCCCTTCCCACAGGCTCTGTAGTAACCATTCCTTCTACTTTATCGCCACTCTTCTGCTGCTGCTCTTTTTCTGCCATAACGGGCTCTTCAATTATCCTTGTTTGTGGAGGTGAAGACGGTCTTGCCTTTAGAATAGAGTGATAGAAATCTCTTGCCTTTAAAACTGTAGTTAATCTGTGACATATTCCATCATAATTCACTACTATTCCTCTTGGAATCTCCCATCTGAAATGGATTTGATGACGTTTTAATTCATCAGACAGAAAAGTAAAATCTTTTCTACTTCTTAAAATTTTTGGAGGTATTTCTTTTAAAATTATCACATCTTGAGCTGCAATTTGAAACCTCTTTTTATAAAAAGCCTATATAATTTCATTACAAATAGATCTTCTGGAAAAGTAAATAACCACATCTCTTGGTAAATTTCTCTGTCTGGCCACCCGTGAGTTGACTCTGAAGATTTTTTTCTATCTCATTCCAACTTCTTCTGGTCTCCATCCAAGATTAAAAGCGATATCTTTAACAATAAGCATCTTCAAATCTTCTTGGGAATTTTCTTTCAAACCCCAGATACGCAATGCGAACTCCATTTCTCTGTATTGTGAAATAGTTTGTTCATCCTGAGTAACTTCTATCTTATTCTCCACTTTCACCATTCTAAATTCCAATTTTGCTGCATTTTCAGTAATCTCTTCCATTTTATCATCAATCCTTTCAATATGCAGGGCAAGACCAGAAAACGCAAATAATATGTCTTCTCTGACCTGATTGTTCTTTTTCTCCAATAATTCTTCTGTAATAGCCCTCTCTGCAATTATAAGATCTTTTACCTCCTCTTTAATATCCAAAGCAGTCATTTTTAAAGCCTCTTGTAAGTCTTTGAGAGAGATTGCAGGAGGAGGAGAGGGTGGGGGTGATTTTGGTTTAGACTGAGAAGCAGGCTGAGTCATTGGGGAGGAAATAGAAGCTTTAGGGACAGAGACCAAACGTTTTGAAGCCATTCTGTTAAGTTCAAAGGAGCAAAATTCTTGCCTCTATAATATCACAGTTCTTTAAATAATAATAAAAAGAAAGAAAAAAGGGGAAAAAAAGAGAAAGAGGAACAAAATTCTTGTCTCTATATTTAAAACATAAACTTTTAACTTTGTTGCAAAGTCAAACAAGAAAGACAGTCGCCATTTTGCCTTTCACTTTCCCTTTCTTCAAAAGGGAAAGTAAACAAAGAGAAGAAAGGGGGGAGAAGATGCTTGCAGGAGTTAAAGTCACAATCAATCTTAAATCCACTTTCTCCTGGTCTGCTCCATCTGCATTTGAATACTCACAAGCCTCCAAAAAAAAAAAGCAGATGTGGGAGTGGTGCCTTGCTTCATCCCAGAACTTTGGGACAAAGACATCCTGGAGTGTGGAATTGGCTCAGGCTCCGAGGGAGCTCTACCCTCGATCCCTGAAATTATGGGGATCCAGGGGAGCTCTTACCTCTACCTGAGCAGCTCTTCTCTTCCCTTTCTCCCAGGGAAGAGATTCAAGCCGCGGGACAGCTGATTGTAAAAGTCTGCGGCTTTTACACAATCCAGGAACAGGCTGCTTTGTGAAAAGCAGCCATCGTAGCTGCTTGATCACACCGGAAGTCCAGATTTGGCATGGCTTTTGATCTTTGGTCACAGATGAATAAAACTGATTGAGAGTTCAGACCAAGAAGCAGAGTCCCTGATCAGCCTGGCTTACGGTAGCTCAGTTACTTCACCATAGCCTCACTCATTTTTGCAGAGCTGTTGTGAGAATAAATGGCTATCCTAAACTCCTCAGTGGAAAAGTGGAATAACGATGTGAGAGGATGTCTCTCAAGCGATATATTTTCATATCTTTAATTTACCCAAAATGAAATGGGATAGTAACAGTCGCACCAATCAGAGAATGTATTGATTTGAACAGGTGACCTTTCCTTTAAACCAGAGGTCTTCAAACTTGGCCCTTTTATGACTTGTGGACTTCAACTCCCAGAATTCCTCAGCAAGGCATGCTGAGTCATAAAAGGGCCAAGTTTGAAGACCCCTGCTTTAAACCATCAACAAAACTTGTTTGAAAAGAAATGCAATAGTATCTAAATGCAATAGTATCCATTAAAAGTATCCATAAACTTGTATACATCCACAACATAAGTAGGAGGGTATCTGAAATGGTGACAGAAGGACAAAGTGCATTTATACTCATTCATTATCTATACACTAATGCTCTCTGTATGATAAATAAATAAGTTGTCTTTGAACTCTTCCCTCAAGAAAGCAAAGATAATTTCTAGACATAGTAGGATGATTTCTATACAGGAATATAGCAAGGATATACTTTCACAAGAAAAATGAATAGAAAAGGAAAATTAACATGGTATGGTTTAGCGCTATGTGGTTAAAATTCAGGTGAATAAACTTGATGATGCCACAGAAAATGTTTGAATTAAAATAAGAGGGGAACACCTAAACCATATTTAGGAAGAAAAACTAAATGAATAGGTATACCTTTTATCTGGTTCAACAGTAGTAATTGCAAGAGGGATCTTGCAATCACTTAAATATCAGCCAGAAGAGTGCTGCTGCCGCCAAAAAAGCCAATGCAGTCCTAGGCTGCGTTAACAGAGTTACAGAATCAACATTATGTGAAGTGTTAATACCACTTTATAATGTCTTGGTAAGACTATACTTGGAATATTACATTCAGTTTTGGTTACCATGATATAAAAAAGATGCTGAGACTCTAGATCAGGGGTGTCAAACTGCTGGCCCGCGGGCCGAATGCATTATAGCAAAACCGCGCCCATCCCATTTCCAGCAATGGAAAAAAAGTTGCGATACGTTGCGACATGTCATGTGACGTTGCGAGTTTGACACCCCTGCTCTAGAAGGTGTGCAAAGAAGAGCAACAAAGATGATTAGGGGACTGGGGGGCAAAACATACGAAGAATAGTTGCAAGAATTGGGTATGTGTAGTTTAATGAAAAGGACTATGGCTGACATGATAGCAGTGTTCCAATATCTCAGGGGCTGCCACAAAGAAGAGGGAGTCAAGCTATTCTCCAAAGCACTGAAGGCAGGACAAGAAGCCATGGATGGAAACTAATCAAGAAGAGAACTGACTTAGAACTAAGAAAAAATTTCCTGACAGTTAAACAATTAATCAGTAGAAGTTGTGGGTGCTTCAACACGGGAGGTTTTTAAGAAGAGACTGGACAACCATTTGTCTGAAATGTATAGGGTCTTCTGCTTGAGCAGGGGATTGGACTAGAAGACCTCCAAAGTCCCTTCCAACTCTTTTATTCTATTATTCTGTAATAAGGTTGTATATACTATTGCTTGACCAAATAGGAGATGAAGTTTATGCCTCTCAAAAGAAAATTACAGTTCTCTTAAAGAAACACGTAGATAAGAAACTTTAATTATCCCAACATTTTAGATAGAAATAAAAGACATTTGTAGGGAAATGGATTCTGTCTAGTATAATACTTTCAGGAAATTACTGGTTTACTCTTCAAAGGGAAGAAGACAGGAGGATCAGATTTCCTCAACTTGATACTAACTCATTAGGATTATTCCACTGAGGAAATTGCAGTAGCAGGTATATTAGGGAAAGTAATTATGAATGAATGAAAAAAGTAACTCAAGTGGAGAGGGAGAGCTTTAAAAAACAGCATGCATGTAAGCAGTACAAAGGGACTGATTACCAAGGAAAAAACACAGGCAGCGTAGTAGAAGTATGGAGAGATATAAGAAAAGGTAAAGGTGAGAATGAGCCAAGACTGATAAAGAATGCTAAAACCACAAAAAGTCCTTTTTTAGATATAGACAAAACAAAAGAAAGAGAAAAGAATTATTGCAGCAACTGCCCGATGAAGACTGCAGAAAGTACCCCATCTCTTAAAAATGCAGATAACAACATGTGAAACAAAACAAAGCAAAAAAAAAAAAAACCACCAAAAAACCCAGAACAGTTCAGTTCCTACTTTTGATTCAGCCTTGACCAGCAAAAGCACATTTGGAGAAATAGTGAAGTGCAGTTGACTGGGAGAGGATAAATGTTGTCCTTAACTTTATATCTCTCTATAAATTTTAGCCATTATACTGTACTTATAAACTGTTGGATGAACAATATGGAAGGTTCCTCCTTTCTTCAAGAATTAAGGAGGAGAGAGAGATTGCATGGTCCATATCCGATAACTCTTTCATATCAGAAAGAACAATTAAATTTGTAATGTACAAGAAAATAGGCGTCAGTACTAAATAATCAAACTTATTTTGGGATTTTTTTTTTCTCCAAATGTGGTACAAATTGATAACCTATGTTTATCACAACTTATCTTCAGCATGAATCCATTATGGGAACATGATGTTCTAACTGAATCATACTCACAGGAGAAGGGCTCTTGCCCTTCACAAGGATATCTTCAAGAACTTCCCACCGTACCATTTCTTCTGGGGATGGGAATTGGTTTAACCTCTTCTCTAAATCTTTCTAGAAAGAAATCAAAACCAAAACATATGAAAATCATCCTTTCTGTCCCATACATTCTGTCTATCGTCATTTTTTCTTCATTAGGAATTTGGAAGCCCAGGTAATTACTTTAGATAACAGCATCAAATTAGGAAGCGAATCATCCAGCAATTAGTTGCTCCAGGACTCACTATCCTTTCCCTTCTCGTTTCCTTGTTCCTTTTGGGTTAAGTCTATTTAAGACCATCAGCAGGGATTGTCATCACAGACATCCCTGAAAGCACATATGTTCACGGTGTCATGACTCAGATATGCAACTTACATACTTTTGTCAATTGTAATCATGAAAACGATGCAAATTACAAAACGTATCGTCTGTACAATGACATCATAGCAAGAGAAAACATGCAGAAGATTATTAGAATGAATGACAGCCTTGCTTAGTTAGGACCTGCCAATGTGCTGAGACTTTGCCAAAAAAAAAATGACTATGTACCAATTCAGAGAGCTAGACGGTGAACCTGGAGATCACAAATGAGTTGTGGAGTTTCTCATGCCATTAATTTGCAGCAGAAGCCCTGGGGAGAACTGTCAGAGTTCATCTGCATGATCTCTGGCAGCTTTCTATAAAGCGAACCTGATAATGCAAGAGAAAAGTGGGACTGCCCATATAAACTAGTAAGAAGCAGAATTCCTCAGCAAATAACAATGCCAAGCTTGCACACTAAGAGCTTCAGACCAGAATGAAAGATGTAGTTAACGCAGAGCACCTGGGGCAATTAGACAAACTGCTTCAGATACTTTGGATTCTACTAACTACACCATCACTAGGGGGTATTTGAGCTGGCAGAAAAAAATACTTTTCTGTGGAAGGCAAGAACATACCAAATCATGATCCAAACTACTCTGATCGCTCAGGCAAGTATTTAAACGATCATCAAACCCATGAGGATCTAGCTGCAAAATGAAACAAAACTTTGGGTTACGCTTTTTATTCAAATAAAAGATGTGATTATGAACAAGTATTAAACATGTTATAAAGGTAAGTTAAATATTTTGCCTGTTTGCTCATGTAGGGGAAATTCAAACAAACAAACAAAAAGAATGCCTTAGTCAAAGCAAGCGTATTGCTCTGAGGGCCATTTTTTTCTCTTATAAGTCTAGGGGACAGGGAGAGAGGGAGAGTAAACATCTCCAATCCCAGAGTGCAAAGAAACGAAAACAAGCCCCAGAAGATAAATTGGTCTCAAGGAACAGCTCTTGAGTACAGTTCATTTAATATTACTCAAAAGTAGAAACAACCACCAATATGAATAGCGTCTATGAATATAAACAGTTCCAAGCAGGGTGTTCTTTTTTTTTTTTTTTTTTTTTGTAAAACTATAGTGCTCGGGTTTGATAAATTCAATGTTGATAGATATTGAGGGAGTCTTTTAGGCATTGCTCCAATGACTCCAATCACAATTGGCGTAACAACAAATTTCTTTTTCCACAAGCGTTCAACTTTGATCTGCCAGTCCCAGTTTTTGTACATTTTTCCAATTGTTTTTTGCTCAATCCTAGCATCAATAGTGCTAGTGGCATCAGTAAACCAAACTTTCTTCTTTTCAATAACTGTTTTATATCAAGCATGTTATGAAGAAGATGCATGTCTGTTTGGATCGTAAAGTCCCATAAAGTTTTAACCTGGTCATTTTCCAAAAGCTTCTCCATTTAATGGTCCCCAACATTTTTACTATAACTTCTGGCAAAAGTTTCCAATAAACTACCCTGCTTGTAGTCACTTTGTGAAATTTTGCTGCAGCCACTGATCAAACAGTCAGTTGTCTCATGCTTTTCAACAGAAAGACAATATTTAGTTGACAAAGTTTAAGCAGCTAAAATAAAGCCTTCAGTTTCTTTTTTAAAATGCTCCTGATCTTAACCATGTGTTTTTTTAAAATTTGCTTTTTCTTCAGTATCCTTCAAATATTGGCCATGTATTGGCTTGTCCTTCCAATTAATAAATTTGTTTTCAATTTTTTTTTCTATATTCAGCTTTCACCTTTGTTTTTTTCAAGAGCTTTCCTTCACTGACTTCTTTTAGCAAGGGTTCTTGGTTTTTCTTACAACCAATGACTGCCAAATGTAGTCATTATTATTATTATGCTTGGTCCCATAATGAACCAAATAATATTACTATTATTATTATTGTTTGTAGTACTATTAAAGTACTATTTATTAAATTATTTTCATAAAACAAAATATTTGAAGCTCAATGAACAATATGAAATTTCATGAAGGGGTTAATGAATTGAAGAGTTTGGGGGACTCTGACCTACAGTAGTCCCCCCCTCTTGCAGTACTGATAAAATAATCTCTTTTCAATTTTCAGACAAGGTAGAGAAATTCTGATTAACTCTAGTGGGCGTTTTCACATCCACACACCCTCACCCTAAATAAACTGTATAGAAACTTGACCAACTCAGGGCTGTTGCAGGAGACAGTTTATATCCCACACTACTTTTGCCAAAACCTCAATCAAGAGGCTTGATTGTATACCCCACCCTAGTAATTTCTGGAAAAATCATGAACTCAGTGTACAGGTAGTCCTCAATTTACAATCACAATTGAGCCCAAAATTTATGTTGCTCAGCAAGACATTAGCTAAGTGAATTTGGCCCCATTTTACAACCTTTCTTGCCAAAATTGTTAGGCGAATCACTGCAGTCGTTAAATTAGTCACATGGTTGTTAAGTGAATCTCGCTTCCCTACTGACTTTGCTTATCAGAAGGTTGCAAAAGGGGATCCCGTGAGCCTGGGACGCTGCAACCGTCATAATATGAACCAGTTACCAAGCTTCCAAATTTTGATTACAGGGATGCTACCATGGTTGTAAGTGTGAAAAATAGTCATACGTCACTTTTTTTAATGCTATTGTAACTTTGAACGGTCACTAAATGAATGGTTATAGGCTAAGGATTATCTGTACTTCTTTGTATGGATCAGCCCCTGTGATTCCAGGCCCACAAAACAAAACAAAGCGTTTGAACTATCGCTCTGCCCTGATTTGTAAACTTCTGTCTCTTGTTGAAAAGTAAAAGACAATTCAACCTACCCTTGATATCTGTATAGGGATTAACCCCACTACATTCCACAACTCTCCCTTATATGTGTTTATATGTGCATGAACATGTGTTTTCATTTGGAAGTGAGTGCAGGCAGTGCCAAGTCAGACTACCAAACTGGTAAAATCTAGATCCCTGAGGTTTTAAGAAAGAAGAAAACAACCAAGTCTTGAACATATGCAGCCAACTCCCAAAGGTTTGCAGGCCCAACAGAGCAAAATAAAAGCTGCTTACAAAAGCTAAGTGCTCTTTGATTTTCTTTACTTCGTCCTCCAAGTTGCCTGTGGCTGATTTCATGTTGCTTGTCTCATCCACTAAATCTTGTAAGAGGGACATAGCCTACAAAAGGAACAGAGTGAGAAAGTGAAAAGTGAATTTATTCACTCCTCAAAACAATTGATTAAGGATGATCTTTAGTTTAGCCTTTGCCTTTCTCATATTTCTGAGGTTTGAAACCAAACAAACATAATATAGGAAATCTATGCTTAAATCTCACAAACTAATGTTATTTCAAAGCAGTTGGCTGTACTTAAAGAATGCTTTTCCTCTGCAACAAAAGAAAGAAAGGAAGTCAGGAAAATACAGAATTTTATTCTTAAAGAAAAATGAATACTTTCTCAGGAGGAATCTAGGTCTCTGTATTGATCATTCTTTGGAAATTAATGTAAGGCTACTGAAGGGACCAGAAAGTATTCCACCAAATGCTAGTTTAGAAGGAGAGGCCACAGCTTCCCCTTCAGAATCAAAATAATTCTTAACCAAATAGGCGGAGAGAATATTCAGAGCAGCAACATATTTGAATTAACTTTCCTGAGTTCCCTGTTAGCCAAAAGGGAATAAACACAAATAGGATTAGCCCTAGGGGAGAAAAGTATGTTCTAATTTCTAGAAGAGGCCATGGAGGGAGAATAAGAAAGCCACTGGCAGTTGAGACCAACAACATTCACTGAAGAAGAACACTTCCATCCAATGTAATCTTCAAATAGCCCCACCACAAATTCTTTTTTTAAAAAAATTCAAGAAATCTTGAGAAGGAAAAAAAAAAGATGTATTGAGAAATCAATGTAGTTAAAATAAAAAAATTCCACAAAATGTCAATTTAAAAGAAGCATTCCTATTCTATTTTCATATATTTCATAGTATACAGTATATCATCTCCCTGATGATCATCCATGTCTGGCTCTGTCCTTCCTTTGTCATCATATCATAGATTTGATGCAACTAACTCTACTTTAAAAAATATGTTTAAAAAAATCTAATCATGCTTAGATGCCGATTCCAGTCTACCTTTATTTTTTTTATCTGTGGTGGAAGAAATTTAGGTACAGGAAGACACAACTGCTTCTGAAGAAGAGTCAATGCCCAGAATGCTAGCCAGAAACTCTCAAATCTTAGCCCAATGTTTAGTGGCTGCATTCAGACACTGTGTTTGCTTTAACTTTGCTTTATTAAAGCTCCCATTACTGGCTAATTTGCACAGCCATGATCCATGCTTTAAAAGCCACAGAGGAAATGTTCATATAACACATCTTAAATCAAAGACATAAAACAATTTAATGTGATGTATAAACCCAGCTCCTCCTCCTTCTTTAGCCAAATGGTACTTTATTGCCAGTGCTTGCCCTGATCCACATCTTATCAGAGTCTCAATAGCTGTTTCAGGAGTTTTTGGGTTGCTGCTATTTCTACCATCCAAGCAATGAGAAGAGTAAAGGAAAAAAAAATGTCCTCATTCTCTTGGAGAGAGATTGGGCAACAATGCCCCTGTGCTGAGGAAGAATAGTTCTAGCATTAATATTACTAATACTAGAACTAGTATTATTGCAATTCTGTAAATAGTTATTAACCTCACTGGAGAGGGAAAAAAACAATACAGATATTCTTTTCTATCCCAGCAAAAATAGTAACTCTGATGTCTCAAAATGTAGCAACTAGGACAGTGGTTCTCAACCTTCCTAATGCCGCGACCCCATAATACAGTTCCCCATGTTTTGGTGACCCCCAACCACTTATACATCACCGGGTGCCAGGGGCGTGACCAAAGAAAAGGGGGGGGAAATGGCGGACAGCCTTGTTTGGCGACCCCCATGAAATGGTCGTTCGACCCCAAATGGGGTCCCGGCCCACAGGTTGAGAACCACTGAACTAGGAGAAGGATCCAGTACCAGCAATGGAAAACTCTGGGGTTATTTTAGATTTATTTCGTATTTTAGAATAAACAGTAATACTAACAACACAACAGAGTTGGAAGGAACTTTGGAGGTTTTCAACCCCCTGCTCAAATTATATAAATAAAGTATTTTTTTCAAAACTATATATTTTATCAAAAACTATATATATATATATATATATATATATATATATATATATATATATTGACTATAAAAATATATATATATATATATGTTTTTTCAAAGGTGGGTTTTTGTTTTTTTAAATTAAATACTAAACATACAAGATTTTTTTGCAAGATTTAGAAGCCCACCTTCTCTTTTGATATAAATACCCAGGGTTTAACCATTTTAAGAAACCATGCATTGGAAGAGTATTTTGCTATGCATTGGTTTTTTTTAACTTTCCATATATGCCAAAGCGCTACTAACAAAATGTTACTTTGGAAGGCAAAGGGATTTACCTAGTTGGTATCTCTACTTCATACAAAAGGTCCATTTACTTGTTTACAATGGAAGAGCCACCCAGAGAGCTAGTCACAAATACTTCCAAAGTAAATGCTTCCAAAGAATAATCGCAGGTACTTTATTTGAAACATGCAGTAGGAGGAGAAAAGAGAGAGAAATATCACCCTTTTCTCTCCCTAAACCAGTGGTTCTCAACCTGTGGGTCGGGACCCCATTTGGGGTCGAACGACCATTTCATGGGGGTCGCCAAACAATGCAGTCCGCCATTTTTTCCCCCTTTTCCTTAGCTGTGCTACTCCCTTTTATTCTATTGGCTTTTGAAAGCCAATAGAATAGACTCTCTTGAATAGAGTAAAAGCCAGTAGGAATTGTCCAAGCTGTCTCTGCTCTGCTGAGCCCACCAAAAGTCCCATTCTGTAAACGGTGCTGCACCAGTTGAGTAGTCCTTGACTTACAACCGGTTGAGTAGTCCTCGACTTACGACCGGTTGGGGGTCATGGCATTAAAAAGGTTGAGAACCACTGCCCTAAACAGTGTTTCTACATCACTGGAAAAGCAAGATGTTTTGAAGGAAAGTTGGTTGCAGCCAGTACATCACACAGTACTATGGCATAGAGAGAGTATACCAGCCAAAGCAATGGGTTTGCACAGGAGGCTATCTAGTTTTCATTAGCAACTATGTTTCTCAAATGAGCCACCAAGACATGAATTAAAAATTGTTTCATTAGTGAGCCAGGAAAGTAGACAATAATAAGCCAACACGTCTGGAGGACTAAGGGAAGGTATTTTACTTTAATCTACAGTAGAAATAAGCAACCTGTGGCCTATCTAGTTAGATTGCAACTCCTATGATGTCTCATACCAGCCATGTGAGTCAGATCTAAAAGGATGAGGGTTTTATTTTAAAAGACAGAAATAGTTACTGATAGCCTATATCATGGGTAGGCAACCTTGGCTCTTTTATGACTTGTGGACTTCAACTCCCAGAATTCCTGAGCCAGCTTGGCTGGCTCAGGAATTCTGGGAGTTAAAGTCCACGAGTCATAAAAGAGCCAAGGTTGCCTACCCCTGGCCTATATGCTCTTGTCTAAAGGAAATAACCACATCTCTATCTACGTCTAATGGGGAATTGGGAGATCACAAATCTTTTGAGTTTTTTTTTCTCACTTCAATGCATTTGTTACCTAGGAGTCTGTTAACAATCAAAGCACCAGGCATCTTATTAAGAAATCAAGTGCAGACATGCCTTTCCAGAACTTTGCTTGATACCACTGGACATAATATTTGCCATTCATTAATTCAATGTTCACACAGCAAGGTTTTGCACTACTATGACCACCCAATTTGAACATAGATATAGATATGTAGATCTGACTTTTTCTATATCTTTCACCCACAACATAGAAATTTTCAATGTACATCCAAAAGCCTTGTAAAGTGGAAACCAAGGTCAGCTTGCAAGATTACTATCTTCTTTGGGAATCAATTTCACTGAATAAAATTAGGATTAAGGATAATGAGATTATTCAAGGTGAGTCCTTGCTTAAGTGCCATGTAAGGACTTTAATTTGCTTGTGCAACTACACATCAATTTCTTTTTCTGAATTGCATTTATTAATGTTAATAATTGCTATTAATAAAATAGTAAAAATAGTAAAATTATTGTTGTTGTTAATTAACATTACAGTAGGGCTTTTGAGATATTATACAGAAGATTTCTAATGGGAGGGATGATTCTTACATTCTAGAGTGCAGCAGGAGATGTTTCTGGACATCAGAAGGAAGAACCAACTAAGAACAGTTCCTAATCTGTTTCATTTCCATATTCAGAAGAACTAAAATTTGTACTGCTGATGGGTCAATCCCCTGCATGTACCATAGGAGGTCAGATAAGAAAACAGAAAACAGCTGTATCTTCAGGAGATAAAAATTAATCAGGGTAGTTCTTGTTTAATGACCACAATGGGACTAGCTACTCAGTCATTAAGAGAATCAGTCAATGAGTGAAACTACAATTGTGCTTATGATTTTACTTTAGCTTTGACTTATAGATCTGCAAAAGTTGTAAACTTACTTTTTCATCATTGCTGCAATTCTGAATGGTCTTTAACTGAGGCAGTTGCTAAATGAGGACTACTAGTAAGGCTGTTTAGGAACACTATGGTTTCTACAAATTAAAACCACTGCCACATTCTGCCTAATTGTAGGACCAGTCCAGCAAATCTCTATTGAGACTGTCTCTCACTATCAGTGATATAAAATTCTGGGGTCTCAGCATCAAAAGAAATACAGTACTTTCTAAATAGCAAGAGGGGGAACATCTTCCCCATCCATCCCACCTGGTTCATCAGGGCATGCTGACAGAAGTCTCTAAAACAAATGAAAATTCCCTACAGATGGAATGCTTTGCTACAACTCTGGGAGTGACCTGTTGCATGGCTTCTCTCTGTGGGGAGCCATTCCTGGAATAACTTGCAGCTTGAGGTTAAGCTATTTTTGATTCAGCAGTTCTAATTAAGAAAAAAGATGACTAGGGAGGATTGTGAACAGGCTTTACTGGCATTCTCCCAGGTTTCTACTTGTCAGAGTTATTCTTTAATTTTAATAGATACCTGCCTGCCTGATCTGAATCCCTCGGATTCTCAGTCTTTTGGCAGAACAATCATATTCAGCTGCTAGATAAAAAATTAAGTAGTTATGCAAGAAACAATAAAGTAAACACAATCTGTTTTTCAAAAATATGAATCCATTCATCATGCTTTTTTCCCATGCAATTCATCTTTCAGGAAATGCATGACCTCAGAATTTTTCTGTGCCTTCAAGTCAGTGTTCTTTCTTCTATATACAGCCCAGAGTCACATTATCTTAACTTGAGCAGCCACATAAATGCTTTAAATAACACAAGGTGACTGGCTCAAAGTTTATTCAGCCTTCCCTCCTTTCGAGGTCAGTAAAAGGGACAGATTGTTGGGGGCAATATGCTGACTCTGTAAACCACTTAGAGAGGGCTTTAAAGAACTAGTGCTAAAGCAGTGGTTCTCAACCTGTGGGTCGGGACCCCATTTGGGGTCGAACGACCATTTCACAAGGGTCGCCAAACAATGCAGTCCGCCATTTTTCCCCCTTTTCCTTAGCTGTGCTACTCCCTTTTATTCTATTGGCTTTTGAAAGCCAATAGAATAGACTCTCTTGAATAGAGTCTAATTCCATTGGCTTTCAAACGCCAATAGGAATTGTCCAGGCTGTCTCTACCCTGCTGAGCCCGCCAAAAGTCCCATTTTGACCGGTTGGGTAGTCTTCAACTTACGACCGGTTGGAGGTCGCGGCATTAAAAAGGTTGAGAACCACTGTGCTAAAGGAAGGAAGAATGTTTCACACACCTAGTGAAGAGGACAAAAATCCATAAAAACTGATTTCATAAAAATGGATTTGCTTTTAAGACACAATAAGATGTCAAATTAGTTTTGATTAGCATGAGGATGGGCTCTCTTCCTTTCTTTGCATGCAAGCTTTTTTTAAAATTTAGGACTATTAATTGTGTTAAATGAATTCTGACTTGTTTATAAGTCTATACTATTGTTATACAGTTCCAATAATTCTTATCCAGGATAGCTAATGGCTATATTGTGTCTGGAGGACAGCATATCTGGAGGGCACTAGGAAAAATTGGGCTGATCAGATCATATGCAAAGGAAAAATGAAATAATGTTTTTCTTATAAATCAGAAAAATCTATATGTCAAGATCAGAGTTCTTTGCCTACCTCATTGCTACCTGAATACTACCAATGACTCAGTTTTAATTTACCTTTTGCCCTAGAGAAACTGGTAACAAAGAACTATGTAAAATTCATTCCAAAGAATGATATAATAAAACTGAGTAAATAATCTTTTTCCTGACTAGTCAAATAAGCTATGTTCTCCTTTAATTAATTCTCAATGGAAGGTCACCATTATAGTCTTCCTCTTGGATTTCTCCAAATCAACTCAAATCAATCATAAGAAAACCCCATAGATAGTCTTTGCAATTTCCCCTTACATGTTTTTTTTACTCATTCTTGCAACTTCCACATCAGGGTAGCCATTTTTTTTAAGATAGTGATATACAAAAGAGAAAAATAAGTAAAATAAGCAGAACCAAAGGTCAACTACTCAATATAGAGAAAAGTATTATGAAAAGACTTCCTATAAATTTTCCCCCTCCATCCAATCTGTTTTCCCAAACAGTTTGGTATCTATACTTTACACTGAATGTTGAAATGTGTTGCTGGTTTCAATTTAGTGTCCAAGTGTCTAAATTTGCCTTACTATGTAGTATTTTGTATGTAAAGGAGGCATTCCTGCTTGAATATTTTCCAGTTTTAATCTTCCAAATAGCGTTGGCAAGAATTTCCTTTACCAATGTTATACCAAGATATTGTGCTGTGCCATTATTGTGCCAGGTTCATTTTTGCAAGTGTCAACATATATCTTATTAAAAGCCGTTAGTTTTTTTTTTTTTACAAAGGGCATGCCGGTATAGCCCAGCCAGTACATATAAACTCAGCTTTTCTCAGTTCTTTGCCTCATGATCCCAGTTCTTTCCTTTTTACTTCCAAAAGAATGTCATCCATAGGAGGTTTTATTAGTTCACACTGTTTTTATTTTTTTTTTCCAACAAATGAAAAACATCAGCCTACAGCACACCAGAAAATGTACACTGGCTTTACAAACTAAAGTTACCACAGTAGTATATTCTTAATTCAAAAAAAGAGAGCTACAGTGTGTATGAAGCAAACATCAAAACCAAATGGAAGTGATATCAGAAATTTGGAACCAGGGAGGCATGATCTGGTAGCACAATATTTTTGCTGTGGCCCATTTATCTCACAATACATGCAGATTATGTGATTCTGGAATGTCCCAGTGGGATAATCACAATGTGCTTTGAAATACAGTAAAGTGTATTATTAACGAAAGACATTATGCACCCCGCATTTTACTAACATTTTAATTACTTAGACTAAAAGTTCACCTACCTGGTTGATTCCATTCTCACTGGCTTCAATCTTTTTCTGCATCTGCATCATTTGCCACATGTCAGATACAGCTGTGCCAGATCCACTTTGGGTCTTCTCTATCAGTTCAGTCCCCGAAGGAAGCTTCTCCAGTCCAGCAATCTGCTTTTCAAACCCTACGAGGTCTTTCCCCATTCTTTTCACTTTATCCTGCACTCCCTGAGTTTGATCTTGCACTCCATGGACCTCATTTTGTATTCCCTGAATTTGATTTTGCATCCCACTGACTTGATTTTCTACTTCTTGGACATGACCTAATGCCCCTTGGACTTGGCCTTCTATCCCTTTAATCTGACCTTTCACCCCACGGAGATTCGTCTCCATCAGCTTTAGTTTCTTTTCCAAGTCAGCAAGCCGAGAATCCGGCTCTTCTCTCAAAATGCCTTCCTTGCTTTCCTTGTCCTCCTTCTCTTTTGGTAATGCCTCTTGGCCCAATAAATCACTAGGTCCTGCCTCAGTTGCAGCAGAAAGCAAGTGCATCTCTGGCTTGGTTGGAGGACCTCTGCCCACCTTGACATCTGCTTTGATATCTTGAATGTTGAGGTAGCTGATGACAGCATGTAGGAGAGCATGGAGGGCATTGAAATTGATAACGCCAACCTCCGGAGTCCCTATGGAGAGATCCGCCAGTTCATACAATGTGACTTTGATAGACATTTTGGTAACAAATTCTGAGTGGGACAATTACTTGAAAATGTCTTTAAAAAATAAATATATAAAATCTGCTTGTAATGTAACTATATAAATCTGTGCTCATATACTGACTCTTAGAAAATATAACCTTCTGGTTAGGAAAGTACTTCTATCACTAAAGGATCTTTCTTCTTCACAAGAAAGATTCTTTTCCGCGGCAAAAAGAATTACATCCTTAAAAAAAAGCAATCTAGGACTAATATTACTATGCTTTTTCTCTAATATTCTTAAGAATATTCTATTCTCTCACTAATGGGATCCGATTTATGGAAGCTTTTCATGCACCCGTTACTTCTTAAAGCCGGCATAAAGCAGGGCGTCTCTCGCCCTCCTTGCGACCGGAATCTTCTCCGCCTCACAATCCAGCCCTGTTCCCGTTCTCACATTCCATTGGTGGCGTAATAAACCTCCCAACTCGGGGATTCGCCGCCGTAGCTGCCCATGTGCTTTTTGTTTACTCCATCGCCTGCTGATTGATGCAGTTCAGGGCGTTCGCAGTTGCTAGGCAACTCGGGAAGGTTACCCGTTACGTTTCACGAAGTGCGGCGCCGCGAGACCTAGTGCCTTTTGGGCAAAGGCGCGAAGAAGGTCCGATGGGGAATTTGAAAATGTTAAAGCGAGCGGTGTAGCTTCACGTTCAGTTTTCCCTGTCACAGCAGCAGTCGTTTCTGAGAAAAAGATTCAACTGAGATTAAATGTGAACGCAGTCGCTCACAGTTACATTCAACTATAAAGAATATGATATATCTAACATATGGTCAAAGAACCTTATTTTCCTCACCAGAACGATCTTAAAATGGTGTAAACAAGTGGATGAAATCTCCTGAGTTACAAGGCTAGACGTGGCCTTCCTCTAAATCAGGGGTCCCCCTCAACCCCCGGGCCGCGCAAAGTGGTAAGCGCGTGCGCGCAGCTCCATTTGCGCGAGCGGCGGGCACTCGCGCGTGTGCATGAAGTTCCGTTTTTGTGAACAGCGGGCACAATTGGAGCTTCACACGTGCGATAGTCTCCGCCGCCTGTGTAAATGCTGCGCGTGTGAGCGCGCGCACCTGCCGGTTGCCTAAAACCATTACCTCTCACCCCTCTCCCTCTCCCCAGCGGTCTGCAAAGCTGGAAGGTTGAGGACCACTGCTGTAGAGTGGTCCTAAGGCTAAGTCAATCAAAGATATTTTATAGCCTCATCCCGCCAACTGCAGAAAGAATATCCCCAGTAATTATTTGGTATGATGCTGCCTTTGTCTGATCCTCAGCCCCTTGCTTGAGGCAGTCTATAGTTATCTTTAACTTCTCTTCTTTTCTCCTGACATGATATGGAAAGCTTCATCAATGATGTGGTTGCTGGTACAGTTGGGGGTGACATCTGCCCAGCACCAACTGGTCATTTTAGGCTGCTGTGGGCATACCCCACCTTTCTAGCTGCTGGGACCATAAGCCTGCTTTCCATAAAGGAATCTGTCTGCATATTGTAGGACTTTGCTAGCCCCTGCCTCAGACAGTGTTCTTCAGGAAAGAGACCTGGGTTATGGCACTTCTTTATTGCTATTTAGTCATCCCTGGGTGCACTGAAGTTTTCCCACTGGTTCTGCTACCAAGGGACTTCCCATTTCCATTTAAAAAAAAAAACTGCTTTTATTACTTGAGAGAAGAGGCATCATTTTGCTACTCTCTTCTGGCTCCCTGGCGATAGGCTATTTCCGAATATTACTGGAGAACAGAACTGAACCAATGGCCAGCACTAATATTCCCATCTGACAAAATCAAGAGTGGAGTTTGTTTATTATGGATCACTCCTTCCTGCTTCACTCTGCCCCTCTACTGAGACATTATCTGATTCCGTGAAACTCTATGCTTAAAACAGCATATAAACACCAGGATTCCCATGTGTCCTGTAGATGGCAGCACACCATATCAAATGGAGCACAGAGCCACACTCAAGTATTGTACTTTTAACTGCCAAAATAAACTCTGAGATCTCTTGTTCACATACTTTAGCCTTGTCTTGGTAAAGTTGTAAACAGCATCAGTCTATGGGAGGGAAGAGGGCACACAACCCAAGACCCAGGGCTGCACTGACTTCTTAAAGACCTGGATACAACCTGCAAAAGGATCTCTAAGAGGTACCTCAGCTGAGGGTAAAAATTAATTCTTAAATACATGAGGAACAACCAGTAACTTTTGACCTTATCATTCATATTAGAATAAGCAATTTATAAGCCTCTTTTAATCTTCCCAGCTCCAGTATTCCCTAGGATATACAAAAGTTGTACCAAAGGACATATCTGGGATAGATTCTGTAGCCCCTTCTCTGGTTGATTGGAAGTTCCAAATTATTACCAGTGTTATCCATGACAATTTAAAGGGGTTAAAGCTATACAGCTGATAGATTGCCTCCCATTAAAAACCTGATGTAAGATCTGGAGAAGGCCTTTCAGACAACAATCCCTATTGGTCAAAAAATCTTGCTATTAGGCACATAGAAAAGATTTTCTCCTGCATCACTCATGGAGTCATGGAAATTGCTTTAAGTTCCGTTCCATTCCATATTCTTAGTAAACCTGTAAAAATGCATCTTTTTGCCAGGCCTTTACTTGTCCTTTTAATATTCATGTTTTAACTGTTTTTAGCTTTTTTACTTTGAATTTGCCAGTCACTGTTTTAAACTGCAAGTTGTCCTCAGTGTTCTTTTGGTAAGATGGCAGATAAAGCAATTAACCAATTTGATCATTTAAAGAGGGGGATCTCATTTAATATTACGTTCAACATTATGTAACTGCACTAGTTCAGATACTGGAAAGGGTAGAATATTCAAGACATTTGCCCGACCATTTGAATTGAGACTCTAAGGTAAGTCATGAAAGTATGTGGGCTAAAAGGATTTGGTTCCTCCTCTCAATGTACCCAAGTGTTTGACACCCCCCCCCCAAAATCATAAAAATACAACATGGTGCTGTGCTGCCCTATTCATATGTTCTTTCATTCCAAAACTGAAAAGACAAAGTGCTTATGTATATATTTATTAGAAGATAATTAAAAGATTTGAGGCTCCTAGCAGCAATTATGTAAAATTGAGAACAAGCTGCAATAATTAGGCTTGATATATGCTGGTTTCATAAAAATTTCTATCAGATCCCTAATAACTGAACATGTGGACACAGCAGTAGCTTTTTATACTACACACCGCATCATCAGCAGGCTTCAAAAATATGAAATCACTTCTCAGTGGTTAAGCATTTCAAAATACAATATCTCCCCTTTGTTTATGAAACTACTTTTAGAATTATAATGATGCACCAAAGAAGTCAAAGGAATAGTTCTTCAAACTTCAGATTTAAGTGGAGAAGTGGCACTAAAGAAAAAAGTGTAAAAGCTAGCATTACATGAAATAGGTTAGTTCAATTGCATTTACTTCTGTAAAGACAGCGGGCACTGTACTAGATAGAAAATGATTTCAGCTTTCATTTTAGAGCACTTCTGTATGATCTATTTTTAAATTTTGCTTTGAATTGAATACATGCAGCCCACAATGGGCATTCTCACATTGTATTAGATCTAAAGTGTACTTTAGCATGCACTTGTTAGCTATGAATTTCTTACATGTACATCTTACTTGTACATCTCCACGTTTTCCTTCAATTTAGCACTTGCATTACTGAAGCACTGGGTTTTCTAAACTCAGTATCTTACACTTGGGAAAATGAAGCATAATACTCAAGAGTATTACTCTTTTTGTTGTTTTGGAAAGTTACCAATTACAGTTACTTTAATGGTAATTAAAATATAGTGGTCCATCTTCTCTTCAAAATGATTAATATTTAATTTTTCAGAAGCCCAATGGTTTTGCTCCCTAGTATTTCACATTGTGTTGTCCATAACCAATTCTCCCATGAGTCAGAGTATTTCAGAAAGCAAATTCACAACTTATTTCACCTTGTCCCACAACCTCAGCTTAATGGAGTTTAATCAGCTACTAATTTAATTAAGATCCTCCTCCTCCCTTTATACTGTTATGAAGTGCAGAACAAAAACAAGACAGAAGTATGAAGGAGAGGAAATATTTGTACTACTAAAGATCTTGTAGTGAGTTTGAGTAAAGATATTTTAAATATCTGATTAAAAAGCCAAGGAGTACTTGCCTTATAAAACTGTCATTATCAGTGTTTGAACTTTGAACCTAAGACCAACCCATGAAAATCATAACAGTGGATTAAACATGGCTTTTCTAAATCAGTCAGTATTTATATGAGACTATCTCAAAATATTGCTTTTTTACTTCAGAATACCCCGATTTGTTAACCAGACTGAAATAAGAACAAGATGTCCCCAGTTCCAGATTAACATATCTTTGCATTCAAGAGAGATATGTAAAAAGGTAGCTAAGTTGTAAGCTGGTATATATAAACAAAGAGATTGGTTTGCTGAGCCGTCAAGGCCCTTCCTGGACTTCAGAGTCTTCTTTGTCTCTGAATATGAATCGAAAGATATTTAAACATACTTTTGTGGGAGGGATGTAAGAGAAATTAAGGATAGTTCCCATTTCTCAATAGTAAGTAAAGAAAGAATGCAATGTAATCTTGCCTATATTTTTGATAAGTCATACAGCGAGACAGCCTGAGAGAACATGAGTTGTTTTTGGTTAATCTGTCTGGAAGATCATGTCAGATCTCTTCAGGCAATCACTGATGTGAATTAGAATCACCATCACACAGTTAAGGCACTTAATTAGTTGTGCCAGCATATATTGCTTGTGAAGCTGGGGTAATATTTCTGTTCTTTTAGCATTTTATTATGAACTGTTGACCATTGCTATGGCTGTGCTTTTAATATAATTAGTGAATTAGATGCTCTTAAGATTCATATTTACCTATGTTTGGGGACTAGGTTGGCTACAGTAAAGAAGAATCTTTTTCTTTCTCTACTTTTAAAGCAGGAATATGAGAACAATAGACAATACAACAATAAACAGTAGTTCCATGATCATGAAGACTTGGACAAAAATATATAAGATGCTATAATATCATTAAGTGATTAACACTGTTAAGAAATTGCAATAATGGGATAATTAATAACAATATTAATGAGATAACAGTTGATTTATACCCTGCCTGGTATTAAATACTTCTAAAAATTCTGTGAAAACATAACTTGACTTCAATATGGTAATATGACTGAGAAATGTTTTATCTAAGAGGTTGAAGTATGAAGAGCTGTTTGAGCAAATAAAGCATCTGGGCTATGAGAAAAAATGATGGTTGTATGTATACTTTTTAGATTTTTTATGTAATAACAATATTAATGAGAAAAGATGCAAAAATGCATCAAGAATTTCTTGAAGGCAACTCTTCCCACTATTTAATCATTATATACGGGATCCAGATCCCTATTTTTGGCATTTTTTGTAGTGATCTGCCAAAGAACACTGGTCAAAAGGAAAATTTGCTAAACAGAAAAGACAGATAATAGCAAATTAAAAAAGAAAAAGAACTGTTCAAATTGAAGAGGCCAAAATGAATCAGAATGGCTAGAAGAGCAGAAAGGAATAATAGGAAAACATGTGTGTTTTTGCTCCATATGCAAAATAACGGGGGGGGGGGAACAGTTCCAATACAACGTCTCCAATTTAAGTGAGAAAAGGTACAGGATATTGGAGCAGATATAGAAATCAATAAATCCCAAAAGCAGCAAAATGAACCAATCCCAAAAAACTATACAGTAGATTAAGGAAACTGAGTAAAATTTGGTCTGGTTTAGGCTTATCTGCACTATGGGTAGCATTTTTCTCAATCCCACCTCTTACACCTATTCTATTGCAACAGCAGGTTTGGGTTGTTGGCTTATGCAGTTAAGTATGATTTAGACTTTTTCAAACAAAATAGAAGCTGAAATAAAATAACATTAAGAATGGATGACTTCATGAACTTTTCTGAAGAAAAAAAAGAAAGCTCTTGTATTTTAGAAAAGGGAAAGGGAAAACATAATGCTCTTTTCCTACTATAGGCAATTCTGTCTTAATTCAAACAACTTGCAATAGATATGACATTAAGATCTAGTTTTCTATACTGAAGCTCTGAAGCTATGCAGGAATTAATCGAGCAAATTCCAACAGAGAAGAGACCTCTGGAGTGGACAAAATTCAAGTAATGAAATTTTGATATCCTAGGAACACATACCAGAGAAAAAAAAGAAACTTTTTTTTCCTTTGGAAGGAAATATACTTTCACTTCCAAGCCAGAAGCTAATGTCTAATAAAATGCTCAAGAATCACTGCACTGGAAAACAGGCTCAATCATCCCAGCAAAGACCTTAGTGTTAAAGTACTGTAGAGTATGATTGCTAACTTAGTACTCTAAAAATCAGAGTTCCTTTTACTAGGTGAAATGGCACAAGATAGGCTTGCACTGGGTTCTCCATATTTTCTAACTAAAATATCCCATCTTGTGTTATATACACAAACACAGAATACAAATCCCATTGAACTATACCTTTTAGAACACACTGTAGTAACCATTATATATAGAATTGCTATGCTTCTCTTTTAAGCAGCTAGTCAGGATTACAATATATTCTCTGTAATGAAGAAGAGGTAGCACATACAACTTTTTACCTCAACTTTGGAACCAGATAGCATCATACTGTTATTGTTGATAGAAATGAATCATTTGAAATCGTTTCACAAAAGAAAACCTTGCTGCTACCATGTTAAAAATGGCTCCAAAGATGGCAAGAAAAATATACTTTCTTGTGATTTGAGGATATGCATGTAGAGAAAATCTCAGTGCGCCTTTAAGCTCACCCCCCAATTGCCTCTCATGATATACAAGATATAACAAGAGCAAAAAGCCACAACTAGTATCATACAAATAACAATATACTCCAATGCCTATTTGTACCCTGATCCAGTCTCCATGTGGGATTAGTGAACCTCAGCTCAAAATACTCAGCCCTGTTATAATACTTAAAAAAATACACTATCAACTTTATGGCACTCTTGCTCATATACATATTATTTTCCCTTCTCTTTGAGGAAACTGATGGCAGAATGAGAAAAAATAAATTTAATCATCCATAGTAATATTGCGGAAGAGGTAAGCCATAGACTCCCCATTGTGGATTCGGCGGATAGCTTCAGACAGGATCAGGCTGATATCCACAGTCTTTATCTTGGGACACTGCAGTTTTTGTACTTCATGAGGAACTGTATTGGTGACCACAACCTATCCAAGTATAGTAAAAGAGAATCAGAAAACATGATTGAAATATCTATTTAGAACCAACCCATGAAAAATATTATCTAAGAAAATAATCAAGCTAGGAGCTCTTTGGAATTATCACTGGGAAACAGATTATTTATATATGTAAGGTTTCATCATGTAAGAAGGAATTATAACTAAATTTTAAGTTAAAGTATTTGTGATGTCCCTTGTCATAGTCTGAAATGCAGTTAACAGAATTACTGTAAGACATCTAAAATTAAAAATGAATTTGGATAGAATAAGAGAAAGCAAATCTATTAATTGGATCAACAATGGTGTTGTCACTGGTGCAAACAGAAGGGTAAAATACACAATGTACAACTCAAGAATTTGATATGACATCCTCCTCATAGACATGATAATCCTGATACAAATTGGGCCACCACACACTGAAACAAGTGCAAAATAGATCTGGATGGATTTAGTGCATGTTTATTTATGATGTGGCTTATGAAATGACTTAAAAAAAAAACCTTCTTCAGTAGATATTTCCTTGAAAAGGGAACAAATTTGTCTGACCCAAGAGTGGTAATTATAGGCCCCTCTGCTTGACTGGTGGCACCTTAGTATAGCGGCATGGCATTATTTTTGCAGGGCTAACATTCTCTGTCAACTCTATAATTGTCTACAACATCTGACATGTACCTTTATGTCTACATAATCTTAAAGCTGGTAGGCACAATGCATCACTATACACCCTCTGTACTGCTCTGTTGTATTTCCTACTTGAAGAAATGCATCTGACTGCTGCCACTGGCAACCACTTCTTCTTCCTTCCACCATTAATTCAGAAAAACAACTGGGAGGCACAACTTTTCTTTAGGTGAGGAAAATTATACGCAGATCAGAAAGGACAGATTATTTGGACAGAAAGGCACCAAAACAGAGCCCTTTCTTTCCGTAGTCTGCAAACATTCAGCATTGAATTATGGCTATATGGAGAACAAACTGTGCTGAAAAGGAGAAAAGCAGGGACCTTAAGGCACAAAGAAGACATATCTTTCAAAAGAAAAAAACAAGCCTTAGGAGGTCTCCTGTCTGAACATTTTGTTTCAACTATTACTTTTTCTGAAATGACAGACTAATGACATTTAGTTTTCAATTTCAACTTATCTCTTTAACTTAAGAAAGCCTGATCTCTGCCACTGGTTAGAAAGGGCAGAATGAGATGCATGCAAGTGGAAACTAAACTGTTAGAATTTCTCTTTGGGCTCTGTATACACACAGTAGAGTGTCCTCTACACATTTATATCTGCTAACTGCTAATAACTATTTCAAAACTAAAACTCTTTAGACAAGAGGCTCAAAATAAAGCTGCAAATAACACTTTCACTAAAATTGCCAGCAAAGTAAAGTAGCTAGGTATATACCTACAGGCAGAGACAATTGGGAACATTGAACTAAACTGAAGTAGCTGCATGAAAAGGTTTTACGTCTTTCAAATGCTTTGCATGGACTTACTTGTGTATTATATATACATACATTCATGGACATACTCAACTAGATTTTTCCCCCCAAAATATGTTCTTTGATTTTAGGGAGGTTTTCTTGTTCTAGTTTTATTTTTTGTTCTTTGTTTTGAAAAAAAAAAAAAGACATTCAAGTTATTAATCCATGGCCTATAGAAACTTGCCTCATCAATTGAGGATTCTTCAATTAGACGTGGGGCATCAGCAGACAAGAGACCATGAGTGGCCATGATAAAGATCTTGTAAGCGCCACGCTCTTTCAGGATTTCAGCAGCTGCTACAAAGCTTTCAACATCATCAATTATGTCATCCTAAGACGAAAATCATAATACAGTTAAATTCTGGAAAAAGGATAAAAGGAGTTATGCTCTTGCCTCAAATGCTTTATTAGCACTAATGTAAATTCAAATATATCTGAAGAATTGAAAGTATCTGCCTAACGATAATATATCGATTTTTATCCACAAATATTTTAACAAGTTTTTTCTATCAGCACAATATAGGATTGCATCTTAAAACAATAACTTCTCACCAAAAATATCTGAAAGTGTTTAAAAAACAGTTTATCTTCAAAAAGTTAAATTTAATTTTGACTGCATTGTCAGTTATCTCTCTCTCAAGGTTAGATTTACAAAATAGCTGCCCAGGCTTAGAGATACACTATGTTCTATCTAGACCAGGTGGATTCTCTGTAATATCTTCAGAAAAGGTCACCATGTTTCATTGTGCCTTCATATTGTGAGAAACTTTTACATAGGTTCTATCAACTGACATACCTACTGTCAGAACACCAGATTTAGCTACAGTACCACTGAATTTAGTAACATAATGAAACAACATACCAAATACCTATTATAATTAAAGAAGAGATTAAAAGCTATCCTCCTGAAACTTGCTACACTAATATAGACTATTATGTAACCTTAGTAAGACTTAAGGTCAAACCTTTCAGTCATTCCCTCAGAATAGTCCCAAAGGTGCTTTTTCAGAAGGCAACTGGACTTTCTTGTTTTTCTTTGAAGACGTTTTGCTTCTCATCCAAGATGCTTCTTCAGCTCTGACTGGATGGTGGGGAATGGAAGGATTTATATTCCTTGCAGACACCTGGTCATTTGCATTCTTTACAGAAAATGGTTTCTGTAGTCTGCACTGTTTTCTGGAAATCCGTTCATATTCCTGCACCATTCGAAGAGTGTTCATCCCAACATGCATAGCTAAATGTCTATGGAGATTCTCAGTCATCCAGCTCATGATTGTCCCAAAGCTGCTTTTTCATGAGGCAACTGGACAGGAGCCATTTGCAACTCAGACTCATCCCCAACAGCCTGCACCTGTCTTCAACAGGGACCCAGGGCAGAAAACATTCTGCAGTCAAGAAGGCTCCACACATATTTGCACTACTCATGTGACCCTGAGGACACAGATAAACCTTGAAATGGCCTCAACGACTCTCTAAAAGAATGCAAATGACCAGCTTTCAGCAAGGAATATAAATTCTTCCATTCTCCACCATCCAGTCAAAGCTGAAGAAGCGTCTTGGATGAGAAGTGAAACATCTTCAAAGAAAAACAATAAAGTCCAGTTGCCTCCTGAAAAAGCATCTTTGGGACAACCATGATCTGGATGACTGAGAATCTCCATAGACATTTAGCTATCCCTCAGAATAGGAAGATTGTATACTGATAATCCTTTAGAACTGTGTTTTGTTTGCACATTTATCAAAACATACAGATTTCAGAAACCAATACTATGTCCTATTACAAATAGGATAGTGTGGATGATGTAGAACATCTGTATTTAATTAAGTACAGCAAAAGTGGAAAAGGATATTGCATGGCTGCTTAAAAGTGTCAGCATAATCAATATTGGCTTTGAGCCCAGAACTAAAATCCCAGCTATATTCAGATATAAATAATTAAGCTGAGTTCAGCTGAAGGTGTTCCCATTCATTCTCTGGCCTTTTCATTCCTTACCACAATTATGGCAATTCTACCTCCAACATCTCCAACTACTGTTATGGGTGGTTTCTCTTTGGCCATCATGACTATAGGAAGAAAAAAAACCACAAAACCATAGATTTATTATACAGTATGTATACACGTTCATACTTGCTTTGTAAATTAATGCATTGCATAGTGTTTTGCAGTAGTGTTCATTCTGCATCACTATAGAGATATCTTTAATTATTTCCTTATTGATTACAATTAGATTTAATTGGATTGTAACCAATAGAGAACCAATTGTATGTAAATTAATGTAACTGCACCCATATGTAGATAATATATTACAAGCTCCCTACATGAGATAAATACCTTTCCATTTTAAACCACAAATGCCCTGAGCATTAGTTCACCAGCCTAACATTTAAAAAAATTAAAACCAAAAGCTGAAATAAAACAGTTGGAATCATCCACACAGACTTGTGATCACTGCTAAATTTTAAAAATGTTAAAAAAAATCAGACAAAATAATCCACACATACAGTAAAATACCTTATATTGTACCACCCCAAATGTGATTATTATTATTGTTGTTGTTGTTGTTAATCATCGCACAGTCAGCCAGATGTTCAGACTGGATTTGGCATTTTTGTCTACCCATCGAGTCCTTACCAAGGACCTGGGATAGGTAGATGTGGATGTTTGGTGATATTACAGATATCGTTGCAGGATGGAAGCAGTTCCTAGTAAGGCCGCCTTTTGCAATTAACTAATGGCAAATTTGTCAATGCCAATGGTGTTCAAGTGGTGCTCCAGTTGTTTTGGGATTGCACCCAAGGCGCCTATTACTACTGGTACTACTCTTGCTTGCCTTTGCCACAGTCTTTCTATTTCTATTTGTAGGTCTTTGTATTTTGTTATCTTTGTTATGGTTCTGGCTAATGAAACACTTCAAAGAACTTCCAGACATTGATTTTCCTAAAAGTCATTTATTGTTACAAAATGTCAGCACAGGCATAACGGAGGTATGCCAAGATCTAAATTCTCTTCCCCTGAGCAATTAAATTATCAGCATGTTCCCTCCCCAAATTAGCTGTCATGTATCACCAAAGGTTTCTTTCCTCTCTCTCTTTCCCTTTACCCTCTGCTGCTCTGCATTAACTCTAAAAATATCAGACAGTTCTGCATATTGTCAAAGCAAGAATATACAGTATTTGCAGCATTGACATCCTTCTCCAGTTCTTTCTCGTCTATTCTGCTACCTCCAGGCACTGCCACATCCACTATCCAGACTTTTTTTGTCTTTCTTATCGACAAGTGTTAAGTCCGGGTTGTTATGTTGCAGGTGCTTGCCTGTTTGAATTCTGAAGTCCCAGAGCAGTTTAATTTTATCTTTTTCTATGACTTTCTCTATTTTATGATCCCACCAGTTCTTGCTTATAAGCAAATGATATTTCTTGCAGATCTTCCAAGGCACCATTGTTGCTACTTTGTCATGCCGCTGCTTATAGTCAGTCTGTGCAATCTTCTTGTAGCAGCTTACCAGGTAGTCCAGTTTCTTCAGCTTCTTTGCATAAGCGGCACTTACTGTCTGTTGCTGTCTTCTCAATTTTGACTTTGTACGCATTTGTCCTTAAGGCTTGGTCTTGTGCAGCCAGAATTAGTTCCTTGGTCTCTTTCTTCAATTTTCCTGCTCTTAGCCATTGCCAGGTCTTGTTATTATCTGCTTTCCCAGCTATTTTTTTTAATGTACTGGCCATGTAGTGCTTTGCCTTCCCATGCCTCATTTGGGCTTTCTTGTAGGCCAGTTTGGTCTCTCCAGTAGTCAGTAAGCCTTCCTGATATACTAATTTCGGTGCATCTTCATCATTGTCCTTCAGATATTCTTCCAAAGCCATTTTCTTCTTCTTCAACCATCTGATGTACTTGCAGCATTCCACGCCCACCTATTTGCCTTGGTAGATAAAGTCTGTCAATGTCACTGCGTGGATGAAGGGCATGATTCATTGTCATTATTTTTCTGGTCTTTCTATCCATTGCTTTTAGTTCTGCTTGAGTCCAGTCCACTATTCCAGCTGTGTACCTAATGACTGGGAATTGCCCAGGTGTTGATTGCCTTTATGGTATTTCCTCCATTGAGTTTGGACTTTAAGATCTTCTTCACTCTCTTGATGTATTCACCTCTAATCTTTTTCTTGACTTCAGTGTGCTTGATATTGTCAGCTTGAAGGATACCCAAGTATTTGTAGTAATCTTCTTCATCCAGACTCTTAATGTTATTTTCGTGGGGCATCTTGATTCCTTCAGTTTTCACTATTTTTCCTTGTTTGATAGTAAGTGTGGCACATTTGTCCAAGCCAAACCCCATTGCAATATCTTGGCTATATATACGAATAGTGTTGAGCAGTGATTCTATTTCAGATTATGTTTTTCCATACAGCTTCAGATCACCCATGTAAAGGAGGTGGGATAGTCTGGCAGATGTTTTTGATGTTTGATAGCCATGTCCTCAGTTATACAATATTGTTGACAGAGGAAAAAGTGCAATAACAAATAGTAGTGGTGATAATGAATCTCCTTGAAATATTCCTCTCTTGATATTAAACCTCTCCCAGTCTCTCACCATTGACCTGCAACTGTGTGTTCCATTGTGCCATCGATCTTTGCACAAATTTTCTAATGTTTCTACTGACTCCTGTTATTTCTAGGCACTTGATTATCCAGTCATGTGGCAAAGAGTCAAATGCCTTTTTGTAGTCAATCCATGCCACATTCTGGTTGGTTTTCTTTTTCTTGCATTTTTCAAGATCAATTTGGTCTATTAGGAGTTGATCTTTTGTTCCTCTGCTATTGGGGCGGTTTCCTTTCTGCTCAGGTGGAAAGAGATTGTTTTCAACTAGATGCTGTTGTACTTTATCAGCTACCACATCAGTTAGCAATTTGAAAGTTGTTGGTAAGCAGGTAATTGGCCTGTAGTTGCTCTTTTGCTGGATTTTTCATTATTAGATAGGTTTTCTCAGTTGTTAGCCACTTCTCAATTTCTCCTCCTTGTAGTATATTGTTGAACTGCTTGGCAATGAGTGGGCATATAACAGCTAGATGTTTCAATCAAAACCCATGAAGTTCATCTTCACCTGGTGCTGACCAATTTTTGATCTTCTTTGCTCTTTTTTCTACCATGTTTGTTGTTATTACTAGTTATTTCATTTCAATTTGTTTTATTTGCATCTACCTCTTTTAACCAACCTGCATCCTTGTTGTATTTCTTTGGGTTATCCCATATCTGCTTCCAGAACTGCACTGTTTCTTCCTTGTCAGGTACTGGCTGATTCATTGCAGTTTCTCCATTGATGGTAGAAATGTTTCTGATTGGATTGAAATTAGAAGTTCTGCCTATAATTTGCAATTCAAGCTTTGTATCTACTGATTTTCTTGGCTATAGCTGTTATTTGCTGCTTTATTATTTCCAGTGCTTCCTTGATCTTCCTTCCTAGCTGTGGTATTTCTTGATTAGGTGTTCCTTGGTCTTTTTGTTCTTCAGCTTCTTTTCTTTCATCTGTTTTAGCTTGCTTGCATGTAATCTTAACTTGCTGATCTTATTTTCTAGTCTAACCTTCCATTTTTTTGGTGCATTGTTTGTTTTTCTTCTTTGTTGATTTTGCATCCCAGGTATTCAATTATAACTGCAGCTGTGCTATAGATTAGTTGGTTTGTTTCTTGGTGCTTATACTTGATATTGCAGTATTTGCATCTTTTAATGCTTGTGCTAGCTGTTTCTTTGGAACAAGCTTCCATGCAGGCAGCCTTATTCTGTTGTTTTTGTGCTGTTCTAGATGCTCAGTTATTCTTTGTTTCAAGTTTTTTATTTTTTTTAGTTAGAGGGTTTTGTTCTTCCTGAGGAGAAGGTACCTGGTTTCCAAATGAGACCAGTTGTATATCTCTGCTGGATTCCTTCACTGCCAACTCCCCCTGGTTTGCCTCTACATTCTGAATTACTTCTGGCAAGGCTTTGATTTCTTTGCCCTGGGTAAACCTCTGCAGTTCGTCCAATTCTGTTTCTGTGAATACTTTATTTCGTATTATAAATTGGCGTTGATCTGCTAGTCTCTGTTCTGTTATTTCTGATTCTGGCTGGTGCATTCATTTTAGATATCCTCTTCTTGTTGGACTTGATCTGGTAATAACAGATCATTATTTCTTTGTTTTCAATCACTCTGTATTTGCGACAGGTAAACACTTTTTCGAATCCAGTAGTTCTGCAACTGCTGGCCCTGGTTGCTCAGCCAACAGTCTTGAGTCCTGTAACCCATTTTTCACCAGATAGTCAGGAACTCCAACATCTAGCACGGACCTTGTTAACCCGGGCGACATCTGAGCCGGTATGGCTTTCTGAAATTTATGTCTCACCATAATTTTTATCGGAGAGACACTCTTTGTCTGACTCCTTTGATGACACCTGTCCAGTATGGTTGAACCTTTGGCATAGCTCTCATCTTCCTCAGAGTACACAAGCCCCACAACCACGTCAAGGTAGTGCCTCACTGGGGGATGATGATGATGATGGTTATTATTATTATTATTCAGTTCAATTAGGCTATTTTAGTAGTTGTCAAAATAATAAGAGGGAGATAGGGAGATGCTCTCATTTGAGGGATCAGGTTGTTCCACAGGAAGGGAATCCTAATACAGATATAATGAAGTATTTTCCCATACTATTAAGTATAAAACAAAAGGTATGAATGGCCCCAGATTCAGAAGGGTCCACAAATTAGAGAATTCTGTGTTTCAGAACTGTATGCAGTTTTAACTTTGAATCCTATATTCTTTGGCCTACTCTTTTCTGAGGCAAAAAATGTTTGGGGCTATATTAGAGTGGAATCAATGCTCACTGATTTTATAAAGGATTCCACTGTAAACATTTTTTCATGCATAAACCAAAAAGAAGCAATAAATGTTATTAGAACCCTACTTCTCAATATGCTATTTCTATACTATTTCTATATGTCTAATCATATAAGCCCCCATTTTCAACATGCAGAGTAAATATAGTGAAAAAACAAATAAACTCTATATTTGACAACTTGACTGTTTAGTCAAATATAACAGATATCAGATTGATGCATAATTCAACTTTGGATCTTGACAAGCTACTATGTACAAATAAATGTAACAACATACAGGGTAGCTCCAGTCCAGTGCACACCGTAGTATTTTTTACTGTTGGAGGAGAGTGCCGTCCATCATCCATGTCTTGCTCTGTACACTGAGCCTCTCCATGGATAACTGCCAAGCCTAGCCGCAATCGCTCAGCATAAGACTGGGCCCTGCATAAGTAAAAACCAACTATCACTTCAAGGCAAGACTTTCTCTCTGAGAAGCTCTAGACATAAATTCACTTATTCGTTCTTCAAACAAGATGAAGCCTCAGAAACGAGTTGTGCATGCTTTTTCATCAATTATTGATGAAAAGCAAAATCATGCTTTTAGCAAAATAGTACTTTGCTTTTTTGGCCCTTCGATTTTTTTCCATTAAGCATATTTTTTTCCTATTAAGTAGGCATTATCTGAAAAATACTTTCTGAGCACAATGCCACAATCACCCCCAAAGTTCTTTCAAGCATTTATTTATTTTTTATTATCTTTCAAGCATTCATGGATACACAAAAGAGATCTGTATTTTAATTTGTGAAGAATGTCTTGGTTGACTTCCAAAGAACTTTTATTAGCCATTACTTAACCTACTGACCTATGCATAAAAGATAATCTAAGCTTTTAATTTGGTGAGCTTAATTAAAAAATCTCAACCCAAAAGAGGTTCCGTGCATATATTCATTTAATTCCACTTAGCAAGGATCCATTTTGAGGGGCATTAATTGGAGAATGATACTCTAAAAGTTGGAAGCCACCAATAGTGACAACCATCTTCTATGGTTGTGCATATATCCAATCTAAAGGGAAAAATATAATCTGGCAATGTGAGTGCATACATGGTAATTCTCAGGAATACTCGAGATTGTACAATGTGTTCTGAATTACATTTTGCTCTTCAAATTTTAATCTCTGTAGGGCCCTACTGGGTGGAATTTTGCAGATAAGCATTTTTGTAATACAGGTAGACTGCTTAACAACAGTCACTTAAGTACCTCAAAAGGTACTTACAACCCAGTTTTGGAATTCTAACAGCTGCACACTCCTCTGTGGTCATGTGACCACATTTGGGGCATTTGGCAACAGACTCACATTTACAACTGTTTGCAGGGTCCCACAATCACATGACTACAATTTTCAGTGGTTTCTGGCATTTACTTCCAGTTTCAGCAAAAAATGCTCATTGGATAATATACATTCATTTATCAACCAATGCATTCACTTAACAACTGCTGCAAAACAGGTTGTAAAATTGGCATGGTCATATGGTGACCTGCTTAATGACCATCATGATTTACAACCATAATTTTGGGCCCAATTATGGTCATAAGTTAAGGATTACCTATATTCATATCTAAATAAATACCTCTTAGCGGCATCAGGACTCTTTGCTACTATAACTGCATTCCTATAATCAGGAATCTTAAAAAAAAGGAGAAAAGGTTTTGTTTTTAAAGCAGTTTGGTTCTGAAATTAATTGTTTTTACAAGTAATTATTTGTTATTATGTGACTGGGAAAAAAATCATTTAAGGACTACCATACTCGGTAGTCTTTAAATAGGTTCTGAATGGACTACTATAAAATAATTACAGTTCCTTTTTGTTTAACTGCGAGGAAGGATTACCCATTATACTCTGAGAACATGAGGCTAGCTTGTGTGAGAATGTAAGACCAGGCTGAAGATTCCATCATGGTAAAATGAAGCAGGCACATACACAAAAAGGACAAGAACCAGGACTTTTGTCAAAAAGATCCCATAAATACATACACAGAAGACAGATAAGGGAGGTTGGGGGTTTAACCTACAGATTCCCCCATCCCACTGAGAGTTATCATACTTGTAAATCAATAAAACAAGAGCTTTGTGGAGTAAAAGGATCCTGGAGCCTGCCCATTCTTTGAGTCATCTTGGAGCCAGATCTGACAGTTTCAGTCTATCTAGCTAATGCCTGGCAGCCTAGCTAAGAAGGATGTTGGTAATGGAGATGAGTGTGTATGTTTAATCAGTAAAGTTTTGTTGCCATTTTGAACCATTAGGTCTCCATTTATTCTATCAGAACTTGACATGCCTCAGTGTTTGATTGAAAGTGATTTCTGTGTGTTCCTAAATATTTCCTGGCTTTTCAATGGGGCTGTGTGTCTCATATGCTCTAATACAACTAGAAAACAAGGGTAGTTGCAAAATCTGAACTCCTCATAGGATGCATGTGTGAATGATCATAACCTACATCTGGGAGCGAATGTAACAATAGTCAGCACTCAAAAAGTTGTTTTTTCATTATTTGAACTGCTTCAGTTAGGTATGAGATAATACATATGGGAACATCTTCTAGTAGAACAAAGTTTATGACTATTAAGAGATCAAAATCACATTATACCTCTTCCTGTATATACTGAAGCAAGAAAGGAGATGCTCTCAAGTTATCAACAGGAAAGCTAAAAAAACCCTGTATTTCTTTTTGATGAAGGTCCATAGTGATGATGTGGCTTAAACCTAAAAACCAAACAAATATAAAACATTATATATACACAGCTTCCAACAATTACAGATTGATATCTAATTATTCAAGCTGGTATAAACTAAGATGCTTGCTATTAGGATGGACTTGAATCACAAGGCAGGAAATCTCATTTTAATATTTAAAATCACATGTAATAATAATAACAACAAAAGTTGGAAGGGACCTTAGAGGTCTTCTAGTCCAAACCCCTCCTCAGGCAGGAAACCTTATACCATTTCAGACAAATGTTTGTCCAGTCTCTTCTTTAAAAAATTAATTATTGAAGATTCTATATCATGTGTATTCCTGGGGTGTCTATTATAACTTGAAAACATTCTTCACTGTTTCAGAAAAGATTCTTACTCTAAGAAGCAAACAAAGCATATTTAATTAAAACTTTTTCAGATTAAAAGAAAGTGGTATAATGACCTTAGTACCAAGGAAGCTTCTTAACATTGTTGAAGTTAATAAATGAACTAGCTCCAGTTCAATTATTTGTGGTTACAGGTAGTCCTCAGCTTACAACCATAATTGAGCCCAAAGTTTCTGCTGCTAAATGAAACATTTCTTAAGTCAGTTTTGCCTCATTTTATGGCCCTTTTTTCCAAATTGTTAAGTGAATGATTGCAGTTGTTAAGTCAGTAACATGGTTGTTAAGTGAATCTGGTTTCTCCATTGACTTTGCTTGTCAGGTTACAAAAGGTGATCACATGACCCCAATACACTGCAACCATCATAAAAATGAGTCAGTTGCCAAATGTCTAAATTTTGATCATGTGACCATGAAATGTGCAATGGTTGCAAGTGTGAAAAATAGTCATAAGTCATTTTTTCAGTACTGTTGTAACTTTAAACAGTCATTGTTGTAAGTAGAAGAGTACCTCAATTTGGAGGATATTTTTCTTATGATATGCTGACAGAATGACCATTTGTAGCTTTTTGCATTATCGATAAAAAAGAAACAGCTGAACCATTTGTATTTTGTGCCCCTGCCTTTCTTACACACAAATATAGGAAATATCACAGCAGGGCATAAAGAAGGAAGGAAAAATTACAGAGGCTTCTGTAAGTTATTTAATACAAAGATTTTCCATATGCTACACACGCACACACACAGATTAGGGGTAAAGCACAGAATCTTGGAATCTGTGATAGAAACTTCTAATCCTCACTCACTAGTGAGTTCATTACTATGGAGTCTCCCTCAGAAATCAGTATGAGTGATTCTAAACATGTTTTCTTTTTAATAATTGTTCTGATATCTTTTTGCAGAAAGTTGTTCTTATAGTGCAGGGGTGTCAAAATGCCGGCCCGCGGGCCAGATGCATCATAAGGAAACCGCGACCACCCCATTGCCGGCAATGGCAAAAAAGTCGTGATACGTTGTGACATGTCATGTGATGTTGCAAGTTTGACACCCCTGTTATAGTAGAAGGCAAAAATCTACAAAATCAGTTATTCTTGTCACCATCTTTGGGGATAGATCAAACATTGCTTAGATGAATTGCTTAAATCAATGTTGCCTCTAATTAGCTCATTTACCTGCTTTAGCCAGCATGGAAGCAAGGAGTTTACAGACTATTGATCCTCTCTTCCTCATTTTGCTTTGTTTGCTATAAGGGAAATAGGGAATTACACCTGTGATGGTTTTGGCACAGGCTGTTTTCAGTGCATAAGCCATAATCAACAGTTCCATTACTGCAGTGTTCACATCTCTGAAAAGATATAAAATACAAATCAGTTATCCCTGTGTTCACCATCCTACAATATCAGCTTTTGCCAAGACAAAATAAATTGTTAGGCTACGCTTTACACTACATCATGGTTTGCTGAATAATTCACACATAAAATTAAAGCACAGATTACAAATCACAATAGCTGGGGTCATATATGGTACCAATATGAAATAAATACCCCTAAGTTATTATTCAGTATAGGATGTGAATTCAGCTATTATCAATACAAATACCATCTTTTAAAAAAAAATCATTTAATAATCATAACAAAGTAGTCAGCTTTTTTATCTTAACTTGACATTTTCCCAGCTATGTATACAAGAAACCTGGGGTTCTGTGGAAACCTAAAGAAATTCCTGCATAAAAATGAGTAGATAAGCAATTTAGAAAAATAGTTTGTAAATCATTAACAATCTTTTGCAATGCACACCCATGTTCTAGAACACAACATTTTGTATACAATTAATCTATACACTTAACTTGTACATTTGAACTAAGATGGTATTAGACCATTTAGTACTAACAGGCACCAAATGCTCCTGGACTTGTCTTCTCTGTTCCTGCAACTGGTATTAATTTCTTTTAAAAGTTTCTTCTGTTTTTTTTAAAGTGACATCTCTCAATGTCAGACTAAGCTGTCTTAGTCTACAATGATGAAGAATTTAACTAGCACGATGATTAACATTGCAGTAATCATTAGTAACAAGGATAAACTGTAGTGGGGTTAGGAGGAGAGCATTTGCATTTGCTAATCTTAGAAAAAATTTCATACAGAATCAGTAAATTCAACCGGACAGTTCATTTTTCCAAGAAAGTGCATTTTAACCTTCACAGTTCAAGGACAATGTACAAAATTCTCACCTGGGAATTGTCTGAATAATGAATATATCTTGTCCTCGGACTGACTCCTTTATTTCAACTCTTGTTTCTGTAGAGAAAGGCAGATAATTAAACAAATTTTTGAAGACTGTCTAATGGTACCTTTAAAATACTAATAGCAGTACTGAAGTACATGGGCAGGATGGGATTAAAAAAGAATCCATTACAAATATATCCTAATCTAATGAAAATAAAACACATCCTACTGAAATGAATGGCATTTGAATCTTAAAACAAATCTATTATATATTAAAGTTTAGGACAAATGTTTTTACACCACAAATATTTGCTGATGTGAATAAATCCTGTTCACTTTGCCAAGCCATTTCTGCCTATCTATCCTTAGTTCCAGGTATTTGCCACCGCTTTCTAGCTGCTTTGGAAGTTGTACTATAGATTCCCCTTCTGAAAACTAACAGTGTATAGTTAACGTGTTGAACTAGAATTTGGGAAAACCAGATTCAAATTCACTATTAGCAATGGATGAGTTTCTGTCCAAATTCCATCCACTCCAAATGGCTATTGCAGAGAAAAGGAATGGAGGGACGGAACGCTGAGTATACTATTTTGAGCTCCTGCAGGTTCTAATGTACAATTAAATAATCATAATAAATAAATCCTCATCTTATATAAAAGGATTTTTGAACAGAAGGTTTATCACAATCATAATTCTTCTGACAAGGCTTCCCATTATGCAGGAGAGAAATATATAATTTATCAAGCAGCTTCTCAAAGGAAACCAGCACACATTATTTAGATTACATATATGTCATTGCTTCCAGGTGCAGTGATGGAAGTTTTCATGGTTTTTTTAATTCCTATATAGATCTCTCCTCAATTTATCAACTTTTTAAGCAACAATAACATCATCATATAGTTGTCATGCTTCTGCAGCTAGGCACAAGACCAAGAAAAGATGCAATTGTAAACATGAATGCTGGGTGCCCATTCCAAATCACAGTTTGCCCTTCAAATTTAGAGCTCTGCACAGCCCTTCCATTTAAAATTTTTGATACAGCTAGCTCAAATCTAAAATATTGGTAGTAGATACAGGAAGACCTTGCTTAACAATTACTCTGTTTAGCAATGATTGAAAGTTATGTCCTTGCTGAAAGAATTTTATGACTGATCCTCACATTTACAACCTTTTCAGTGCTCCTGCGGTCACATGATCGCTATTTGCATGCTACACAACTAACTTCCAATACACAGAAGCTGGCAATACAATTGCAAGTCACATTCACTTGATGTCTCACTTAATGACTGTGGGTGATTGGCTTAACTACAGTAGAAGTGAGGTTGTAAGTTCATTGTCATCAAATGATGTTCCATTTAACAACCATGTTGCTCAATGATGGAGTTGCCTGCCCCAATTGTGATTGTTATGTGTATAGCAACTCAGATGTAGGAAAAAACATGTTCCAGTCCAGGACTGTAGAGACAGATTCCTATCTGCACTCAGTTACAAAATCCATTAATTCTCACGTCTACTTAAGATTGTTACATGGATAAAAAGAACACAACTTTGAATCCTTGGAAAAAGAGAGGATAAACACGTGGTATTTTTTTTTAGAAATGCATTGTAAAGCCTATTATGGTAGTTTTTATAAGCATAAACACAGCATAAGAAGCTCACCACACAGAAATGAATCTAGTTCAACAGTTACCCAGTCATAGATATAATCCAGAAATGTTCCAAAATGTTGTGGAAGCAACAAGGTAACCAAAAATCAACTAATCTCACTGGCCATCTTAAAACCAGAAAAGAATAGGATCAAGAGCAGAAACTATCTTTAGGTTTCAAACACATTTATTGTTTTTTGTATGTTTTGCTTATACCTACTGTATCTATGAGTCTTTAGGTCCCTCAGATCTGGAGAGGCCCCTCAGATCTGGAGATACTCCATCTTTGATCTTGGATGGAGCAGCATTTACTTCTTTAAGGATGGCACATAATCTGGGAGGCTTCTTGGATTTGCAGTTCTTGCTTGAAGAGCAGGTGCTAGCTGTGGCCAATACTTTCTGGCACATGGGGTTGTGGTATTTTCTAGATTGGAGCTCCCAATCACCCATGATCTAATCACCTCATTGTTTGACTAGCCCATTGTGCTGAACATGGGGCTGGCCTTGAATTGCACCTGGACAGTTCAACTGGTCCAGAATGTGGCAGTATGAGCAGTCATGGACATGCCTCTGTATACCCACGTAACACTTCTGCTTTATGAACTGCATTGATTTCTGGTTTGCTTCCGGGTGTGATTCAAGGTGCTGGTTGTTACCTATAAAGTCCTACATTGCACAAGACCTGATTACTTGCGGGACTGCCTGTCTCTCACAACATTTGCCATCCGATTCAACCCTATAGGATTGGCATACTCCAGGTTTGTCTGGTTAAATAATGTCATCTATTGGGATCCTAGAAACATGGTTTTTCTATAGCAGTACCTGTTCTTGAGAACTAGATTTCCCTTGAGATTTGGATGGCCCCCACTCTGCTATTATTCAGAAGCACCATGAAAACCTGGTTCTTCACCCAGGCTTTTAGCAAGGGAGAATGAGCTTCACCTTGTTTGCCATCTTTAACTTTTAACCTTTATTGTTTTTACTGTATTATTACTATTACTCATATACACTAGATTGGTCTGGTCAAGTAGCTTTTCTTTTTGTGAGTTTCTAAATGTAACAAAGAATGCTTGCATAGGCCTGTGGCATTTTAAATTGTTTATCTGATTGTATCCGGCTTCTATCTCACATATTTTTTATTCTGCTGACATACCTCCATTGGTTTCTTGGTACACCACAGATTTTCCAAGTTCAGCACCAAGACGCCTAAAAGAGAAGTATTTTCAAGATTTAGATTCTATATAATAGCTTTAATATGAAACTGTTTATTGTGCAATTAGAACAGTAAAGCTCACCTGTGTACAAAAATTAAACCTTAATTCTACTTTGTGAACATTAGAAATGCAAAACTGAATCAAATCAAGGCATCTCTTTTCCAGCAATTTCTTCCACCAACGGCAACCAGATTCTAATGAGAATCCACAAACACAACCTTGCCAAATAGTATTTGTGTTTCCAAACAACTGGTATTTGGGGCTGGTATTATCTCTGATCCTTGAGATAACATAACCATTATTATTCCTAACCACTGATCTCATTTACTGCTGTGTAAAGCAATCACGTTCCTTTTGCTGCCTAGCCCAACATTAATTTTATATTTACAAGTTAAATTTAGTTATTTAAAATATTTAAACCACAAATCATAATAAAGCTGTGCAGAGTACAACATTAATATTTATTTCAATGGCCATCTTGCAATCTTCCTTAATGGCTTTTAAAATATGGCTTCTGGAAGTTGTTTGAACCCTGTACTGATGAATCAATCTACTGCATTGCCTTTACAGCTTTCTAAGAGTAAAAAAAGAAGAGCAACTATGTATGTAATTATGAGCTTTCTGAAGAAACTGATTTTGTACCAGAGGAGTCTTATTTTAACACTATATTCATTTCTAATTATATTAAATCTGCAAGTTAAAACCTCCAAAGACCAAGCACATATTACTTTGGAAGAAGTTCAGAAAGTATGATTTATTTATTTACAATGCTCTGCACTTGCAGATATGTTACCCCTAAAAAAACCTGAACAAGTGTTAAAAATTTTCAGTTTGTTTGTGCAAAATTTCAAGAGCATTCAGGCAGAACAATAAACGTAGATCTAATAAATGTTATATCTAAAATAAAATCTAAAAATGCAGACATAGTATCACTTTGATCAATATTCACTGTTCTTCAAGTTAAAACAATAATTCCCTCTAATAGGAATTTTGCACAAAAAAACATGTATGGTACTTCCCAGTAGAGTTCAACAAGCCCTTCTTTGCCATAGTCTCTACAGATAGTCCTTGATCTACAGCTGGTCTCTTAATGATGGTTCAAAGTTATGATGGCCACATTTGTCCCCCCCCCCTGTCACATGATCACATTTGGGCACTTGGTAACCAGCTCACTTTTATGGTGTGATTTATGACTTTTTTTAGTTTCTAGCATTTATTTCTTTTTGGCAAAAAATATTCATTGGGGAAAATTGTTTCATTTAACAACTGCAGAATTCACTTAACAATCGCTGCAAAAAATGTCAAAAAAAATCAGGTCTAGTCACATGGTGCTTTGAATTATAAGCACAACAATTTACAACCATAATTCCGGGCTCAATTATGGTTGCAAGTCAAGGACCACCTGTACTACCTTAAATACATAGAAAACTTCAGTTTTTCAGTGACAATTACCTAATCATGAAAGGTTTTGATTTATGATAAAGATTTGTATCAAGGATTGACTTTCAATAGAACAGAGCAAGGGAGTTACTCTGTTCTGCACAAAATTCTAACCAGAATAAAGCTTGTGTCTAAATAGTTTACCAATGGGTTATCATAACTGCTTTCTTTTCTCTTACTTTCTGGTCCTAGCCTATAAATCACTTTATTGATTTATAGGCTAGGACTAGAAAGTAAGGAAAGAGACTAAGATCTGTGGCTAATAAAAGCTGATCCTGAGGTACAGGAACCTTATTATTCTCTATTTATCTTGGGTAAGAGAAGTCTGTGATTATTTGTGCACGAAAACTTTTAGCTAGACAAAACATATAAATTATTATTTCTCCAATGATTTTTGTGTGTGTTTTCTTCTTCACAAATGTAAACATTTAATAGCAAAGTAAGAGGGAATAAATCTGGGATCTTTCTGAAAATGTTAACACAAAATGTTCTTATTAGAGTAAATTATTACAGGTTGAAGAATAGAATGTATATATATATGTATATATATATATATATATATATATATATATATATATATATATATATATATATGTTTTCTGAGGTTTTCGCGAGTATTTGTATGTAGGTCTTTGGTTTTTCGGGTTTTCTCCCGCGTAAAATTGGAAGTGTCTTGGCGACGTTTCGACGAAGTCCCATTCGTCATCTTCGGGCTGGTGTTTTCAGCTTCGTGTGGGTCTGGTGTCATTCTTTGCTGCTCAAAGCACGAAGCTGAAAACACCAGCCTGAAGATGACGAGAGAACGACAGAAGAAATCTTTACTCCGATTCCCCCCCCACCTATCAGCTGTTCAGCAGGGAATGCTAGCACAGTCTAGGAACCACGCGCAGACGTCTATGGAACCCGTTTGAATCACCTTGTTAGAAACGGTCTCTCAGCCCTGAAGATGTTGGGGAGTTTTCCCAACGAAAGCTTGGCAACCTTTTAATATAGTAAAATACTTTAATTGAAGTATTTTAACTTTAAACTCTCCTGGTGAACGCGCTTTATTCATTCCATTTATATATATATATATATATATATATATATATATATATATATATATATATATATATATATATACATACATACATACATACACATACATACATACATACATATATATATATACACACACATATATATAGTCAAAATAATGATCACCAAGAGAATATCTATCAAAAATAGAATTTAATCCACCAAGCTTTCGTCAAATACATTTGACATCGTCAGGGTTAAAAGGCAAACGCCGGGGGAAGTCTTATATACAGTTGTTTAATGCCTGTTTCCGGCTCCTCGAGCGTGTCATCGGCCCCAGCTGATTGAGTTGAGTCCCAAGCACACGCCCCACTTCAGCACCTATCCTCTTTCCATTGCTAATTTTCATTCTGTCATACGTTACTCCATTAGCTGTTTCAGGGTTGGTCCGGTTGGGGGTCAGGATCTTTTCTCCTCCCCTGCTCATAACACGCTCCAGGAGCCGGAAACCGGCATTAAACAACTGTATATAAGACTTCCCCCGGCGTTTGCCTTTTAACCCTGACGATGTCAAATGTATTTGACGAAAGCTTGGTGGATTAAATTCTATTTTTGATATTCTTTTGGTGATCATTATTTTGACAATATGAATACTCCCAAGAGTCGCATTTTTGTTTTTATTTCTAATCAAGTGTGTGTGTGTGTGTGTGTGTGTGTGTGTGTGTGTGTAGGTCTTTGGTTATTCGATTTTCTCCCACATAAAATTGGAAGTGTCTTGGCAATGTTTCGACAAAGTCCCATTCATCATCTTCAGGCTGGTGTTTTCAGCTTCATGCTTCGAGGAGCAATGTGTGGTCTTAGCTGTTTCTTCCTTTTAACTGCCAGTGGGGGTATGAACTGATTGGGTGGGAGCTTGGCTGTGTTCTGATTGGGTGGAGGTGTGTTCTGATTGGTTAGGGGTTTGGCTGTGCTCTGATTGGATGGGGGGTTGGCTGTGCTCTGATTGGGGGGGTTGGCTGTGCTCTGATTGGATGGGGGAGTGTTCTGTTTGGGTGGGGGCTTTGTTGTGCTCAGGTTAGTCTGAGTTGCAGGGGGATTTAAGATGGTGGGCTGCCTTGCTATTTTTTGGCTTTGTGTTCGTGGTCGTGCCTCATCTTCATGGTGGGTGTCAGTTTGCTTCATGTATGGATTGGAGGAGTTTAAAGTGGCTAATGATGCAGCGGTGGTCTGGCTTCTGGTTTGTGGTCGTGCCTCATCATCGGTGTGGCTTTGGGTTTGCTTGTTGCGTGAATGTGTGGTGGTGACATCCTGTGTGGTTTTAGTGAGTGTGGATCTGGTGTCATTCTTTGTGTTAGGGAGTCGTTTGTCAATAAGGGCCAGTTTCCAAATGGCTGGTAGGCGGGAGGTATCATCTCGTTTGTTCATGCTGTGTGGGTATTTTTCTATCTCGATGGCTTCTCTGATTATTCTGTTATTAAAGTGTTCAGTTTTGGCGATAGTTCTGGTATTTTTAAAGTCAATTTCATGTCCTGTGGCTTTAAGGTGTTGAACCAGGGGAGATGTTGGTTCCTCTTTTTTGACTGAGTTCTTATGTTCTTCAATGCGTGCACTTATTCTTCTGTTGGTTTGTCCGATGTATGTGTTGGGACAAGCGGTGCATGGGATTTCATATACTCCTTGATTTTCTAATTCAATTTTCTCTTTGGGGTTTCTTAGGATGGTGGATATTTTTCTATTTGCACAACAAATACCTTAAATATATATATATAATGGTATATGCTACTTCTATTCTGCTTTTTAATTGCAACATTATATATATTTTAAGTCTGCTTTCATTTTACTTGAAACGCTTCATACAATTAAGGAACTAGAAACTAGTAATCTACTATAACATCATTAATGTAGAATGCATACAGAGTAGAGAATCAGCTTGCACTACAAGTCCAATATTCAGTAAGTCTATTGGATAGAATTTAGGTCTCCCTATTCTTTTTATTGGATGGGGCTTTCCTTCTTACGATCGGTAACAGTTTGAGATAGTTAATCACTAGTTAAATTTACAGCATTTGAGGCTAAAATACCAGAGTATGGAAAAGCCTTAATCAGCTTTCCAGGAAACTGACTCAAGATCAGCCAGTCCTAGCAAGTTTCCACACTAGTAAATAGCAGAAACACTACTTCTTCCTCTGACAATCTTAATCAAACTTTGGCTGTCAATTTATGAAGCTAACCAACCCAAACCCACTCAATATGGTAGGACTTTGTATAAACTTATACAGGGCAGTGTTGCGTTCCTTAAAATATTAAGAGGGTTAAAAACCCTTATAAAGTTCACATCATCTCAAATGAGACAATGAAGAGTTATCAGAACAAATGAGGTGGTACAACAAGAACTGATAATCTTCCTTTTTACAAGTAAGGAATTAAAGAAGTAAGCCCGCTGAATGAAACTGACAATCAAGTTATAAAGGACAGCTATAGGAAATAGTCCAGAACTGCAGATATAAGGTCAGTCAAACTGAACAGAAAAGTTCAGATTGAGTAAAGCCTGGTAAGGTATTAGATATGGAGAAAGAAAAGGGTTTTCCAGCATTATTATCTATTATATATCTACTCTATGCTTTTAACAAATTTTGATAGACAATGTATGATGAATGAGACAAAAAGCTGAAACAATATATGAAATTGATCCCTGTATCTACTTACTTCCAATCTCAAAAAATAATACATAAGCAATATTTTAAACTTGCACATAAGAAAACAGAGCTTCAAATATATAGCATAACTGTGAATACAGCATGTAAATGCCAAGATTAAAAAAATAAAAAGTGTGTATCAAAAGTTTTTCTAATGCTATTTTATATATCAACATTGCACCAAAAAGCATGGTCTCATCAGAAGACAGCTCAAGTAGGCAGAAACTGAGAGTATCAACCCCCCAGATTCTCATCTATGTGATATTAACGAAAAGTCAACAAGATTATTCCGTTAATAGCTTTCAAATTAACCATCATTTTGTTGACTGTTAATCAGCAAAAACTGGGGCCTATAGAATCTTATCATTCTATACCACTATCATTTAGTGATAGGTAGAACATAGGGACTCAGCTTTGACTCTGAAAGCTTTCTTGAGAGCAGAGCAAAATTTTGTGTTTCTAATCTTGTAAAACATCAGAGATACACTAAAAAGAAATGCCATCTCTTCTAGCTCCATAGCATTTTAAAATTAATATTACTATTACCTCTCTTCAACTGCAAATATAGATTTTGGTTGGCTGTCAAAATAGCCACTGAACCATTAGGTGGGATGTGCAGGGGGCAAACAATTATCAATAGTACAACCTAAATGTAATAAATTATACAAGTTAAATATAAAATACTATATTGATTAATGTACATAAGGGCTTTGTTTCTCAGTTGTGTGAATGGAACCAAAACATGCATATAAATAATTTCTATGAATGCTTACTGTCTATTAAAGTCTAATCTAAAATATTTAAAATACTCGCTGTAATTTAATAATTGTTATAAGACTTTGCTTCTTTAAATGAAAATAAGATTCTTCAGTTTTGAATAACATATATTCTTGAACTATACTGAAAAACTGTGGCAAACCTACTTCTCCTTGGCAATTATTGTCACAGAATTTACACGTTTTATAGTAATTGCCACGGACTACAAGTCATTAAGAGAGAAGAATGCAGTGCTAAAAATTGTAATACACTCACTCAGTGATCCTCTTGGCCAGTTCTGTGCAAGCTGCTGAGGAATTTGCTGAGAAGACCCGGTAGCCACTTCTGGCTGCATTCATTGCCAAAGAATCATGCAACCCCCTTTGAACTCGAGAGTGAGAAAACACAGATTTATAAGGTAACAGCAGTTTCCTTGGCATCCTCTTTAGTTCTCCAAATACTAATGTCACCCACACTGCACTGAGATAGTGATGGTGATTAAAAAAATCTGATTAGAAAAGACTGCCTGTTATCCAATTATTATAATTAGAAAAAGTTACATTCAAAGAAGCAGCAGAACTAAAAATAATTAGGTGAGGGAAAGCCCTTCAGCAAGACATAAAGTTATCAAGGCTGGACATTTGCCACAAGGAGTCAGAAAGTCTTAAAAACAAGCAGTCATACTGATTATCAACAACGTGGAATATAACAGGCAGAAAGAGTTGCTCAGGGAGAAAAGGAGATTTTACATTTATTGCAAAAAAAGGTTGAGAGGGCTGTTCTCACTAAGATTACAGCGGAGAGGCAATGAAGGCAACAAGCTATGAGGCAATGCAATTTGGTTACATACCAAACAGGGAAGACAGACACAGGAGGAGAGTCAATTTCTCTAGACAAAAGGGATAGTTCTGGAGAGGGGGGCGGGAGGCTCTGGCAGCCCCAAAGAAAGTTAGTTACAGGAGAGCAGAATAGGGTCTTCTCGGTAGGGCCTCTGAGGGAAGGCAGAAGGCCCCCAATCAAGGAGAAAAGGGAAAGTGAAAAACTGGGAATGGAGGAGAGGCGAAAGGCAGCCACTTTCCTGGGACTGGGGGGGAGGGGGGAAACTGAGGAGTGAACCTATGCAGTTAATTCAGAGGACCCGGAGACACGGTTCTGACTGAGGCAAAAGGAAAGGAGAACCTTTTCCCACTGGGAAAGTACAGGGAGGCAGAAGGCTCGGGCGGGTGGTGAGGCAGGCAGAAGAGAGGGATCGAAAGGCGGACTAAAACCAAGGCTCGTTTCGAAAGGAGAGCCGTGAGGAGAAGGCGCGGAGACACACACACGCGGGAAGAGCGAGGAGAAAGTAATATGATGAGGCAGGACGGAGGAGTCGAGCAGAAGCTTCCGGAGAAGCAGAGGCAGGTCCCGGGAAAAAAATCACAGAAGCAGCCGTTGTGAACACGTCGCTTCGCGGCTGCCGACCTCTCCCTTGGCCCCGCTCGCTCTCAGCCTCAAACTCTGCGAGACTCAAATCCGCCAGTACGCTCGGAAGAACAGAGACGCCGCGCTAGAGCGCCCCCTCCCGCCCTCAGCGGCCATTTTGTCTCAGCGCTTCGAATTGTAGCTGCTCTCGCCTGTAAGAGGCAGACATATTGAGTGAGGGCAGAGGGGAAACGGTCCGTCGCTACCTATCTACCGCTTTCCCTTTAAGCACACGGGCAGACTTCGGTCGACTCACCTCTTAAAAATTAAAACGCTGGGCCACTCGGCAAACGGTTTCATTCACCTTTTTACACCGTGGAGGATTCTTTTCCATCAATAAAGATGGTTACCTGTCTTGGCGGGCCAAGTAACCGTTACAGGGGAAATCTCCTTTGAGAGGAACTTAATGGTCGTTGCAACGGAAGCGGGCGGAGCTAGAATTTTGTACTTGAGGGCCGTAGGGAAAAGTGCTTGGTTATTGCAATTTTAACTTAGAGGAGAAATAAGTTGGACAAAAGTGTCTGGAAGACTATTTGTTAAAAACTTGAGCCGCGAATGTATGTATGACAGATATGTACGTATGACATATGTATGTATGATAGATATGTATGTATGCTCCTGCTACATCTAAACAGTCTACTCATGTTGGAAATCTTGTAAAGTTGGACTACAATTCCCATGTTACCAATCAGCACGCAGAGTGGCTTAAAGACGAGGCGTTTTGGAGCTATAGTTCCAAGGTATACGGAGTCCTGGCGTATATAATGTGTGATGGCAAGGGAATGTAAGGACAGATATGTTCAATAACGAGTCGCCTGTCCAGGTTTGTTAGATGAACTGGACTGCGCATGCGCTGACATTGCTTGCGGTTGCGGGGATGCTAAACTGCCTGGCACCCAAAAAAGACCACGTGAGCTGTCACTTAACGAGATCGTTCTGGCTCAGTTTAACCATTACCGTAATTTAGAAAAACTACTAAACACTTCGAAGGTTTGGTCTTGTTATCAGCTCTTCAAAAGTGCAGTGGCAAGACGGCTGCCAGATCTGGGCTGCAAAAATGCGGACGATCGTGGGTTAGCAATAAAAAGATTTTCTGAATCATTTTGCTGCCAACTTGTGGTTGTCCGCATCTTTCAATCTTGATCTGACGGGTTAACGGGCAGTGTTTCCTCAGGTTTTCAGTCTGTTCTGATACTGGTAGTTGTAATGATTTGATACCTATTAATGAGTAGCAGAAAAAATAGGAAATTTTATTTCAGATGTGATTATTCTAAATTCCTTCTTTAGGATACAGTATTCCATTTAATTTTATATTTTATACTGCTTTCCAAATAATAATTGATGGAATTCATTTTATGAATTATTCTAGATAGGTGACTTTGCCATATACTTTGTTCTATTTTAGCCATTTTAAATAAAATACATGATGAAATACATTTAACTGCATTAAAATGCAACAATGATGCTGCAAATAAAGCACAGCTTTTGCATAATACAACAGAATTGTTATGACGAAGGAAATCATTCTGATGAAGACTCTGTATATAATTCTGAACACTTTGATGGAAATGCATACAAACTGATAATTAGAAATGTAAAACATAACTGTAAACATCTTAATATGGTTTTAGGAGTATTAATATGATTTGCTGTATGATAACGGTATATGCTTAAAATTGATAATACATAAGATCCAGTAATAAACAAATGGAGGGGAAGCTGAATGAAAAATAAAATGTATTTTATTTTACATGTATTTTATTTTACATTCTCCACTAATTAAGCATTGTGCAAAATGAGAACAGTTTTAGATTTTGTAGTAGAGAAAAGGAGAGAAGCCTGTTCTCATTTTGCACAATGCTTAATTAGTGGAGAATGTAAAATAAAATACATGTAAAATAAAATACATTTATTTATTTATTCTCTTATCTTCAAATAAAATACATTTAAAAGGCAAATGCTAGCATTTCAAACATCAATATATACTTCTTTGTGGAAAATGAAGTTATAATTCCCTTCCATAGCCAGCTTACTAACTTCATATGACATGTCCTAAAATCTTCCAGCATTTGTTTTGTTTTGAAATAAACATTGAACGTTTCGCTTCAAAAACAAAGTCCAATTGCCTTGTGAAAAAGCAGCCTTGGGATAGCAGGAAACATTGTGGTTGAAAATGGCAGCTGAATCCAGTCTGTTGATATCTCTCTGGAGAGAGGAGAGAGCTTGAGATAGCCCATTTATATACTGGACAGTTGGGGTAAGTACACTGCAGGAACTGACCTTTGCGATTGCTTTCAAACAGCTGAGATTTGCAGGATTCCACTAAATTCATAGCCATCAATGCAGCCTTTCAAGGTTCAACCAAACCTCACTTAATCATTTTGGAGTTTACTTTTTTTCTGTTGCATTTTAAAGGTTAAGGACCTTCGGAGCTGCAAATGTGATCGTATTCACTGAGTTTTTCTTCAGTTTTTAAGAAAGAAGTTTTAATTATAATTTGGGCTTTTGCAAAAAAAAAAGCAGAAGTGCTGATTTTATAATTTTTTAAATGAATTAGGGGTCCAGATGGACTTGAATTAGAACTTTGAAATTACAGTAACTATCAGAATCCTTTCTGTGGAAAGATTTCTATGTTTACATCAAGAATTGATGGCTTTGAAAGTTGGTCACTAGAGGGCATCAGAAGGAAATAAATTTATCAATAAATCTTTTAAGAGAAATTATGATTATTGGGCTCTGAAAATAATTTTAAAGTTATCTGTTATTATAGAAAAACTGGATGATGTCATTAAAGAGGAAAAAATTCCATCGAATAAAACTGAAATTTATTTGAATGTGGATTTTAAAATGACAGCATATAACAGATGGAAAAAGTTCAAATAGTGGGGATAAATTAAAAAAATGCATTTGCAAATGAGACTTATTGATTATTTAACAATTTAAAAAACACACAAATACTAAACCTGAAGAATGATGTGACTAGATTTCTTGAGAAGAGAAAGAATACAAACACTGTGATGTGGATAACCTTTTAATACTTTAATTACAAAAAGGGCTTCTAAAGAATATGAAAAGAAAGCAGACATTAAGAAATTGTTTGAGGGGACTAAGGATTGTCAGATGAAAGAGGAAAGAATATAAAATTGGTTTATTTGATCAAGGCTAAAATAAATGGTTTCCTAGAAAAGGAGATATAAAATTAAAAGGAAGTATTTAAACTAGGTTTATTAGATATAGTTTATTAATACTGTAATTATTTCTGATAATCCTTAATGGACTTTTGCTGGTTAAGATGATATGATGAGGCTTTAAACATTGATTTATAAAGAAGGGAATAAGTTATGGGATGAAAATATGGGTTGGTTTTATTTTAAGAGATGGTGATAAGCTGTTAATGATGATTACACTTGCTGGGGATGTAGGAAGAGCTTTTGTTCTTTTTCTGCACTCTGTGTGTGTGTGTGAGCACCTGTGTATAGTATTAGTTTAATCTGTTTAACATAATTTTAAACATAAATTATATTTAACATAATTTATGTTAAACATAACATTTTATAAAAAATTTAAAAAATTGGCTCAGTATAGTGTGTGAATCCCTTCAGTATTTGCTGAAGGGTAGGCAGCAATATGTACATTTTGCAATTATACTTACGCTAAAGTGTACTGCTCCAACTAATTTAATTTCTAGTTGAAATTATTTTATCTGTAAAATCTGCTATAAAAGCAAGTTCCCAGATTTGTGGTTGTGACTAAGTCTAGCAATAAATTTGAGGAAAATCTACATAATCTGCTCTTTGAAGGATTTTCTCTGCCAAAAGGTTGTCAACTAAATAATTAACACTGCCAGACATTGTTCTGAACGGAATGAGACAACTCACCATGGCCAACTCACCAAGGGACAACTTGCTGTGGGACAATTCAACAATTCAATTTAAGTTAAAGAATTATTTTAATGTTTGTCATTCACATTTAATTTTGTCCCTCCTTTTGCATCCTTTGTTTAATGATTCTGTTCTACCATGTCTTTGATATCAGTGTAACTCTTGTCCCGCTGTGAGTTGTCCTGTGGCAAGTTGGCTGTGGCAAGTTGTCTTAGGCCTGTTCTAAATTCTCAATATTTTAGACTCATCCCATATACAACCCACTATGGGAAATTTAAATAATAGCTAATTCAGCTACTCAGTATGGCTGGGTTAACTTTTATTATTAAGGATAGCCCAGGTTCTGATGCTAATCTTGTTGCTAATTAAATAAAGCTATCTTACAGATGGTCAAAGACTAGAAGTTCTTTATACAATGGATATAATTAAAAGAAAAATAGTGGGGAAACCCAAAGAATACACAAAAATACTTGGTTTACTATGTTAAGTGATAGAATTCTATGGGATCTGATCTGTAGTGTTACACATTATTTAAAGAGCCTCTAAACAGCAAAGCTGATGGACAGCATCCCCCCCACTCCCCCCCAAAAGGTTTTGAAGAATGAATCTGCTGGCTAGTAGGAAAGAAACGTTCTCATCATCTGACCCTGTTAGGACAGTTAGATAATAAAGGGTTTATCCAATCAATGTGACATGTCAGATAAAATGAGCAGCCAAGTCAAATGTGTAACTGACTTAGTTTCCCCAGTGGGAAAGAACAAAGGCAACCTTGAATTGGAAATAAGCATAACTTCTAAACAGTTTTATTTATTAACTGAATTTAAACTGAGGGACAGGTGCTTTAAACCAGGGGTGTCAAACTCGCAGCATCACATGATATGTCGCGACGTATCGTGACTTTTTTTTTTTTCCACTGCCTGCTTTAAACTAATGATTGGGCACTGGTGGAATGGATTTTCATCCTTCTTACAGTTTCTTCTTACCTTCCTGAAATTACTTTGGAGAATTAGGAGACCCTCTGGAGTATAAGTGGAAAAATACAGATGTAGCAGGGAAGTGGGAAAAGAGACCCTCTTTGTGGGAACTAGGAGCAGTGAAAACCTCAGAGGTAAGCTTTCAAACAGGATACCTACATAAATGTTACAGTAGGCAGCGCAGTTTTCCAAGTTTGGTTTTCCATGTTGGTACCACTACTATAAGAAGCCTTTCCGATATCAGATCAACATC